GGTCTCTCCCCCACACCCCCGGGGCCGGGTCTCTCTCTCCCCCCACACCCCCGGGGCCGGGTCTCTCCCCCACACCCCCGGGCCGGGTCTCTCTCTCCCCCCACACCCCCGGGGCCGGGTCTCTCTCTCCCCCCACACCCCGGGGCCGGGTCTCTCCCCCACACCCCCGGGCCGGGTCTCTCTCCCCCCACACCCCCGGGGCCGGGTCTCTCCCCCACACCCCCGGGCCGGGTCTCCCCCCCACACCCCCGGGGCCGGGTCTCTCTCCCCCCACACCCCCGGGCCGGGTCTCTCTCTCCCCACCCCCCGGGGCCGGGTCTCTCTCCCCCCCACACCCCCGGGGCCGGGTCTCTCCCCCCACACCCCCGGGGCCGGGTCTCTCTCTCCCCCCCACACCCCCGGGGCCGGGTCTCTCTCTCCCCCCACACCCCCGGGGCCGGGTCTCTCCCCCCACACCCCCGGGGCCGGGTCTCTCTCCCCCCCACACCCCCGGGCCGGGTCTCTCTCTCCCCCACACCCCCGGGGCCGGGTCTCTCCCCCCACACCCCCGGGCCGGGTCTCTCCCCCCCACACCCCCGGGGCCGGGTCTCCCCCCCCCACACCCCCGGGGCCGGGTCTCTCCCCCCACACCCCGGGGCCGGGTCTCCCCCCACACCCCCGGGGCCGGGTCTCTCCCCCCACACCCCCGGGGCCGGGTCCTCCCCCCACCCCCCTCTCCCCCCACACCCCCGGGGCCGGGTCTCTCTCTCCCCCCACACCCCCGGGGCCGGGTCTCTCTCCCCCCCCTCTCTCCGCCGCTTACCTGTCGCTGTTAATCGCCGCCGCCGCCTCCCGGGGCCTCAGCCGCCGCTTCCCGCCTCCCTCACCAACCGTCACCCGCCAGCCCTGACCTGTCACCTCCCCGCGCTGGGAATGCCGGGATAGCAGCCAGTCCTCCGGAGGACTCGGCTCCGGGTCTGTCAGTGCGTCTGTCTGTGTCTCTGTGTCTGTCTGTGTGGGTGTGTGTGTGTCTGTCTGTGTGGGTGTGGGTCTGTGTGGGTGTCTCTGTGTCTCTGTGTCTGTCTGTGTGGGTGTGTGTGGGTGTGGGTGTCTGTCTGTGTCTCTGTCTGTGTGTGTCTGTGTCTGTCTGGTCTATGTGTGTCTATGTGTGTGTCTGTGTGTGTCTGTCTGTGTGTGTCTCTGTCAGTGTGTGTGTGTCTGTGTGTGTGTGTGTCTCTGTCAGTGTTTGTCTGTCTCTGTCTGTCTGTGTCTCTGTCAGTGTGTGTGTGTCTGTGTGTGTGTGTGTGTGTCTCTGTCTGTCTGTGTCTCTGTCTGTCTGTCTCTGTCTGTCTGTGTCTCTGTCTGTCTGTGTCTGTCTGTGTGTGTGTCTGTCTGTGTGTGTGTCTGTCTGTGTGAGTGTTCAAACCAGACTGAGTGTTCCACATACAGTGTATGTGCAGCCACAGATGGGAATTTCCCTGTGTCCGGGTATATTGTAGGCACTGCATCAAAAGCAAGTGTTATTGTAATAACAATACTACTGCTAATACCAATCCTCGCATCTGAAATAGTGCCTTATCACATCATCCAGATGTCCGAAAGTGCTTTACAGCATATACTGTAAAGTCAATTGACAGTATATTTTGTGGGCAAAATGCGGCAGCCAATTGTACACAGAAGTGTCCCACAATCAATTACCACGTTATTCTTTTTCTGAAGGGATTATTAACCCGGAAAGGAATTCCCCATTCGACTAACAACCGGACGCCTTGGGACGTCCTCCCGATGTGAAAGGCGCTATACAAATGTAATTTTTTATTGTATTTGTACTGTACTGCCAGGCGAGAGGAGTAAGGAAATTTGCCTGAGGTTTCGTCCTGCCCGGGAATCGAACCCGGGTCCTCTCACTTGCGAGGTGAGCGTGATAACCAATACACAACAGGACTCCACCCCAGGAATAGCAGGGGATTTCTCAGGGAGTTTCTCCTTCCTCTGTTGTTCCCCCACCCCACCACCACCCGATAAAATTTGTCATTCGCTTCAGACTGTTTGTGGAGTCGGCCCCTGTGGAGTGGAGTCCCGTAGTGAGGTGCCTCGCAAGTGAGAGGACCTGGGTTCTCTCTCTCCGTATCCTGGCCAACAAACAAAAATAAAATTGGTCACTCATCCATGACTTTGCAGGACATTGCTGTGCACAAACTGGCCGCCACGTTTTGCCCACAAAATAGCCAGTCGCTATATTTTACAGTAAATCCCTTTGAAGCGCTTCGAGTCACCCTCCCATTGCGAAAGAAACATTATCAAATGCAACGATCATTATTTCTCTTAACACGAAAGGCGCTGCATAATAATAATTCAATGGATTATATCACTGTAACAATGTGGAGCTAAGCAGGCGGTCAAAGAGAAATAGGCGGAGGATTTTGTGAGTGTGGTCTGAGTGCGTGCTCTGGGGTGTGTAGGAGCTCACGTCTGTCTGAGAAAGATTCAGCATTAAAGGCGATGAGAGCGGTGCTTCATGGTAGCCTCTGGCGGAGGCTCGCAGCACCTGCGACTGAGCAGTTTCCCTGGTGGATTGAGACTCAGCTGCTGGCTGGCTTGTGTCTCAGCAAATACAAGCTGGGAGAGGGCAGCGCTTAGAGAGACACCCAGATTTACCAAGCGTGTAAATAATTATTAGCTGATTAGCTCAGACACTGTGTTTGAGTTTAGAGATTGGGCTGTTTTTTGGATCATTTCCAAATCCAATGATGAACTTGAACTTGAGACGGATCTTAATGAATAGGAGAAAAGGGGGAGTGAGAGTCAAACCCAGGAATGGAGCCTCTACAATGAATCAAACCGGGGTTTGAGACACAAACCCAGGACTGGAGCCCTTGGAAACAAGACCGGGGAAAGGGTGGCGCAGGGGGGAGCCTGCAGCTCAAGGTGGGGTTAACACGCATCCAGAGAACACCCAACACCAAGCCGAGATTACTAATAAGAATAATGTTCCGTGGCTTCTCATGGTGTCTAAGTCATCAATACGACTTAAAGCAAGTTTTAAGAAGAACTGCCACAGTAAACGTGGATTTTTCAGACAATCTCGATAGCCAGTTTGACGCGGGTACATCTGGGGCAATTGTCGGCCGGGAGAAAACCTCCCTTCTCTGATGGAGGCAAGTGATCTTTGATTGAACGGGCACAGCAGTGGCCCACAAACAGCCATAGAGTGAGCGATCAATTTTACTTGGTGAATGGCCGGGACATCGGGAGAGAGAAAAACACACTTTTCTTTTCGAATAGTGCTATGGGATCTCTAACATTCACCAGAACAGATGGACGTGACCTCGGTTTAATGTCTCATCCGAAGAACGTATCAAATGTAAAGATTGTTAATAATAATCCTTACGTTTGTTACAGCGCCTTTCACATCAGGAGGGTGTCTCAAAGCGCTTCACAGGTTTTACGACTCAACCAGCGTAGTGCAAAATAAACGGATGAGCCACAGCTACAATTCATGCAGATGACATTTTAATTTATTCCTTTAAAACTCATTTCAGTCGCATTGAACAAACTCCTTATGGGAATCAATCACACAAAACAATATCATTATTATAATACTGTAATACGAATAAAAATCCTCACAGTTGGGAGGACGTCTCAAAGCGCTTCACAAGATTTTACTGTAAACCGGAGTGAATGTGTAATTTGTAGGTAAAAATTAAACGTATCTTTGGTTAATCAGGGGCAAAGGGACTGTGTGACTGATACAATAGAAGAAAGTGGGTGTGGATCTCAATTAGTTGGGTCATGTGTACGGTACTATAATGTCAGCCTGTTTTTATTCAACCCCTTTCACATCAAATTACGCTAAGCCGGCTCCAGCTTGCTCAATGTCCCCCACCTGGTCGGCCCAACCATCTGCGTTCGGACCTTCAGCCTCTCAGCCCCCCAACTTCTGGAACTCCACCCCAAAGCCCCTCCGCCTCGCCCCCTTCCCTTGCCTCCTTCAAAGCCTTTCTCCGCACTTCCTGAACCACGCCTTCTGTCACCCTCCTATCCCCCCACCACCACCCTCCCTGCCCTCCTCCACCCTTCCTGATCCCAACCCCCAGCTCGGGTCCAAATCCCTGACTGTCCAGCGCTTTGGGAAGTCCTCCCGACGAGAAAGGTGCTGCGAAAATGTCGTTTGTTGTTGTTACATCAGAACAAGGGTGCGGGCGTGTTACAAACTGAAACGGATCAGCGCAGTCACAGAGAAAACCGGCAGCTAATCTGTGGCAATGGTGGTCCCGTGAACAAGAATGAGATAGGCAGCGATTGGTTTGATTTGATTAGAAACAGGGGGGAAAGGCGGTCAAACTATAGTAAAAGAAATCCAGCGTTTGATACATAGAGCATGTGTCAAGAGGAAGTCTCAAAGCGCTTCACAGAGTTTTACACAAGGCGGGGTGTGAGGGTGGCTGGGGAGGAGAGGGAAAGGGAGTGGAACGAAGCCCCTTTAAGTCCATCTTGACATCATTAGGCAGAACGGGACTTACATTAATCACATTAATTGAAGTCCCGTACAGGACCTGACAAACCAGTATTCAGTACAGAATGTATTTAAGAAAGCTTTCTTCCCGCACCTCCCCCCCACCCAGCCCCACAGCCTTCTCCTCCCCTCCAATTAAAAAAACGTCCCCGGCATCAATTTGATTTGTAAAATATGTCCAATAAATCTGTGTTTAAGTGGGAGCTCTTTCCCACCCCCACATTGCCTGGTGATGGGTTATCTCTCTCTCTCTTTCTCTCTATATAATTCTCTCTTTCTCTCTGTAATTCTCTCTGTCCCTCTCTCTCTATAACTTTCTTTTGTGTAACTCTCTCTCTCTAACTCTCTGTAACTCTCTCTCTCTATATATATATATACTGCATATATATATGTATATATATACAACTGTATTAGACTAATGCTTTCTCTATATATACTGTATATATATGTGTATATATATCTCTGTTATAGTATAACGCTCTCTCTGTCTCTCTGTAATTCTCTCTTTGTCTCTCTATAACTCTCTGTGTAACGCTCTCTCTCCCTCCATTTCACATTAGTGAACATTTCCCCTTGAGCCTGGGCTCGGTCCTGCGCTTGGGCCTGTTCCCCTCGAGCTGCAGACTGACCGTTCTCCTCCTCTCCATGTTCAGCAGCTCCTGGAAGGCTTCCTGCACATTGTAGTTGAGCTTTGCCGAGGTCTCCAGGAAAGAGCACTCCCACTTGGTGGCCAAGGCTTGGCCCTCGCTGGTGTCCACCTGCCTCTGGCTCTCATCCCTCTTATTGCCCACCAGGAGGACGGGCACTGAGGTCAGGTCCCCCTTGATGTGACAGATCTGCTCGTAGATGGCTTCCAATTCCTGCAGGGATTGTCTGCTGGTGACCGAGTAAACTAGGAGGAAACCGTGACCTCTGGAGATGGCTAGTCTCTGCATGGCCGGGAACTGGTGGCTCCCTGTGGTGTCAGTGATCTGAAGGGTACAAATGCTCCTGTCACAGCTGATTACCTGCCTGTAGGTGTCCTCCACAGTGGGCACGTAAGTCTCCTTGAAGGTTCCTCGAACAAACCTGAGCACCAGAGAGCTTTTGCCAACTCCAGCCGCTCCAAACACAACCACTCTGTAGTCGTTGCTTTGTTCAGGCATTGTGTTTCTTGGGACGTCCTCCCGACGTGAAAGGCACTATACAAATGTACTTTGTTGTTGTTTTCTCTTGGGAGGGGAGGGAGGAGATTTTTGTTTAAATTTCTTACTTATTTTATTAGTGGGGGGGAAGAAAGTTTTCAAGGGTATGTGTATGCGGTTGCCAGGATGGTGGAAAGCAAACTGGTTGGACCTTAGCTTTCTTTCGTCAAGCAAATTCTTATGCTCTTATGGGGGAAGGGTGCGTGGGGTTCGGAGGGAAGAGGAGATTTTTGTTTTAATTGTTTTTTTAATGAGAATTTTTTTCAAAATAATGTATTAGTTAACTCAGTGGTTACATTCCCCGGCAGAAGCTGAAACACAAAATGTAAATAAAGCACATGTCAGTTTCTGGGTCTCTTGTATGTATATGTTTGTATGGATGTGTCTGTCGGTCTGTATCTGTGTATGTATGCATGTGCATGTATGTATGTCACTGTCAATCTATCTGTCTGTATGTGTGTGTTCATGTGTGTATCTGTATGTGTGTGTGTGACTGTCGGTCTGTATGTGCGTGTGTGTATGTATGTGTGTGTCTGTATGTATGTGTGTCTGATGTATGTGTGTATATGTATGTGTATGTGGTGTAAGTGTATGTGTGTGAGTGTGCGTACGTCTACGCATGTAAGTCTGTGTGTAAGTAAAATGTGTGAGTAAGTGTGTGGGAGGACAGTTACCCCACGGGAAATGAGGGGGTGGGGGGGGTCCACATTTCGGGGTCTGTTTGTCCAAGCAGCCTCAGCTCAGAGCCAGCTGATGCCCCAGGGAGGACCATAGCCACACAAGCCCCAAACCCCACACAATATCCCAAACAGCCTCAACTCAGCCTTTCTCTTCTTACTCCCTCCTATTTTTTTTGTTGGTGGGGGAGAGAGGAAGCAAGTTTATAATTAATACATCCTACTTACCACAAAATACCCAGTCACTCCAATTTACCATATATCCTGTGTTGCGCTTTGAGACTTCTCAACAGCGTGATAAGGTGCTGTATCAAATACAAGGATTATTATTACTAATATGATTAAAAATCCACGTTAAACATCAAACAAAAAATGTGGAGCCTTGCAACCCCAAATCGGCCTTTCCCAAACTGGAAATGGAGGAAATGTTGGTTTGAGGCTCAGATCACAGGTTAACAAGATTCCTCAAACCTCTCTCTCCCTCTCCTCCCACTCTATTCCATTTCATTCCCACTTCCCAATACAGGAAGTAGACACCAGACACTGGAGTCTGGATTCCCTCCCTTAGAATTAATATTTATATATAAAATATCTATCAATAAATTACTTTATCTCCGGAGATCACACAGTCTGTGGACATGATGCTGAAAGCCCACCCCAACCAGGAGTACGGAATGAATACCATAAATCCCAATTGTGAATTTTAAAATATTTTTTAAAAACACACACATAAAAATTGTGAAGGATTTCCCTAGTTTTAAGATCACAAAATAAACAGATAACATAACAGTTGATATCTCATTGCATTGCACCCCTGGTAACACAGTACCTACCTCCACATTTTCCCCTGGGTGTGCGTTTGTCTTGGGTGGTGGGGGAGAAGGCTATATGGATAAGATTATTTCCTAAAAGAATCAACAGAAATTCCTGCGTATACTATGGCCAACAGCTCTCGGACAGTCCATTCTCCTGTAGCCAAGGTGGGAGAAATCAATTGGAAAATGCTCTCGGCTTTCTTAACACACAGATTTGCTCAATGAACCAATCTTTTTTTTCTCTGGATTTCGTTCGAGTATTTTATTATCCTCGGTTCTCCTCGATTCCCAAGAAAGAAAAACTCTTTTTTTTTAAAGAGAAAAACAACGCCAGACTGAGTTTGCCGGAGGACAACCTCACCCCGGTTTTCATTCATGTTTTGGGATGTTTGGTACAGTCCATCCATTCATTCATTCATTCAAGTCATTCATTCATTCATTCATTCATTCATTCAGCGGCTCACTCACTCGCAGTGGATTCCTGCTTTATAATAATTAATAATAATCCTTGCATTTGATATAGCGCTTTACACGCCTTCGGGACACCTCAAAGCGTTTCACAGAATATACTGTAAAGTAAATTGACTGTATATTTGTGGGTGAAACTCAGCAGCCAATTGCGCACAGCAGTGTCTCACAAACAGTGACCACACCATTATTTTTTTTTGCTTTGTTTTTCTTGAGGGCTTATTATCAGGCGTGTGGAGTAAGGAAATTTACCCAAGGTTTCGCCCTCTGCCGGGAATCAAACCCAGGTCTCTCGCTCGTGAGGCGAGTGCTCTAACCACTGAGCTACAGGACTATTAAAGTCCTTAAAGAAGCAGATATTTTGCACATTGCTCAGCGCTACGTGCTTATCCTTGACAAATCATTTCTTTTTTAATAGATTGTATAAAGAAAAGAAATACGAACAAGTGATTTTTATATGGATAAATATTATTATTTATATTAAAAAAACTTTTCTTATCTTTCTGATTATTTATTAAAACATAAATGCACTTGTTATCATAAGAATAATTATCCTGCATTTGATATGGTCGTTGAGACGTCTCAAAGCGCTTCACGGAATATATCGTAAAAGTAGGAGTGACTGTGGGTTTTGTGGGCGAAACATGTTATTGTGTTATCATACCACAGCAGCAACAAATTACATTTAAGCAGCGTTTTTCACGCCGGGAGGACGTCCCGAGGCGCTGGACAATCGAGGGTTTGCACCTGCCCTACGGTGAAAATACATAATAATCACTTGCAAAACGCACAGTCACTACACTTCATTGTGAATCCCGGGAAAGGTAATGCCAGATTCATTATTATAAATGAGACTTACCATCCGCTCTCGGTGTTTGATGTGTTTGACTTTAGTGAAACACAACACGGTGTGTGTCTACCCGGCTCTTTACATGTCGAGAGGACGTCGCAAAGTGCTTCACAGTGTGGATGGGCGGAGGTGGGGGGGGCGGTGGGGTGGGTGTGGGGGGCTGAGGAGGGTGGGGATCGCCGAGAGGAAAAGGTGACAGAAAACTCTAACAAACCGACAAGTTTTGAGACATGCCTTCAAAGAGGGAGAGAGAGAGAGGGAACGGGAATCAGAGGGACTTTGGGGCAGGAGTTCCAGAGAGTGGGGGCAGAATGGCTGAAAACCTGGCCACTGGCTAACGGTGCAGTGGACCGGTCAATCGAGCGACGGGAAGCAGGCCGTTGCCCACTGAGCGTTTCTCCGCTTCGCCTCTGCGCTCCACGGAAAGCTCTCCCACCCTCTCGAGTCCACAAAGCCCGGAGAAGACTGTACGTCGGCAGCATTGCTCAACCGCAAGATCCTTACTGATGTCCCTGTGATTCACTTCACTCAGTGAGACAATAACCCACAGAGCCCCTGGATATGAGGAAATGAACCTGTTATTTTCTCTGAGGTTTGGGTGAATGTTTAACCTCGTTATCTAACCGGAAGGTTAGTACTCACTCATGTAAAACAAAATCAATACTTTTTTCCCTTTTCTAATGATTAACCTCCGTTCCCCCCCACCACACATACACACACGTGCGCTCGCTCCCAGTGATTTAATGTTTCCTTAAATCATAGGAAAACAGAAACAGGAAGAGGCCATCCAGCCCACCCAGCCTGTTCCACCACTTTATTACGTCTTGGCAGATCGTTTAATCCTAAACCATACAATACAAATTTACATTTGTAGTAGAATCCTGCAGCTCAGTAGTTAGAGCACTCGCCTCGCAAGCGAGAGGACCCCAGGTTCGATTCTCAGACAGGACAAATTCTTAGGCAAGTTTCCTTACTTCACCCTCTGTTTACCCAGCAGTAAGCAGGAAACCCGGGTGTTTCTTTGGGTAAGAAACCCTCAAAAAACATTGGCCACTAAATCCACAACTGTGGGAAATTGCTTTGTGCAATTGGCTGCTGTGTATTGCTCACAGAATTGACAGTCACTCCACTTTACGATGAGTTCTGTGAAGCGCTTCAAGATGACTCGAAGACGTGCTAAGGCGCTATATCAAATTCAAGGATTATTATTACTGCAGCACATTGACGCGGTGTCTATGATGTGCCCAGACCCAGGGTAAGTCCTGTGTGCAGCTGACACGCAGTCGTGGGACCCTCGGTCGGGTTTGAACACTTGGCGATGGGTTTCCACGTGCGCCAGGGAAAGAAAGAGAAGTTTGATAAAGCTCTGTTCCGTGTTTCCCGTACATTTATAACCCCTTTCCGTGCGGCGTTCACACAACCGCTGCAATCTGGACAAAGATCCACTCCAGGCATTGAGCGAAACCCATCCATTCCAGCAGATTGCTGATATCCAGACTGGCTTGGTATGGTGCTGGCCGTTGGCATGGTGACTGATAACAGGAAACGTTGCGTTTGATACAGCGCCTTAGACGTTGTCGAGACGTCTCAAAGCGCTTCACAGGATACACCGTAAAGTCATCATCCAAAACTCTACCGCCCGCATTCTCACCCGCACCAAACTCCGCTCCTCCCAGTCCTGGCCAGACTGCGCTGCTCCCTGTCCCAGAGAGGATCGACTTCAAGATCCTCACCCTTGTCTTCAAATCCTTCCACTCCTCTGCACCCCCTGACCTCCTCTCTCCTCACAACAGTACCCGTTGCCTTCGTTCCTCCGGGTCTGGCCCCCTCCTTGTCCCCCCAAGTCCTCCGCTCCACCCTCGGTGGCCGTGCCTTCAGCCACGATGCCCCGAGGCTCTGGAACTGCCTTCCTCACTCCCTTCGTCTCGCTCCCTCCCTTCCCATTTTCAGGTCTCTGCTGAAGACCTTTTCGACCACGCCTTTGGTCACCTCCCTCCCCCTCCCTCCCCCCGGCTCAGCCCCGGGATCCATTACTGTGAAGCGCTCTGAGACGCCGTCCGGCGTGGAGGGCACTATATAAATCCAAGTTGTTGTTGTTGAATTGACTATATTTTGTGGGCGAAACGCAGCAGCCGATTGCGCACAGCAGCGTCCCACAAACTCTCGTGGATTGAGTGACCAAATTACTATTATTTTTAAATGGCTTATTGCCCCCGAAAAGCAATCCCCCAATCGACTAACAACCGAGTTCCTGGTCACTGCTAGGGTTGTGTTTTCCGATCCCCAAGGTTCGAATCAATGACCGGTCAATCCAATTTGGTGCAATGAAATTTTATTAACAAAGAGGTATTCAGTCAACCTAGGAAACGCAGAATCGAAAAGATATTACCCTATCTTCCGACACCGGACAGTGGAGCTGTTTGCAAACTCGCCCTGCTGCTCTTCCACCTCCGCTTGTACATACACGTAGATACAGAAGAATCGATATCGATTCCACTGTGAAGTGCACTGACCCTCTACACAACTCCAACTGTTCCAAAGCGACATCTTTCTTTTTAATTGGGTCTCTAACTCCATCTCCCCTTGTCACAGAGATAGCCCCCACCCTTCGCTGGCTGCTAGCGACCTTTGAGCAGGCTCTTTTCGCATGGGAAAATATCTGGTGAAGAGAAAAGGATACGGACAACTTCTGGGCAGCCTTCCGCAGCCTGCTTGCTTCTCAGCCTTGAGATAGGCAGGTATTGAGACTGTTGCCGTTTAATCAGAAGCTGACCTCAACCGGTCCAGCAAAGCTACTTTTAACCATTTAACTATCAAATCTTTTGGAACCTTCTTTGGTTGCTGTTTGAAATTTACCAATGTATCTTGAGGTGATAGTCAATATATTTCAACAGTAGACAGAGTGTAATGGAGTAAGGAAACTTGCCCAACGTTCGAATCCAGGTCCTTTCTCGCTTGCAAGGTGCGTGTCTCTCTCTATCTGTAACTAATCAACGCTCTTTGGGGGGGTGGGGTAGGTGGGGAGAAGGTACGCAGGGTCTCCTTGGGCCTGAACTGGCGTTCTTTGGACCGTAATGTCGGAATGGAGCCCCAGCCCTCTGTGGCAGTATCTAGTCCGGTTGCTGAGCCACGTGAGTTCGCAGTATTGCAGGGCACTGCTGATCACCAACCAGTTCAGCCTGGCGTATCGGCAGAACTTGGAATGGCAGATCATTCTCTGGGTCCCACTCAGCTCCTGTTAACCCTGGAAGCCAAAGCACTACTGGGTAGGGTGGTTCTAGCTGGACAAGCAGTGGGAAAGCTTGCCAGACACTGATATCAATGACAAGCTGTGTGGTTTTAGATGGTTAAGACTCCAGCAGTTACTAGCTCTTTCCAACCTGCACCTTGTACTGTCCAGAGTTAGGTAAGCAGGATGTGTTCCTCCGGGGAGAGAGCGCAGATTCCATTCGAGGCCCACGGAAATTTCCATATTTTGGTAGCATACAATCTCTCGCCTGTGCTATCACTGACCTGGGAGTGTAGGCGGACAGTGTAGAGGGAGCTTTACTGTGTCTCTAACCCTGACCTGGGAGTGTGGACATACAGTGTAGAGGGAGCTTTACTGTGTCTCTAACCTGTGCCATACTCTCTCCATGAGAGAGCATGAAATGGCCTCCACCACTAGATGACACTGTTTGCCACAAAATAACACAGACTTTTGCTAATAACAATCTTTGCATTTGACGTTTGCATTTTTGTGAACTTCGGAATGTGTGGAAGTGCCAGGGGCACCGTGTGGAGGCGTAATCACCGACATCAGAGGGTTGGTGTGAGCCTGGGCTCAGCCACCCCCACTCGCACCCTGGCAGTCAGGAACTCCATGTTGGAGAATTTGAGCTCACATCCAATGAGTGAACACACACACACAGAGATGTGTGTACATTCACATACACACACACATGTATTTATGCTGGTTAACACACATACACACACAGTTGTGTACATGCAATGATGTGCATACAGGCTCTCACTCACAAACACAGATGTGTATATACTCTCGCTAAATGCCTATACACATATACAACCCCTCCCCCTGGTGCACACACACAGCGAGCGTATACACAGACATATGTATAACCAATGGCTAAATGCCCACACACACACCTCCTACACGTACAACCAAGAGGCGAGAGCGGGACCCACCGAGTCCGACTGTGCTCAAACCCCTAAGAGAACGAGCTGCTGATTGGTACCCAGGAGAGGTAGTGGGGGGGTAGAAGTTGAGAGGATTGAAGCGATGGCGCTGCCGCTTTAAGACTCCTGTTGCTCAAAGCCTGAGCCTGGCAGATGGTGACAGCCGGGTGTGTGGGGGGGGGGGGGGGGGTGAGCAGATATTTATTAACAGGGAATAAACTTGCAGAAACTCTTACCTCGAGTGTGAAGATGTTGAGAATTCTGAACCACTGTCACACATTCGGGCGGTGGGGTGAGCTTGTGTGTGTACGTATGTTTTTTGGGTGGGTTTGTACGTGTGTGTTGGGAGGTGTGAGTGTGCATTGGAGGTGTATGTATGGGGGGGGGGGGGGGGAGTGTTGTGTGTGTGTCTTGTATCTGTTGGGAGAAGGTGTTGGGGGTATGTGTGGATGTGTGTTGGGGGCGTGTGGCTGTTTGGGGTGGTGGTGTGTGTGCGTTGTGTGGATGTTGGGGGGGGCTGTTGTGTGTGTTGGGTGGGGGGTGTTGTGTGTCTTGTGGTGTGTGTAGTGGGGTGGAGCTGTAGGGGAGTAAGTCCTATATCCAAAGATTCTGGCTCAGGAGCACTGATGTGCTTGTAGCCTTCTCCCAATTGATTGTAACCCTATCCACTGACTCTGGGCTCAATTGTGCCAGTCAAACTTGGGATAAAGGGAGAGAGAGACACACTCTCACACAGGGAGAGACAGGGAAAGTAAGACAGAGAAAGAGAGAAAAGAGACAACAAGAAAAAGGAGTGAGAGAGAAAATAGAGAGTGAGAGTGAGTGAGAAGAGACAGACAGAGAGAGATGGGGATGTGGGAGAGACAAAGGCTCCTTTGTGAGATGGGGTCCGATGATTACAGACGTCAGCTCCCACACACCTGGCACTGACCAACCCCCGGTGCCAGGTTTATAGGTCACCCTGCGCTGAAATAATAATAATCCACGCATTTGATATAGAGCCTCATGTCGTCAAGACGTCTCAAAGCCAGAATCCACACTAAGGCCTATTATCTGGAGAGGTGGTGTGTTTTGTGGACATATACGGCAGCCAAATTTGCACACAGCGCCGAGGTGAAAGGACGATTCTATCGGGGAAATTGTTGGCCAAGACGTCCGGAAAAAGAGAGGATTCCCTTCAATTTTCCATTAGTGCCGCAGGAGATCTTTAACATCCACCTGAACAGGGTACAGATATGTGTGTGTGTGTGTGTGTGTGGGGGGGAGTGAGGTTTAACATCTCCAACAATGTAGTGTTTCCCTCCTATCTGGACTGTGTACACACACTCGTTCACACACACACTACAAGCCAAAGAGCCCTAATGGGTAGAGTGGCCCTAGCTGGACAAGCAGTGGGAAAGCTTGGCAGACATCGATATCAATGGCAAGCTATATACGGTCTTAACTGGTTAGATTCCAGCAGCAGTTACCCCAACGCACACTCTGGGGTCCCCCAAGCTCACACCTGCACCCTCTCACTCGCACCTTCACCCAATAAGCCACCAGCTCACACACACCGGCACAAGCTCAAAGTGTTCGCACATTTATTCAAATCACCGAACAAGAGTATCTACAATCCCGACGTTTATATATAAAAAAGACTCATTGCCTCCGCCAGACATCCCATAATAATCGGGTATTCCTGCTCCCCCCCCCCCCCACCCCCTCCGCCCCCACCACCGCCAGTCACACAGATCCCTGGCTTGTCCCTCGCTCCAGCGACCGACACATTTACTGTCCATTACTTCCCCCAACAACCACCCCCCCCACACACACACACACGCACGCACGCACACGGCATTGGTCACTCTGACGTCACCCTGCCCTGGTTAGTCTGTCAGGTTACTCCGCTTCACCTGTTCCGGTGAGCGGTCACTGCCCCCACACAATAACACTTAAAAAAACAACCTCAAAGATTACGGACGGGCGGGCGAGGGCTTTTTAAAATATAAAAACAACATTTTAACTAAAAGAAATACTATGATTCCCCCTCCCCCCCTCGACCACCCCGATGTTTGGACCCCCCCCTGGTCAGGGATCAGGCCTCGAGACGGAGGGGAGGAGGGTGTTGGAGTATTAAGCCGGTCAGATACAAACTATAAATAAATGTCCTCCCTCCTACGGGACCGTGGGTAGATGTGGTTGCTCTCTACTTACCTCACCTCCCCCTCACACACACACACACACACAGACACACAACCCCCACCCCCTCGGCTCGGTACACACAGTTAACACTAGATTTCAACACTCACATGCCTCTGACCTGTGGCTGACACTGGTGAACACACACTCACACAGATATTACGCTGAGGCCTCTTTATATATTAGAGAGCGATAGAGTGAGTGAGAGACAGATAGAGAGAAAAAGAGAGGATGGATAGAGACATAGAGAGAAAGAGAGAGGATAGAGGGATAGTGAGAAAGTCAGAGGGTAAGAGATAGGGTAATAATAATAATCCTCGCATTTGACATAGCGCCTTATTATGTCACTGAGACGCCTCCAAGAGCTTCACAGAATATACTGTGAAGTGCAGTGGTTGGTTATTTTGTGGGCGAAACGCGGCAGCCAATTGCGCACGGCAGCGTCCCCATAAACAGCCGTGGATTCAGCGACCGAGTTTTTTTTGGGGGAAAGCGGTCGATCAATCGACAAACAACCGGGTTCCTCCTCACTGCTGGGTAAACAGAGGCGTGCGTGTGCAGAGTAAGGAAAGTTGCCCAACATTTCGTGCTGCCCGAGAATCGAACCCGGGTTCCCCTCTCGCTTACCAGGCGAGTGCTCTAACCACTACGGTGCAGGATGCCACAACGTGAGAAAGAGTGCAGTGAGAGAGAGAGCAAGTATGGGTGAATGACGCACAGGAGAGCGTGCGAGAGGGAGAATATGCGAGAGAGAGAGAAAGAGAATGTGAGAGTGACTCAGAGAGAGAGAGAGAGAGAGAGAGAGAAAAAAAAGAGAGTTGCTGATCCCTCACGGCCTATTCCTGAGCCTCTTTGCCCGCGAGACGGTAGATCTCGGTCGGGCCGTCAGCGTGGGTGATGGTTGTGGTCAACTGAAGCTCTTCCCCACTGCTCACCCCCAGGTCACCTGAGAGGGGAAGACACGAGAGAGAGGAAGAATGAGAATCGAGAGTGAGCGGGTGAGACGGTGAGGGAGCGGGCGAGAGGCGAGAGAGAGCGCGCGGGCGAGAGAGAGAGAGAGAGAGAGAGCGCGGGCGAGAGGCGAGAGAGAGCGAGCGGGCGAGAGGCGAGAGAGAGTGTGTGGGCGAGAGAGCGCGGGCGAGAGAGAGAGAGAGCGCACAGGCGAGAGAGAGAGAGAGAGAGAGCGGGCGAGAGGCGAGAGAGAGAAAGCGGGAGAGAACAAGATGAGAGAGACAACGAACAAGATAGGTGAGTGAGCGCGAGCCAGACGCCGAAACACCCCGAAATGTCAGCGCTGATTTAACACGACAGGTGAGAGTTAACACGCCAGGCGAGGCGTGGCGAGGCGGACACACGCACGCACCGTTGGACTGGCCGGCATCGCTGTAGCACTTGTGGGAGGGAGCGTACAGGAACATGATGGCGAAGACGTACAGGTTCCACATGCCATAGATGCCCGTGAAGAAGGCGCTGTTCACCTGAACCGTGAAGTCGCCCCATTTCCAATGGCCCTCGTTCACCTACAACAACAACAACACACCACCACCACCACTAACATGATCGCATCACCATCACAGCAATAAAAAAAAAGTATATTATGTTGTACAACAAATCTGCGGAGACACTACTTCAGTGAGCGAGGAGTAAACGTGTGGAACAGGCTCTCCACGGAGACAGACGGCGGAAGCAGGAGGTGTTGTTTGTTTCAAGAACTAATGAGATAAGATTTCTGCTGGAGAATAATATCTGGGGATACGGCATAGAGTTTGGGTCACGACACGTCAAGTGACTGTCAGGGTGGTTGGAAGGCGAACTAGATCCGTCTTAGTCTTCTTTCGCCAGCAAATTCTTATATTAACGATAACAATATCAATCTTACTAACAGTAGCAATAATAAAAATCATATTAATAATAATTAATGAAACCAATAATCACATTAATAATGATCATTAAGAAAATAACAAAAATAACATCATTGATAATAATAATAATAAAAAAATACAATATTAATAACACTAATAATTTTGGCAAAGTGACTTCCCACCCCCCAGAACTGAACTGGAGCATCAGCCTGGCCTGTGAACTCAAAGATTCTCAAACCCTCTCAGTCCACCTCCATCCTGACCTACCCGGTAATACCCCCTCTCCCTGACGTCTCCCACTCTCCCCCACCATCTCCCACGGTGTCTGCTCCTCCCCCTCCCCACCCCCACCGCACAAGGGTTTGCCTCTGTGCCCTACCCCATCTCAATACCTGGCTGATGATGAAGAAGGTGACTGTCATGGCAGCGCAGGTCAGGGTGACCAGCATCAAGAATTTGAACCGGAAAATCAGCCCCTGGAATAAACAGCAGAGAATCACCACGTGAAAAGGTAACCCCCCCCCAACCCCTCCCCCACCCGCTCCGCTTGTTATTGCCTCCCCCAGCGCGGGTGTGAAGACACACTTCCTGGTGCCTGTCCTGAAATTGCCCCTTATTCTGGTGTGTGAGAGGACATACTGTAAAGTGTAGTGACTGTGTACTTTGTGGCAGCCAATTGTGCACAGCAGTGTCCCACAAACAGCCACTGAATCAGTGACCAATTTTATTTGGGGGATTGCTGCCCAGGACACGGGGAGATAAAAACTCCCTTCCCTTTTCGAATAGCATCGTGGGATCTTTAACACCCACCGGAACAGCCAGACCTCCCCCCACCACCAGCCCCCCACCCCACCCCCAGTGTCTTTGAACCTGAAGACCCCACCCCCCCCACACCCACTTGGATTTATCCATTCAAATTTTCAAGGTTGAGGTGGATAGATGTTTGTAAGGTCAGCGTATCAAGGGATATGGGGCAAGGACAGGGCCGTGATCTAATAGAATGGGGAAAGGCTTGAAGGGTTGAATGGCCTCCTTTTCTTCCTAATTTGTTAATCCACAGCCTCTCGCCCTGGGCTGGTACCTGGTAATGGAGTCTCCGGACCTTAGACATGGCTGGGAGGGAGCAGCGCTTCCCGCTGATGTTCCGGAAAACCTGGAAAACCATGAAGCAGAGGAAGAGGAAGTAGAGACAGGCACAAATCCCGGCCACGATGATGAAAGCCATCTGAGTCCCCGCCGGTCAAGGAAAGAACCAACGATTAGAGACGGGGTCCAGGACAGCCATCTGGGGACACCTACCCTCCCCCCCCAGGAGAGAACGTACAACGCACAGTCTCCGAATCAATGTTGTTTCAGTGGGAGATGGAGTGTTCTGAGGTGCTGTCCCATGCGAAGGACACTACTAGGACACCGGGAGAGAGAGAGAGAGAAACTCCCTTTGATGTCCGCCTGAACAGGGCACAGATGGGGAGCGAGGTTTAATCTCTATTCAGATTGGCGGCGCCTATGACAATGCGACGCTCTTCCCCCCCACCCCACCCCAGCACCGCGCCGGAACCCAAAGCTGTCCCCTGGTTACCCCCCCACCCCACCCCAGAGGAAAGGATACAGCCAGCTCCGTCCCCACGTCTGTGGCCCAAATACTGTAGAAGGGGTTCTTCAGCTGCACCCCCCTAGAGGCAAGTCAAGAGAGTCCATCAGCAACAACCATTGAAACTGCCCCTCGCGCAAGGTGGGGTCCCAGAGCGCTTGAGAGTGGGGGAACACGCTGCTGAGCTGGGGGTTGGGGGGAGGTGACTGTAAGCCCGGTCGAAGAGGAAGGTGAGGAAGATGCTGTGAAACCTTCCTCACACCAGCGTGTGTGTGTGTGTGGAGGAGGGGGGTGGGCGGAGTGGCAGTGTGGGGGTCATTTACCTCTCACACATGTCGAAGCTGAAGAGACAGAGGGAGCCGAAGGCAATGGGCACCACTTGCTTCCAGTAAACAGACAGACGGTTCCTCTCACTCTGGTCCTGAGAACAAATCAGCAAGTCAGAGAGACACACAGAGAGACATAGAGAGAGAGAGAGACACACAGGCACAGTGAGACACAGGGGGAGAGAGAGACACACACACGAGGGGAGAGAGAGACACACACACGGGGGAGAGAGAGACACACACACACACACAGACACACATACTGAGTGAACATAGAGAGAGGAGAGAGATACATACTCATATATATGAGAGACAAAAGACACTCAGGGGTTTCCGTGTATGTCAGCCCCCCCACCCTCCCCCCGCATTGACTCCCCAGAGTAGTGGAAGTTCACCCCGACCATAAGGTGCTCGCCACAGAAGATGATCCAGAAGGAGAGGAGGATGGAGTAGAAGATTCCCTGACGGATGTCCCCAAACAGCAACATCCAGGTCCAGTTGAATCCAATTGAAAACCACTCGACTGGGATGTTGATGAAGGTCATGGAGATTCCGAGCACGAAGATAATCCTGTCCAGGAACATCCACAGGTCAGTGCCCACCTCCTGATCAGCTGCAAGCCCCCCCTCTGCCCCAAGTCAACACCCCCCACCCCAGCGAACTCTCCCCCAGCCAACACACACCACGACCCCCTCACCCACTTCGACTCCCCCCCCCGCCCGCCTCAACACCCCCCCCGCCCGCCTCAACACCCCCCATTCGAAGCCAACACAGACACCCCAACCAACACCCCCACACCCCAACCAACAACCCTATATGTCAGCCAAACTCCCCATCCCACATACTCATCCGCCACCAATACCCTCACCCCTTCAGCCAGCACCCCCCAATCCCGAAGCCCCTCCCCACCCAGCTCCCCCTCCCCCAGCCAACTACCCCCCCCCCCCCCCCCCCGAGGGCAGACTGACTTCTCGAGCAGCACAGGGGGGCGGCTCAACATGGTGATACGCCTCCAGTACCAGACGAGGATGATGAGGATGCTGGGGGTGAGGAAGGTCTTCATGGCAAACCAGACCTTGGTGAAGCCCCCATTCTGATGGATGGCCTGGGTGGGGGGAAAGAGTCAGTCACTAAGTAGCTTTACCCAGCCACAACCCCCACTCCCCTAACCCCGGCTCTGAGCTAATTGGACATCATCCCCACACTCTACCCCTCACCCCCACCACTCCCCCACCCTCCCCCCCCAACTGGCCAGTCTTCGGAGGCTCACAAGACTGAATTAATGAATCAAACAATAACTTGACAGGGCGCCTTTCAAATTACGTGGACTTCTCAAAGCGCTTCACAGCATTGCACTGTAAAGTGTAGTGACCGTGCGTTTGGTGGGCGAACAGGCAGCCAATTTGAGCAACAGCGACGTCCCCGCGTGCAGTGAGCGGGCAATAAATTTAACACCTCTGATACAGAGTGCAGCCTCACCCCCACAGCACTGCTCTGGAGAGTATCAGCCTGTTCTGTGAGCTCAAAGTGCCCAACGTGGCTCAAACAGCAGAACCAAAAATCACAGCCTGTGATTGAAGGGGTTAAATTCTGCGGAAACGCTACTTCACTGAGCAAGTAGTAAACATATGGAACAGACCCCCGAGGGAGCCCCTTCGCCTCGCCCCCCCTCCCTTACCTCTTTCAAGGCCCGTCTCAAGACCCCACTCCTACCCCCACCCTCCCTGACCCCAAACCCCAGCTCGGCTCCAAATCCCTGACTAGCCCAGCGCCTTGGGACGTCCTCCTGATGTGAAATGCGGTGTGTAGGGCTGCGGTGCCACGGCGACATTCCTACCACAAAGCGGATGTCCTTGAGCTGCCCGATCTGCAAGTTGATGAACTTGTCCTCGTTGACGGGGAGTCTCATGTTGATGAGGTAGTATTTGTGAGTCACGCTCCCCAGCTCCATGAATGGCAGGAGCTCACAGTCGTATTGACGGCCGTCGTCAATCTCCGGCTGCTCGCAACCCAGAAGAGGACAGTCACCACCCTCCCATCGCACCCACCCTCCCATCGCACCCACCCTCCCATCGCACCCACCCTCCCATCGCACCCACCCTCCCATCGCACCCACCCTCCCATCGCACCCACCCTCCCATCGCACCCACCCTCCGAGGTCAGGCTCAGGGACACTGTAAAGCTCCCTCTCCGCTGTCCATCCACCCACACTCGGTCAGGGTCAGGACGCTGTAAAGTTCCTTCTACTGTCCGTCCATATTCCCAAGTCAGGGACACTGTAAAGCTCCCTCTACACTGTCCATCCACCCACACTCGGTCAGGGTCAGGACACTGTAAAGTCCGTCCACGCTCCGAGGTCAGCCACAGCAAAGGTTAGAGTCGGAGTACAGCTCCCGAGATGCTAACGGTAAACCCAGGTGAGGGAGAAGAGAGAGAGAGAGAGAGACGAGGCCAGGGTTACCTTGAGAGACGTGAAATTACAGGTAAGTTTCCGTTTCTCCATGGAGTGGGCGATCTCAGTCCACTCGCTCACCTGGTCATCACGGTAACCCAGCGACACATCCAGCGTTACCATGGCTCCTTGTCCTGTGGAGGGACCGAGAACACATCCATCAATCGCCCGCCTTACCCCAAACACATCCATCACCCTCCTGCCTTCTCCCCCCCCCGCCCCCCACCACCCCAGGGCAAGTGGGCGACAGGAGAGGCATGAAGTATAAATAAATAAATAAATAAATACATAAACAATGAGTGATAGCTCTCCCGCCTCTGAGTCAGAAGGTTGTGGGTTCGAGCCCCCCCATGCCGGGACTTGGACCGTAGTCTAAGCTGACGCTCCTATGAAGCGCCGGAGGGGGTGTTGCATTGTCGGAGACGCCGTCCTTCAGATGAGACGTTAAATCGAGGTCCCGTCTGTCTGTTCGGGTGGACGCTAAAGATCCTGTGGTGTTATTCGAAAAGAGAATCTCCCTCTCCCGATGTCCAACAATCCCCCAAATAAAACTGGTCTCTCACTCTGGAGGGACAACTGCCGTACGCAAACTGGCTGCCGTGTTTCGCTCACAGACAACAACAACAACAAGGTTGCATTTATAGAGCACCTTTCACGTCGGGAGGACGTCCCAAGGCGCTGGACAGTTGGGTCAGGACCCGAGCAGGGGGGGAAATGGTCAGGGTGAGGGAAAGGAAGGGAGGGAGCGAGGAGGGGGTAGAGAGTTGAGAGGGGAGCTGAAGGCACGGTTGAAGAGAAATACACAGTCACTGGACTCCACAACATATCCTGTGAAGCGCTTTGAGATGACTCGACGATGTGATAAGGGGTTGTGTCAAATGCAAGGATACAGCGCTTATCACGTTGGAAAGACAACAATAACTTTTACACAGCGCCCCCACATGCAGGGCAGCGGCCCAGAGCGCTTGACACAACGCCGAGTCGGAGGGAGGTGACCGTAGGCAGTGTCGAAGAGAAAGGTCTTCGGGCTGCAACCCAAAGATGGGGAAAGAGGGGACAAGGCAGAGGGAGGGAGGAAGGAAGAGTGTTCCAGAGTTTCGGGGCATAGTGGCTGAAAGGACGTCTCAAAGCACTTCACAGGAATTACTGTGCAATGAAGTGACTGTGTGTTTGTTGGTAAATGTGACTGCGCAGGTGAGATTGGACACGCACGTAACACAGCCCCCCGCCACTACACTCTGCACGCCAAACCCACCCCCAACTCCCTCCCTTCTCAACCCTCCCGCCCACGCCCGCCATGACTTACGAATAGGGTTCTGTGCTGTGTAGATGATGTCGAACTGCAGGATGACCAGGAGGAACTGGAACCAGGGGCTCATCTGCCAGTTGGGGTGGGGGATGTGAATGGCGAAGACGATATCGTTGGTGCCAATGTCCTGGTCTTTGGCCTCAGAGAAATCCTGGATTTTCTTCTCACACTGGCTCGGGCCCCAGGGCATGAACCACTTGGAGCCCACCTGGTTCTTCCTCACGTCCACGCATTTTGTGGCCAAGTAGGGGATTCCCGTTGTGGGGCTCGGAGCTATGGAGGGGGAGAAACAAAATGGTGGACAAAAGATTATTTTTGGGGAGAAAAATTGTGGAGACCCGTAGGGTAGTGATTAGAGCACTCGCCTCTAATTGGCTCTCATTGGCTGCCGGGCTTTGCCCATAAAATACACAGTCAATTCACTTTATGGCATATTCTGTGAAGCGCTTTGAGACGTCTCAATGACGTGATAAGGCGCTATATCAAATGCAAGGATTATTATTATTATTTTTAATATATGAAGGCGGTTCATTATTGGAAGCATTATGTCGAAAGCCAGATTTATCACTATTCATAACTTATACAGTGCCTTTTACACCAGAAGGTTATTTCAAAGAGCATAATAACAGCAATAATTCCTGCATTTGATATATAAATAGCGCCTTATCACGTCGTTGAGACATCTCAAAGCGCTTCACCGGATATACTGCAAAATGGAGTGACTGTATTTTGTAGGTGAAACGACGGGCAGATAGATGGCTGGATGGGAGTTTCATTACTAACAGGGCTATTGCCAATTGAGATGGGTGGAGGCTTTTGGCAGTGTTATTCCAAGGCTAGACAGCTTCCTGAGATCTCAAAGCTCCATTGAAATGCTGTGTATCGGCCCAGCTGGAGCTGGTGTCCGTTGAGGAAACGTCCCCGTAGAGACCTGCAAGCTATCCCTAGGCCATTATCTCCCAGGAACTGAGATGGAAAGACCTCTGTTCACACGTTAATTGGATCAAATATCTTTAGGTTGAATCTTGAGCAGTCATTTCCTCCTCCACCTCCCCACCAGCCACAAAACACATACCTAACGTCTAACCCCATCATCCTGCTTCAGAGTTCCATGCGTACACACCCCTCTTACACACGGAAATTTCCCTGCGTTCATCTGGTCTGTCATCACCAGTCATTACCCTGGTCTACTGCGGGACTGACTGACTGAGGAAACTACAGTGAGAGCGTGAGAGAGAGAGCACTGGAGAGAATTAGTGATAATAATAATCCTTGCATTTGATATAATGCCACTCACATTGTTAATAATCCCTCCAAAACCAAAAACAATAATAAATTGGTCATTTTCAATCTACAACTGTTTGTGGGACATTGCTGTGCGCAATTGGCGGCCGCGTTCGCCCACAAACATACAGTCAATTCACTTTACAGTGTGTTCTGTGAAGCGCTTTGGGACGTCCTCCCGACGTGAAAAGCGCTATATCAAATGCAAGGATTATTATTATTATTATTCAGACGTCCCAAAGCGATTCACTGTAAAATGTGGCAGCCATTGCACACAGCAGTGTCCCACAAACAACTGTCGAGCGAGTGACCGATTTTATTTGGGGGATTGTTGGCCAGGACACTGGGAGAGGGAACTCCCTTCTCTTTTCGAATAGGGAGGCGGGTTCTTTAACGTCCAGTTGAACAGGCAAACGGGTTTAACTGTTTATGGGACACAGCTGTGCGCAAATGGCTGCCTCGTTTTGCCCATAATATATAGTCAATTCACTTCACAGCATATTCTGTGAAGCGCTTTGAGACGCCTCGAAGACGTGATAAGACGCTACGCCAAATGCAAGGATTATTATTATTATTATTATCGTCTCATCCAACGGACAGATTGATTCAATTCCGACATTCCACTGCCAAGTCACCTCGGAGCAAGAGTGGAGGGTGTGAGGAGAGAGTGTAGACTGCCATAGCGAAGGCATGAGGTGGTGGGAGGGGGGAGGGTATGGGTTGCAGACACTCTCTCCCCCCCTCCCCTCCAAAGTGAAGTGGGGGGAATGAGGGAGGCCGGCGAGGAGAGAGCTGGAGCATGCGACCAGGAGACAGAGGAAAGGCGGGAGGAAGAAGGGGGCACCAAAGTGCGAATGACGAAAATTAATCGAAGAATGCAAGAGGGAAAGACAGAGATAGAGAGAGAGTCAGAGAGAGTGCGGGGCCGGAAATAAAAAAAAAAATCCACTTAAGATCCAGGTCTTTCCGTCCCGAAGAAACGGTCTATTTCTCTTTTGGGTGATTTTTTTTTAACTGCAAGTATTGAAATAACAAGGTCAGCCCTGTGACCAGTTGTCCAAATATGCCCGATCATTACTGCACTGAGTCTCAATAGCCAACGCACGAATTGTTCCTCAGCGTAAACACAGCCTTTTCATGTCCGCCCGTTGACACGTCAACATTGATTAGAGCCCGAGGCCTACTGAGGCCCACACTGCCGCTCAGGGCTTCTCCTGGCTGCCAGACTTCTACTCAATTAGAGCGGAGTCCTGTAGCTCAGTGGTTAGAGCGCTCGCCTCACAAGCGAGAGGACCCGGGTTCGATTCCCAGGCCGGGGGGCGAAACTTTGGGCAAGTTACTTGCTCCACACAGCTCTGTTTACCCAGCAATGGGTAGAAACCCGGTCATTAGTGTTTGGCGGATCGCTTTCCAGGGCTAATAATCCCATCCAAAAAAGAATAATGATTCGGTCACTGGGACACTGCTGTGCGCAATTGGCGGATGTGTTTCGACCACAAATATCCAGTCACTCCACTTTATAATATATCCTGTGAAGCAGTTTGAGACATCTCAACGTCAGGATAAGGTGATACATCAATTGCGAGGGTTATTACTACTCCAAATGGCTGTGAGCATTCTTGGCTGGAGGAGGGGCGTAGGGGGACACAGAGAGAATGAGAGAGTGGTGGGGAGTGGACGGGGGTTTGGGGGAGGAGAAGAGACAGAAAGAGAGAGAGAGAGAGCACACGGTGTCCACATGCCTTTTGTTCTCTATTTATAGAGCAGCGATGAAACAGAATCACTGCGAACTGCTCTGTCTCTCACTGAGCTCGGAATGGAATTTTTGACTCACGCACTGGGTCAGAGATTTACTGCTAATCTTCACAGCCTGGTCTGTCTGTCTGTCTGTCTGTCTGTCTGTCTGTCTGTCTGTCTGTCTGTCTGTCTGTCTGTCTGTCTGTCTGTCTGTCTGTCTGTCTGTCTGTCTGTCTGTCTGTCTGTCTGTCTGTCTGTCGTCTGTCTGTCTGTCTGTCTGTCTGTCTGTCTGTCTGTCCTGTCTGTCTGTCTGTCTGTCTGTCTGTCTGTCTCTGTCTGTCTGTCTGTCTGTCTGTCTGTCTGTCTGTCTGTCTGTCTGTCTGTCTGTCTGTCTGTCTGTCTGTTCTGTCTGTCTGTCTGTCTGTCTGTCTGTCTGTCTGTCTGTCTGTCTGTCGCTCTGTCTGTCGCTCTGTCTGTCTGTCTGTCTGTCTGTCTGTCTGTCTGTCTGTCTGTCTGTCTGTCTGTCTGTCTGTCTGTCTGTCTGTCTGTCTGTCTGTCTGTCTGTCTGTCTGTCTGTCTGTCTGTCTGTCTGTCTGTCTGTCTGTCTGTCTGTCTGTCTGTCTGTCTGTCTGTCTGTCTGTCTGTCTGTCTGTCTGTCTGTGTCTGTCTGTCTGTCTGTGTCTGTCTGTCTGTCTGACACCCCCGCACCCCCACAAGTCCTGTCCACATCAATAGGTACAGACATTAAAGTTCCCGCGATGACATGGTAGTGTTGGGTGAGGGGGTAAAGAGGGGGAGGGGGAGGGAATTTCCTTCTGTTCTCCGCACAGCTGGCTATGAGCAAGATGGCTACCCTGTTACCCAACAAATAGTCACTACAGTCGAACAACAATCTCCGTCAAGCTCTTAAGAGGCCACAAAGTAATTCCTTTTAAATCACATGGATCTCAATCACCCACCCACCCACCATAGGAGGGTGATCGAAGAAGAGGGTCTTGAAAGAAGCAAGGAGGGGGCAAACCGGAGGGACCACAGGATGGAGTTCCAGAGGTTGGGGCAGAGTAGCTGTATCCTCGCCTACCAATAGTGGGGCGGGCGAGTCGGGGGGACATGAAACAGGCCAGTACCCGCTGAGTGGAGGAAGCGGGAAGGTTGGTAGGGGGTTAGGAAGTTGCAGACGTAGGTGGGAGTGAAGCCGTGGACGGCTTTGAAGGTGAGGACCAGGATCTTGGACTGTATCGTCTGTGTAAAAGCAAATTAGATAGATTTCTGTTAGGAAATAATATGTCAGGATACAGTATATAGTTTGGGACACGATATGTTATATGCGACTGGCAGGATAGTGAAAGGCGAACTGGATGGACCTTGGTCTTTAATAATAATAATAATCCTTGATTTGATATAATGTCTTATCACATCATTGACATGTCTCAAAGCGCTTCACAGAATATACTGTAAAATGTAGTTACTGTATATTTTATGGGCAAAACATGGCAGCCAATTGCACACAACTGTGACCACAGATAGTTGTGGAGTGAGTCACCAAATTATTATTATTTTTTGGGGGAGAAATTATTACTCCTGGAAAAGCGATCCATCAATCGACTAACAACCGGGTTCCTACTTACTGCCGGGTAAACAGAGGCGAGTGGAGGAAGGAAACTTGCCCGAGGTTTCACCCGGTCTAAGGAACCAAACCCAGGTCCTCTCGCTTGTGAGGCAAGTGTGCTATAGGACTCCACAATGTGGTCGGTGGAAGGCAAAACTAGATGGACCCTGGTATTCTTTTGTCTGGTAACTCCCGTGTTGTTAGGAGCGAGCGAGCGAGCAATTCACAAACACGTCCAGGAGAGGATTAAGCAGAAGCATGCGAACACCAGGCAAGGGCTCAGTCCTGGCCCAGGCCGGCTTAGCGCATACCAAAGACATCACTCGGCCAACTGCTGTGTGAACAAAGGGACAGAGCTGCTCTCAGTGTCAATGTCAGTCACTCCATTGGGCCGGGCCCTGTGAAAGGGCTGCCTCGCCTCACACACAAAGCCAGAACACCGGGGGAGAGATAGAGAGATAGAGAGAGAGAGAGAGAGAGAGAGAGAGAGAGAGAGAGCGCCGAGATGCCAACAAAATAAATTACTTAAGACACCGGACAACATATTCTAACGTCTCGCTGGCAAGTCAGGACCCGACTACAATGTCATCCCTCCCCAACTCCCTCTTGCACTCTTTTCTCTCTCTCTCTCCCCCCCCTCCCCCCTTTCTGTCTCTCTCTCGCTCCCCTCCTTCTGTCTCTCTCTCTCTCTCTCGCTCCCCCTTCACTCTCCCTCACTCCCCCTTTCTCTCTCTCATCCCCCCCTTCTCTCTCTCTCGCTCCCCCCTTTCTCAATACAGCGCTTCCCCAAGACTGCACTGGAGCTCCGCCACCGCATAGCGCTCTTGCGTGGAGGGCGCTTAATATAAGTGCAAGTTGTTGTTGTTGATTGTCAGCTTCGATTATGAGCTCAAAGTCCCCGACGTGGGGCTTGAACCCGCAGACTTGCGAGCCAGCAGGGGGACTGCGTCAGCCAGCAACACCCCATCTCTGAATCAGAAGATGGTGGGGGTTCGAGCTTAAAATACTCCAGGCCGACTCTCCAGCGAGAGTCAAAGGTGCCGTGCTTCCACCGAAGCGTTAAACCTCGCTCCCCGCCTGCGTCGTGTTCGGGTGGGCCGTAACGATCGCAATTCAGAAAGGAGGAGGTTTCTCTCTGGGATTCCTGCCCTGACAATCCCTCCCAGATAAAATCGCGGCTGTTTGCGGTTCGTTGCTGTGCACAAATCGGCTACAAAAACACACCGTCGGTACACTTCGCAGCGAATTCCCGTGAAGCGCTTCGAGCCATTCCTCCCGACAAGAAAGGTGCTGCGTCAAAGGCGAGGTCCATTCATTATTCATAGCTTAGACACTGACTCGGCCCCTAACTCCGAGATCCAGGTCTCAAGCAGAATCATGACAGTGATGGAGATCCGACAGGCGCGGGGTGGGGGGTGGAGGGGGGGGAAGACGGGGGCTAAGATCGACAAGCAACGGAAAGCTTGACATGCACACGTGCGCATATCACGTACACGCACAAGCACACACGCACACGGTGTGCAACAACAAACAATATAATTACACTGGTAAAGCGCCTTTCACGTCGGGAGGACGTCCCAAGGCGCTGAGCTGAGCGTGTGCGCACACTCGCACAGAAGTCTGCATTCTCCGCACCTTCTCTCCCCCCCCCACCCCCCACACCCCCCAACATCAATCGCCCTCAAGATCAAAGGTTAACGCCCAAAACTCTTCTCGGTGTGGTCTCTCGCTGGTTAAACTGCCCAGCAGTTAACCATCACTGAGCCTCCGCTCTTGCCAACTCTTGCTTAATTCAAGCCAGAATTAGGCAAACGGGGTGCGACCCTTGGGGTCGGTGGGGGTGGGGGGTTGGTGGGTGCGAGAGAGTGTGTGCATTCCGTTCCACGTGCAGAGAAATCTCCACGCACAGGTTGTTGCGCTTGTAAATGGAGCTCAATCTGGTTTAAGATACTCCGCATTTAGGGAGATGGGTTTCCCGTGTGTGTCCGACACCCACCCACCCACCCACCCATCAGGCTGTGATAAAAGGAAATGGGTGGGGGTGGGGGTGTGGGTGGGGGGGGGAAGAAGAGTGGGTGGGGGGGGGGGAGAAGAGAGAAGAAAGGAGAGAGAAAGAGGGGATACAAGGAAGAAGGGAAAAGAGAAAGGAAACGAAGAGGGAGGAAAAGAAAGAGAGAGAGAGAGAGAGAGAGAGAGAGAGAGAGAAAGGAAACAAAGAGGAAGGGAAGAGAGAAAGACGGAGAGAGCAAAGGAATGAGCTCACTCCCTGGTCCTCTGATTGGAGTCAGAGACGCAGACAAAGAAACTCTCAGCACACGATAATCTCGGCCATACGTATTTTGAAATAACGTCTATTTTCTGTCTGCATACTCTACACCTCGTCTCCCCCCCCCCCCCCCACCCCACCCACCCGCCGCGCCCCCTCCCCTCCTCCCCACCCCTCTCCCCTCTTCCCCAACCCCCAACCTTCCCGCAGATCAAAATGATTAACGCGCAGAAAGCTCCATCTCAAATCAAAACATTTTTCTTTCTTTCTTTGAAGGTTGTGGGGGGAGAGAAAGAAAATGAAAGTGCGTGTGTGTAGGGCGGGGGGGGGGGGGGGGAGGCTAAACACCACACGCCATGAACCTAAAAAGTTTCCAAACTTTTGACTGATTTGAGTGTTACTTCAAGGGCTAATTTTGACGGGGTGGGGGGGGGGGGGAGAGAGGATTAGGGCGATACTATTGTCTTCCCGATAGTGTATACACACACGGGGGGGGGGGAGACACACACACACACACACACACAGGGGGGGTGGGGGGAGACACACACACGGGGGGGGGGGGGAGACGCACCCACACATGGTGGGAGACACACACACACACACACGGGGTGGGGGGTGAGACAGACACACACACACACGGGGTGGGGGGTGAGACAGACACACACACACACGGGGTGGGGGGTGAGACAGACACACACGCGCGCGCGGGGGAGGGGTGAGACACACACAGATGCGCACGGGGGGGGTGGGTGAGACACACACACACGCGCGCATGGGGGGGTGGTGGGGGGCCGGTGAGACACACACACACGGACAGGGGAGACACACACGGACAAGGGAGACACTCGCACACACGCGCAGGGGAGACACGCACACGCGTACACGGGGGAGACACGCGCGCGAGCACACGGGGGAGACACGCGCGCACGCGGGGTAGACACTGGCGCGCACAGGGGAGATACACACGTGCGCGGGGGGGGGGGAGATACACACACACGCACGCAGGAAACAAACACACACGCAAGGGGGAGACACACACTCGCACGCAAGGGGGAGACACACACGCACGGGGGAGGCACACACACACAAGCATGGGGGAGACACACACACGGGGAAGACACACACACGCATGGAAGGGGGTGAAACTCACAGACACACACACCACGCGGGGGGGGGGGGTGTTGCAACACACACGCGCATGGGGGTGTGAGACACACACGCGGGTGGGAGGGGGTTGAGACACACGCGCGGGGCTGGGGAACACACACGCGCGGGGGGTGTGGGACATGCGCGCGGGAGGGTGGGACACACACGTGCGGGGTGGGGGGTGAGACACACATGCGCGCAGGGGGAGAAATACACGCGCAGTGGTGGGGGCGGATATACACGCGCGGGGGCGGAGATACACGCGCGGGGGGGGGGGGGGGGGGCGGAGATACACGCGCGGGGGGGGTGGGGGAGACACACACGCACCAGGGGGAGACGCACACACACAGAAGGAGAGACACAGACAGAGGGAGAAAGACACACAGACAGTGATACAAACATACATACATACACATACAGACAGACAGACAGACAGACACACAGAAAGAGAGACACACACACACACAGACAGACACAGACAGACAGACAGACAGACAGACACACACACAGACACAGACAGACAGACAGACACACAGACAGACACACATACAGACAGAGACACACAGACAGACACAGACAGACAGACACAGACAGACAGACAGACACAGACAGACACACACACAGACACACAGACAGACAGACACACAGACAGACACACACACAAACAGACAGACACACATACAGACAGACACAGATAGACACACAGACAGACACAGACACAGACAGACACAGACAGACAGACACAGACAGACACAGACAGACAGACAGACAGACAGACAGACACACAGACAAAGCTGCACAAACAGAGAGAGTGGGATATTTGAAACAGATGGTTCCAACTCTCTGCTGTGTTTTTGGTTGTGATGGAGCAGATTTACAGTGTGTGGGGGAAAAAAATACCCCCTCCCCCCCCCCCCCCAAACCCCCTAAAATCCCAAACAAAAACACTTTGAAAACTATTTTCTGGGTGTTAACCCCCCCCACACACACACACATACACACACACACAGAGAAGTGGGAGACTGGTAACACAGACCCCCCACCCCCCCACCCCACCCCCAACCACACACACAAATTCCAAAGAAAAAAAAGTTTGGAAAACTTTTTTGGAGGAGTCAAAAACATACCCCCAAACCCCCCCCCACACACACACACACACAAAATCCTACCCCCCCCACCCCCACAGATCATGCAAACACCAAACACCCCCTTCTCTCCAAAGAAATCAATCAGTTTCAGGTTGAAACAAGTTGCTTTGTAATCCACACACTGTGATAAGTTTTTCCCTGTGTGTGTGTGTGTGAGTGAGTGAGTGTATAAACACTCCATCGCCATTCTTAACCTCTTGCTTTCTCTTTCTCTCTGAAGTTTATAAGTTTTTGAAGTCAAAAGTCTCCCCACACTCTGAAAAAAGACCTTCCTCTCTCAGCACCAATGCAAATGCAAATTTTTTTTTTGGGGGGGTGAGGGGAGGGGGGGGGGGGTTCATTCCTCCTTCTCAAATGCAAACTGCATTCACTTGTAAATTTTTTTTTAAAAAAAAGAGGAAAATAACACTCAGGATCTCTCTGCAAAGGGAGAGAGAAAGTATTTCTTCTCTCTCTCTCTGTCTGTCTGTCTCTCTCTCTCTCCTACACAAAAAAAATGACATGGATTAAATAAATCAGATCACAGTAGTTGGTTACCTGCACTGTAACAACAGCCTCCACACCCCCACAGACAGATAATAATAATAATAATAATCCTCGCATTTGATATAGCGCTTTTCACGTCGGGAGGACGTCCCAAAGCGCTTCACAGAACACACTGTCAAGTGAAGTGACTGTATATTTGTGGGCGAACGCGGCCGCCAATTGCGCACAGCAATGTCCCACAAACAGTCGTGGATTGAAAATGACCGATTTATTATTGGTTTCGGTTTTATGTGTAGATACAGACATACACACACGGGGTGGGTGGGGGGGGGGGGGGAAGGTTTACAACAAAAGGCAAAGAAGGTAATAAATAAGTAAATAAACTTACGTATCAATCCTCCAACCAGAAAAGCGACCACTTGGAATATGAGCAAAATCACTCCAACAATGCAGAGTTTTTTGGTGCTCATGTTCTCTATAATTGCTCCTACCATTTTTATACAGTGTTGGTGTGGATCCTATCGTTGTTACTCTCTTCTTCTCTCTCTCTCTCTCTCTCACTCCCTCTTTCGTTCTTTCTTTCTCTCTTCCTTCCTTCCTTCTCCTGTTTGGGGGAAAAAAACAGCAACTTAATTGAATGAGGCTGGATCTAATGGATGGGTTTGGGAGAGAGAGAGAGAGAGAGAGGGAGTGTTCAATAGGAGGAGCAATAGGAGCTTAACAAGTCATAAGGAGTTGTTAAAGGAGGAGAGAGACTGTGATTTTTTTTATATATGCACAGACATACCATTCTTGGCTGATTTAAGGGATTTTTTTCCCATTTACTTCTTTTATGGGGGAGAGAGCAGAACTGAAACACACACATACACATACGCACACCCACATAAATAAAGGGGAACAAACAATGGCACTGACTCCCACCATTCCCAGATTTTTCTTGCACAACATCTTGTGCTCCGCACGCTCGCCCCGAAAACTCAGGAGTTAACATTCACACTCACTCTGCTGTTTAAAGCGACGCTCCCCGCCCGACACGCGCTCCCGCCCGCCCGCGCGCACGCGCCCACGCCTACAAAACGCACAGTCACTACACTTTACTGGAAAGCGCTGTCAGACACCTCATGGCGTGCATCAACATGCAAGGCTTATTATAATTATAAATCCCGTGAAGAGCTTTGACACGACCTCTGTCTAATTGGCTGCCGCGTTGCGCCTCTGGGTCATTAGATTGTGGGTTCAAGCCTCACTTCGGGGACTTAATTGGCTGCCGTCCCCCCCCACCCCCCCCCAAATACACAGTCAATTCACTTTACAGTATATTCTGTGGCGCGCTCTGAGATGTCTCAAAAGACTTAATAAGGCGCTGCATCAAATGCAAGTATTATTATTTATTATTGCATTTGAAACAGTGCCCTATCACTTTGTCGATACAACGCCCCTCCACACAGTTTGCCGTCAAGTGTAGTGACTGTGTATTTTCTGGAGGAGGGAAGACGGCAGCCAACTTGTGCACAGCGACACCCCGCAAACATCCGTACAGTGAAAATGACTTTAAAGTCACAATCCCATGCTGATGTTCCAGCGTAGTGCTGGGGGGAGGAGAGGGGGAGAGCGTTGCATTACCAGAGGTATCGCCTCCTTCGGATAAGTCGTTAAATCTTACACCTCATCTGCGCCCGGTTCAGGCGGACGTTAAAGATCCAGCGGCACTGTTGGAAAAGAGACGGGTCACTCATTGCCGTCTGTTGCATTTGCGGACAAAAACAGTCACTGCACTTGACAGCATATTACTTGTGAGGTGCTCGGGGCTGCCCTAAAAACCCCAAAGTTTCGCTTCTTATCTTTAATTTACAACATTTTCCGTCTTAAATGCAACTCGCCTAAAAGCTTTACGATGTCTCACATCTAAAATTAAATAATACAATCAATTTTTTAAAGCTTTCTGGAGGCAGCGGGTGTGTGAGAGGCAAGTGACGTCACGTCACACGCACCAACGACCATCTCTAACGAAATTCTCGCTCTAATCTGGATCCACACCGCATTACATGCAGATAGACATATCCTGATAAGGCGCTCTATCAAATGCAAGGACACAGCGCTTATTACGTTAGAAGGACAACCATTTACATTGGTGTAAATGCCCCTCACGCAGGACAACATCCCCTGTGGCACTGTCGGAACAGAGAAGGGAGACTTGCATTTGATACGTCTCAAAGCGCTTCACAGGATATACTGTGAAGTGTAGTGACTGTGTATTTTGTGGGTGATTTGCCCCAGTTGCCGGTAACGTCTAACAGAGCACTTTGAGACATTTTGATAGCAATACGCAGGTTCATTCTCTAGTTACCAACGAAGCCATCGGGGATTAACCCTTTGTGCGAAAAGATGGGTCATCCGTAAGCGATCCCCGTTCCTGCTGCCATCGCCACTGCCGTGTGCTGTGAAGGGAGTTCACACTGTCTCCACGTTTCACCTGCCTTCCTTGTCTGATGGACACGTGTTACAAAGGTAAGCATAGCAGCGCCCTAAGGAGCAAAGGTTATTGGTGAATAGTCTTAAAGGCGAGGTGCCAGGCTGGTAATATCACTCCCCTCGCAAGTTAACGAGAGGACCCAGATCCGATTCCTTGCTCCAAACACAAGTCTCTGTTTATCGAGCAGTAAGTAGTAACACGGTTGTTAATCGGTTGGCGGACCGCTTTCCGGGGGTAATAATAATCCCTCCAAAAAAAAAAATTTGGTCACTCAATCCATGACTTGTATGTGGGACACCGTTGCGCACAATTGGCTGCTGCGTTTCGCCCACAAGTTGCACTGTCAATTCTATGAAGCGCTTTGAGACGCCCCGAAGACGTGATAAAGCGCTACAATAAATGCAAGGATTATTATTCTTATCAGCCTGACTCAGTCGCTCGCGCTCTTGCCTTTGGGTCACAAGGGGACTTGGTGGTGGGGTGGGCTGGGGCGGGTGGGTGGGGGGGCGGGGGGTGAGGTCACACAGTTATAATAAGGGTGGTGGGGGGGAACATCAGCATTATTGGAAGCACTGTTAGATGATGCATTAAAAACCTATTAAACATCCAACCCTTTATTCCCCCACCGCCCACCCCACCTGTTAAAACACAACACTAACTCCCAGCTCTCTCTCGCTCTCCCTTCTCTCCCCCACTGCCGGTCCTTTCCTCCCTCCCACTCCAGATTAACGCAGTGATCATCCCGTTCCACGGTGTTGCGTGGCACTGCGGCACAAAGCAACAGTCACTACGCGTCAAAGTGACTCTCTGCCCGTTCATTTCATCTATGGGTTAATATACGATTGATGGGTGGGAGTGGGGGTTGAGGATTGATCGGTGAGCGAGCTGCAATTTCCTCCGTTTTTTTTAAAAAAAAGGTCTGTTACCTGTCTCCCCCACCGCCCCCCCCCACCTCCCACCCACCAATTCCCCCCTAACCCCACCCCCACCCACCCCGTGCCTCAGAGTGGGGAGTAGAAAGCTATCTGCAGTGGCTGATCCAGGCTGCGGCAGGTTGAGGAATGTGGTAAGACAAGCAAAGCTGATTGATGTAGACAGCGACTGCTTTCATGTGGCAAATATCCCTCACCACCAGCTGGGAGGCGGGGGCGGAGAGGATTGGTGGGGGGGGGGAGTGGGGGGGAGAGGTATCTCTCTGACACTCACATCTCACAGCAGTGATCTGCAGCTTCACTGCTGGGTTGGTGTGTGTGTGTGTGCGTGGATGTCTGTGTGCATGCGATTCGTGTAGGATGCGAGTGTATTTGTGTGCGCGCGCGTGTGGGTGTGTGTGGTGCTTGTGTGCGTGCGAGTGTGCGTGCAGTTTTTATGTGCACCGCGTGTGCGCGTGCGTGGGTACACCATGTGTGCGCGCGTGCGCGATACGTGTGTAGGATGTGTGCGTGATCGTGTGTGTGTGTGTGTGCGTGCGGTGTGTGTGAGCGCGCGGATCTGCATGCGTGTGTGTTGACGGTTACCCGTGTATACGTAGAGAATGTGAGCAGGTATGTGCGATGTGTATGGATGTGCGTAGACAGTGGATTTCCCGACTCCTTAAAGGGCTTCCGATTACCTCCGAGCACAGAGATGACCCCCTCTCACTGTCTCCCGACTACGCTAAGCTCCTAACTCCCTCCACACTCCCCCCACCCACCCACCCCTCTCCCCTCTCCCTACGCTCCACTGAAGGGCGGCACCATGCTCCCCCACAACAAAAAGAAATTGCATTTACTCAGCGCCTTTCACGTCAGTAGGACCCCCCCCCCCCCCCCCACCCTCACCTCAAGGCACTGGACAATGAATGGTTTGTACCCGAGCTGGTCGATTTCAAGAGGGGTGGAGGGGGTGGGAGGGTCACCGATGGTGTGGTCAAAGAGGAAGATCTTGAGATGGGCTTTGAAGGAGGCGAGGAAGAGAGAGGGGGGGCAGGGTGCCATATTGTCGGAGATATTGTCCTTCATATGAGACCAAAGGGCTGTGTGCGCCTGTTCAGGCAGACGTTAAAGAGAAGGGAGTTTCTCTTTCCCAGTATCTTCCCCCCCCACCTCCCCGCCCGATTAATCCTCGCTCACTTCCTGGCTGTTTGTCTGCACATGGCTATTAGCCTATAAAACAGAGATAAAAAATGATCACTCACTTCATGACTGTTTGGAGACACTGCTGTGTGCAAGTTGGCTGCCGCGTTTGCCTACAAGATACAGTGAAGTGACTGCACTTTACAGTGTATCTTGTGAAGCGTTTTGAGTCATCCTCCTGACGCAATAAGGCGCTGTATCAAATGCAAGGATTATATTATTATCTTAAGTCACACCCATTATGACTTAAGTGCGAGCGAAAAGTTAAACCAGGGTCGAGTGAGCAGGAGATCACAGTATTAGTCAGTCTTGGTGGATCATTTTTCTGGGAATAATAATCCCTAAAAAAACCCATAATAACTTGGTCACTGTATCCACATCTGTTTGTGGGACAAACATCTGTTTGTGGGACATCTGTTTGCTTTGTGCAGTTGGCTACTGCCTTTCGTCCACAGATCATACAGTCGATTCACTTTACAGTCTATTCTGTGGAGCGCTTCAGTGATGTGAAAAGCACTATATCCAATGCAAGGATTATTATTATTATTGTTATTATTATTATTCAGTACATTAGTTAACAGATAGCGCCCTCTACCGTTCAATAAGGAAGATACCGGGTTGGCAAAGGACTTACTTTTCTAGATTTAATGCAATTTACGACAGAGACATTTAATTGTCATAATCGTCACGTTTGCTACAGCCTCTTGCTATGTCTAAGTGACGTCTCAAAGCCTTTCACATTGCTAAGAAGCAAAGGACTGGTTTTATCTGTGGGATTATTTTTGTTTACCGGCCAGGTGTCCCTGACACACGCAGAAACCCATCACCATGTTTCAGTCTCCAAAACGCACTCCTGGGAGTTCCAGGTTTCTAGGGAGAATGTTCATAAGATCATAACACACTTTCCTTGTCTCTGGAATGAAATGTGCGTTCTCTCTCTCTCTCTCTCACTCACTCTCTATCTTTCTTCCTGTAGAATGCACTCTGTGTATTCAATCCTGGAGAGCATTAGGCGCAGGTTGTCAAGAGCCAAGGTTTGGAGATCCCAGCGTGTGCATTGGGGTAACTGTCTAACCAGCTAATTCCTGTTGTTGTTGACAACAACAACAACAACTTGGATTTATATACTGCCCTCCACACCAGATGGCTTCACAGTAACAGATCCCGGAGCTGAGCCGGGAGGAGGGGGAGGGGGAGGAAGGTGACCAAAGGCGCGGTCGAAAAGAAAAGTATTCAGCCGAGACCTGAAAATAGGAAGAGAGGGGGCGAGGTAGAGGGAGTGAGGAAGGCAGTTCCAAAGCCTCGGGGTGTAGTGGCTGAAGGCACGGCCGCCGAGGGCGGAGCGGAGCATTCGGTGGACAAGAAGGAGGCCAGACCCGTTGGAGCGAAGGCAACAGGTACTGTTGTGAGGAGAGAGGAGGTCAGAGAGATGGGGTGGGCAGAGGAGTGGAAGGATTTGATGACAAGAGTGAGGATCTTGAAGTCGATCCTCTCTGGGACAGGCAGTCAGTGCAGTCTGGCCAGGACTGGGGGGATCGGGGAGCGGAGTTTGGTGCGGGTGAGAATGTGGGCGGCAGAGTTTTGGATGACCTGGATTTTATGGATGGTGGTGGATGGGAGACCGGAGAGGAGGGCGTTAGAATAGTCCAGCCGAGAGGTGACAAAGGCATGGACCAGGTGGAGGATTTTAGACATTGACGAGAGCCAAAGGGTACAGCTTCCGTCTTGTCAACATTTAGCTGAAGGAAATTCGCGCTCATCCAACTCCTGATGTCTGACAGGCAGCTGAGAGAACATCAGGGGACTGGGGGTCGCAAAGTGAGGTGGAAAAACAGGGTTGGGTGTCGTCCGCATACATGTATTCCCCATGTCTGCGGATGACATCCCCAAGAGGGAGCATGTAGATCAGAAAGAGTAGGGGGCCAAGGATCATCAGCAGTTCCTTGAAGTACTGCGGACCCACCTGACTGCAGAGGAACTGGAATACAGAGATCACCACAGAAGGTTGACTTGATTCTGATATCCTGATATCATTCTTTGGTCACCCTCCTACCCCCACCCTCCCTGCCCTCCACCCCCTCCTGATCCCAACTCCCAGCTCGGTCCAAATCTCTGACTGTCCAGCACCTTGGGAAGTCCTTCCGATGAGAAAGGCGCTGTGTAAACTTAATTTGTTGTTATTCCCCCAAGGATTCAAGTGTTTTGTGCTGTGGAAATTGCAATCCTCAACATCCCCCCCAGGTGCCGCTGCACTCCACAAAATCATGTCAAGATCTGACTGACCACGCTTCAACACGTCTGAGTTGGATCCCAAGGATGGACAGGGTATATTGAAATTTGGGAAAGTTGTGGACCTGAAGAGTGGCAGAAATCTGGAACTCATCCCCCCCCCCCCCACCCAAAAGGCCGTGGATGCTGTGAGTTAGTGAGGTTGAGAGATTTTTGGTAGGTCAGGGATATGGGAAGAAAGTGGGAAATTGGAATTGAAAGGATCAGTTGAGGTACAGAGCAGGTTACTGAGGGAAATAAGGGTGAAAATTACGGAGGCTCTGGCCACAATCGTTCAATCCTCCTTGGACACCAGGTTGGTGCCAGAGGACTGGAGAGTTGCAAATGTTACTCCCCTGTACAAAAAGGGGCAGAAGGATAAACCCAGGAACTACAGGCCAGTCAGCCTAACGTCAGTAGTGGGGAAACTTCTAGAGACTATCATCTGGGATAAAATACATTTTCACTTAGAAGAATATGGGTTAATAAAGGACAGCCAACACGGGTTTGTTAAAGGCAAATCATGTCTAACAAACTTGATAAGAGTTTTTTGATGAAGTAACGGAGAGGATGGATGAAGGTAGTGCAGTTGATGTCGTTTATATGGATTTTCAAAAGGCGTTTGATAAAGTGCCACATAAGAGACTTGTCAGCAAAATAGAAGTCCACGGTATTAAAGGGAGAGTGACAGCGGATACAGAACTGACTGGGAGACAGAGAGCAGAGAATGGTGGTGAACGGTTGTTTCTCTGACTGGAGGGAAATGTGCAGTGATGACCCCAGGGGTCAGTATTGGGATCACTGCTGTTTTTGATCTACATAAATGATCTGGACTTGGGTATAGGGAGTACAATTTCCAAGTCTGCAGATGGTACTAAGATAGGAAAAGTAGTAAAGAGTGAGGAAGATAGTAGCAGATTACATATGGACATAGACAGATTGGTAAACTAGGCAAACCCGTGGCAGATGAAGTTTAATGTGCAAAGTGATGCATTTTAGGAGGAAGAATGAGGAGAGACAATATAAGCTGATGGTACAATCTTAAAGGGGGTGAAGGAACAGAGAGACCTGGGGGTCATATAAGTAAATCTTTGAAGGACAGGGAGATAAAGCTGTTAAAAAAGCATACGGGACGTTAGGCTTTATAAACAGGGGCATAGAATACAAAAGTCAGGAAATTATGATGAACCTTTATATAATACACTGGTTAGGCCTCAGTTAGAGACTGTGTTCAGTTCTGGGCCCCACACTTTAGGAAGGATGTCAAGGCATTGGAGAGGGAGCAAAGGAGATTTTCCAGGATGGTCAGGAATGAGGGACTTCAGTTGTCAGGAGAGGCTCAAGGAGCCGGGATTATTCTCCTTGGAGCAGAGAAGGTTAAGAGGAGACTCAATAGACGTTTTCAGAATTATGAGGGGATTTGATAGGGTGAACAAGGAGAAACTGTTCCCATTGGCGGGTGGGTCGGTAACCCGAGGGCACCGATTTAAAATGGTTGTTAAAAGAAACAGAGGGGAGGAGAGGAGAAATGTTTTCACACAGCGAGTTGTTGGGATCTGGAATGCATTGCCTGAAAGGCTGGTGGGAACCGATTCAATAACAACTTTTAAGAGAGTAGATAATTGGGGAGGACAAGTTTGCAGGGCTATGGGGAGAGAGCGGGGGAGTGGGGTTGATCAGGGCTATGGGGAGAGAGCGGGGGAGTGGGGTTGATCAGGGCTATGAGGAGAGAGCGTGGGAGTGGGGTTGATCAGGGCTATGGGGAGAGAGCGGGGGAGTGGGGTTGATCAGGGCTATGGGAGAGAGTGGGGGAGTGGGGTTGATCAGGGCTATGGGGAGAGCGTGGGGGAGTGGGGTTGATCAGGGCTATGGGGAGAGAGTGGGGGAGTGGGGTTGATCACGGCTATGGGGAGAGAGTGGGGTTGATCAGGGCTATGGGAAGAGCGCGGGGGAGTGGGGTTGATCAGGGCTATGGGGAGAGAGTGGGGGATGTGGGGTTGATCAGGGCTATGGGTTAGAGAGCGGGGGAGTGGGATTGATCAGGGCTATGGGTTAGAGAGCGGGGGAGTGGGATTGATCAGGGCTAGCTCAACGGTGCCATTGGATTTTACACGCCAAGATGTCTTATGTGTTTTTGGCGCTCTTCCCCCACCCCCCACACCCCCCCCCCCACACCGCGACCAACAACTAAAAATTGTTTACAGCCCTCGCGCAGGGTAGCGTCCCAGAGCGCTTAAGAAACGCTTAAGAAACAAATTGGTGCCTCCATTATTGGTGCCACTCCCTTCCGGGGAGCCAGCCCGCCACTGGCTGACTCCGAGGTAAACAGGGCGGGGGTCGGGGTGGCGGGGGGGGGGGGGGGGAGTGTGGGCACGGTGATCAGGCCCATCGTTCCTGCTCCTCATCACTATCCCAACTTTAATGGAAGGGGACGTCAGGCGAGAATGGGGTTGTGGCCATAATCGTTTGGGACGTGTCATTCGTTCCTCCGGGTCTGACCTCCTCCTCGTTCCCCCGAGTCCTCCGCTCCACCCTCGGCGGCCGTGCCTCCAGCCACTACGCCCCGAGGCTCTGGAACTGCCTTCCTCACCCCCTTCGTCTCGCTCCCTCGCTTCCCATTTTCAGGTCTCTGCTGAAGACCTTTTTTTTCCACCGCGCCTTTGGTCACCTTCCCCCCCCCCTCCTCCTCCCCCCGGCTCGGCCCCCGGGATCCGTGACTGTGAAGCGCTCTGAGACGCCGTCCGGCGCGGAGGGCGCTGTATAGATCCAAGTTGTTGTTGTTGTCGTCGTCAGGTGCCCGCGACTGCCGGGACGATGGATGAAACGGGATGGACCCCTCGGTCTTCTTTCGTCGAGGAAATTCCTACGTCCTTACGTCATGTCCTGCTGAATCGATGGGAGGGGAGAGGGTTGTGGGCCCTGTTCCCTTCTCTCCGCTGCCCCCCCCCTCACCTGTCTCCCTCCCCGCCCCCCCTCCCCCCTCCCCAACTCCCCCCCCACTCCGGTCGCAGCAGAGGGGCTTTTCAGCCAGTGATCCACCCCACTTCCGGTCAAACGACCCCACTTCCTGTCAAACGACCCCACTTCCGGTTGGCTACTGGCGGATGTGTGGGATACCGGAAGTGCGGTTGTCGGGGCGGCGCGTTGCTGTGGAAACGGCGATTTTTTTTGTGTGCGCGCGGGGGGGCGCGGGGGGGGGGGGAGAGGGGGGAGAGGGGGCGCGGGGGGGGGGGAGAGGGGGGGGGGGGGGACACACCACACAGAGAAACCCGAGAGGCGTTCCCGGCCTTTGTACCCGGACACACAGCGCCATGTGCGGGGCACTGTCAGCGTGAGTGCCCCCCAACCCCCCCTCAACCCCGCCCCCCCCTCAGCCCCGGGCCTCAACCCTCCCAACCCCCCCCCCCAACCACCCCCCACAAACCCCGCCCCTCAGCCCCCCCCCCCCAACCCCCCCCCTCAACCCCCCAACCCCCCCCCACAAACCCCGCCCCCTCAACCCCGGGCCTCAGCTCCTCAACCCGGCTCCAGGCCTCCCCCCCCCCCCCCTCAGCGGAGCTGATATGTGGGGAGATCCTGAGCCTGAGGGACCCCCTCTCCCCCTCTCCCCACCAGCCCCCCCGGTGTCCAGCCCCCCCCCCCCGGTGTCCAGCCCCGGTGTCCAGCCCCCCCCCCGGTGTCCAGCCCCCCCCCGGTGTCCAGCCCCCCCCCGGTGTCCAGCCCCCCCCCCGGTGTCCAGCCCCCCCCCGGTGTCCAGCCCCCCCCGGTGTCCAGCCCCCCCCCCCGGTGTCCAGCCCCCCCCCCCCGGTGTCCAGCCCCCCCCCCGGTCCAGCCCCCCCCCGGTGTCCAGCCCCCCCCCCCCGGTCCAGCCCCCCCCCCGGTGTCCAGCCCCCCCCCCCCGGTGTCCAGCCCCCCCCCGGTGTCCAGCCCCCCCGGTGTCCAGCCCCCCCCCCGGTGTCCAGCCCCCCCCGGTGTCCAGCCCCCCCCGGTGTCCAGCCCCCCCCCCGGTGTCCAGCCCCCCCCCCGGTGTCCAGCCGCGGCCCGGACTGAAGCCGTGGAGACAAAGCCATAAAATATAAAGTATTTTTTGGTAAAATATTCTGTAAAAAAAAATCTCAGAAGCGATGGGAGACAAATATCCAACAACAACAACGCCCTTCACCCCCGGGGACCGCATACAAAGATAGATGCAAAGCCGGTGGTTGTTGGATGGTGGAGGGGGAGAACAAACCCCTTCTGTCTCCTCCCCCCCCCACCCCCCCCACCCCACACACACAACACCCCCTCTCTTCCCCCCGACAACGCTGCTTTGGATCTTCAACGTCCGCCTGAAAAAGGCGCAGAAGAGAAGCGCAGTTTGACGTCTCCTCCGAAGGAGAACAGCGTCTCTCCTGACAATGCGGTGCCCGCTCCCCCTCCCCCCCCCTCACCCCCCCCACACACACACACTGTGAGCTCGAGAATCCCCCGACATGGTGCGGGGCTCGAACCCACATTCTCCAGACGGCAACGGGGCTGAGCAAAGCCTTGACAGCCCTTGGAACGTCCGCGAAAGTTACGTGTGTCAAGTGTGTGTTTTTGCATATGCACAACTGCAATTTGTTGTTGTTATATCAATAATAATACTGCTTGCATTTGATACAGCGCCTTATCAGGTCGTTGAGACGTCTCAAAGCGCTTCACGGGGTACACTGTAAAGTGTAGTGACTGTATTTTGTGGGCGAAACGTGGCAGCCCATTGCACACAGCAGCGTCCCCACAAACCGCCGTGGATCGAGCGACCGATCGTTCTTGGTTGTTCAGGACAAGGTTTTGTTTCTCTCTCCGGCAGGTCTGGGCGGGGGGCCGCTCGGCTGGCCTCAGGGTGCGGGAGGAGTCCCGCCTGCCCCTCGGTGGCTCGGAGAGGCTGCCGGGAAGCGGGGCCTGAGAGGAGCAGCACCCGCGGTGTCGGCTATGGCTACAGCCTCGTGGAGGGCGGACACTGGGCAGATCGCGATCGTGGGGCGTATCGAGTAGCTGTCCGGCAGCTAGCGTGGTCCCACCTTCCTCCCCACCCACCCCTCAGAGGGGCTGTCAGGATGTACGTCACAAACTCGTTCCCCGTCTTGGATGGCAAAGTTCAGCCCATCCATCGACACGTGTTTGACTTCAATCTACGCAACAGCGACGCTTCCAGTAAAAGGTACGAGTGTGCTGGAAGGTTGAGTGGCACATTTGAGCTCTCTGATCCCATTCCCTGCTCTCTTCCCATCATGTCTGTGCTGGTGCTCGCTCCCATTTTATATATATATATATATATATATATGAAGCGGCTCTTGCAGTAGAACCAGCGCAGAATTGATGACACAGTTGTGTCAGTGCTGACCAGCCCCAAACCTCTCGACCCGTTGGTGTGTTTGTCTGGAGGACAGGTACCTTGAATTGATGGAGAGGGTGCGGAGAGGCGGAGGGGAGAACGCGGTGCTCAGACACACCCAGAAGAACAAGAAGCTGCTGGTCACCGAGCGCTTGCGGCTGCTGCTGGACAAGGGGCCGTTCCTGGAGCTCTCCCCGATTGCTGGGATGGGAATGCCGTACGGAGACGTGCCTGCTGCCGGCTGCCTGACCGGTATTAACCTCTGCATTTTAGTTATAATCCTTAATAATAATTTGCATTTGATACAGCGCCTTATCACGTCTTCGAGACATCTCCAAGCACTTCACAGAACATACTGTAAAGCGAATTGACTGTATATTTTGTGGCCGAAACACGGCAGCCAATTGTGCACAGTAGTGTCCCACAATCAGTCGTGGATTGAGTGACCAAAGCAAATGCCCAATGTTTTGCCCTACCCGGGAGTCAAACCCAGGTCTCTTGCTTGCAAGGTGAGTTCACTAACCACTAAGATTTACAGGACTCCACTTTACAGTATATTCTATGAAGAGCTTTGAGACGTCTCAATGACGGGATAAGGCGCTATATCAAATGCAAAGATTATATATATATATACACACATATATATACACTAGCTGCACCCGTTGCAGCTACGCTTGCAACCAAAGGATCCATTATGGAATGTAGATTTCAGTGATACCACTCACGAACCATTTAACCGGCCATAAGTGTGTACGCCTTTAGCAAAACAGACAGACGTTATGTCTTCATTAGTATAAATTATAACAGTGCCTTGAGATCTGTGATGTCCACCTGCACAGGGCATGGACTGCCTAATCCGAGCGGCGGAATGGAGGCGAACGCAACAGTATTTAACAGTGTCTCTTTCTTATAGGGATTGGGAAAATCAGTGGGATCTGGTGCATGGTTATTGCTAATGACGCAACAGTGAAGGGAGGGACGTCCTACCCAGTGTCTGTGAAGAAACAGCTGAGAGCTCAGCACATCGCCCTTCAGAACCACCTGCCCTGTGTGTATTTGGTGGATAGTGGAGGTGGCTTCCTCCCACTTCAGGTAAACAACAACAACAACAAATTGCATTTACACAGTGTCTTTCACGTTGGAAGGATGTCTCAAGGCGTTGGACGATCGAGGATTTGCACACTGGTGGTTTAGAGTAGAGAGCTCCAGTTGGGGAGCGAGCACCAGCACAGACGCGATGTGCCGCTAACCTAACCTAAACCGTAATCTCACTCACTGTGTGGTTGTTTCAGGCGGAGATTTTCCCCGACAAGAACCACGGAGGCAGAATCTTCTACAATGAGGCCGTGATGTCTGCGCTGGGGATCGCTCAGGTGATGTTATTAACAATAATAATACTCGCATTTGATATAGCGCCTTTTCACATCTCAAAGCGCTTCACAGGATATACTGTAAAGTGTGTATTTTGTGGGCAAAATGCGGTAGCCAATTACGCACAGCAGCGTCCCGAACCAGTCGTGGTTTGAGCGACCAATATATTTTAGTTTTTTTTGAAGGGACTATTAGCCCCGGAAAAGCAAACCGCCAATTGGGAGGAGGCGAAGGAGATTCCGATTAATCCCAGCAAAGTTCGATTCTGAGGAATTAATTAATGAAGTAAAAAGTAATAGGTTGAGAAGGTAATTAATTAAGTCAAAAATGTAACCGTGTCCTCTAGGTGGCGGTGGTGTGTGGCTCGTGCACGGCGGGAGGGGCCTACATCCCCACAATGGCCGAGGAGACGGTGATAGTGGACAGGATTGGGACCATATTCCTGGCGGGACCTCCGCTGGTTAAAGCAGCGACTGGAGAGGAAGTCAGTCCTGAGGACCTGGGTGGAGCGACGCTGCATTCAGTGTGAGTACAGGAACATAACCCCCCCCGGGTGGTCCCAGAGGGTCTTCAGCCCTGATCACGGCCTCTCAGAGAGGAGCATACAGAGGTGTATCGTACCTACCACTGGGTGCCCATCACAGAATGGACGGCTTCATGATCCTCTCACTTGTCTACAAATCCCTTCACTCCCTGGCACCTTCCTACCTCTCCGACCTGCTTACTCCCCACTCCACTGCCCCCAACTCTGCAACATTCTCCTTGTTAGCTTTCAAAAGGGAATTGAATAGGTACTTACAAAGGAAGATATGTGCAAGGCTAAGAGGTAAGAGCGGGGGGATTGGGACTAGTTGGAAACTCTTTCAAAGAGCGGGCACAGGCACGATGGGCTGAATGGCCTTCCTTCTGTGCTGTAAGATTCTATGACGGTCTTAAGCGGTCTGGGACTCTACCCTGCGTGAGCGTCGCAAGTAGTTATCTTGAGGCTAAACCTGGAATGAATTTGGGGACCTCGGGGTGGTGCTGGGGCAGCTGTTGACTTAAGTGAGGGTTTGTAACTGCGTGACCCCCCTCTCTTCTCCCACTCTCCCCCCCCACCCCCCCGCACTGGTGTGTCAGGGTCAGCGGCTGCACAGATCACTTCGCAGCGACAGAGAAGGACGCGTACGAGCGAGCGAGGGACATCGTGGCCGCCTTAAACCTGGAGCCGGGGCCCAGCGACCAGCCCGAGGCAGAGGAGCCGCTGTACACAGAGGGGCTGGGTGGCCTGGCTCCGGCCAGCTACACCCACACCTTAAACATTAGGCTGGTGAGTTACCACTGCGCTCACTGGGGGCAGGGAATCCTCCCACTCGGCTCCCGTTATTGATAATAATAATAATAATCTTTGCATTTGATACAGCGCCTTATCACGTCTTTGGGACGTCTCAAAGCGCCTCGCAGGATATACTGTTAAGTGAATTGACTATGTTGTGGTCAAAACGCGGCAGCCAATTGCGCACAGCAGTGTCCCACCAACAGTCGTCGATTGAGTGACTACATTTTTGGTGGGAGAAGGATTATTACTCCCAGAAAGCGATCGGCCAATCGACTAACAACCAGGTTCCTGGTAGTTTCTGGGTAAACAGAGGTGAGTGGAGTAAGGGAACTTGCCCAAAGTTGCACCCCATACGGGAATTGAACCCGGGTCCTCTCGCTTGTGAAGCGAGTGCTCTAATTAATAGGACAGTTTACATTGACAACAGTAGGAGGTCTCTCCTGCGCTTGATAATGCTGGGTGGGGCTGGGAGCTGAGGGGTGGGAGTGGGTGGGAAAGTTGACCACAAACAAGGTCAAAGAGGCACTTCGAATGACTGTATTAATATTTTCAAGGTTCTCAGTCGTTTGACAGACGGAAGCAGGTTCCTGGAGTTCAAGGCTTTGTACGGCACGACCCTGGTAACTGGCTTTGCTCGGATCAAAGGGTGAGGAATGTGGCAGCACTTTGCTTCCGTCCTTTGTAGTAGTAATAATAATAATACTTGCATTTGGCATAGCACCTTATCACGTTTTCGAGACGTCTCAAAGCGCTTCACAGAATGTACTGTAAAGTGAATTGACTGTATATTTTGTGGGTGAAACGCGGCAGCCAATTGCGCACAGAAGCGTCCCCACAAACAGTCGTGGACTGAGTGACCAAACTATTAAAAAAAAAAATTTTTTAAGGGATTATTACCCCACAGAAAGCGATTCTCCAGTTGACGAGCAATGAGATTACTCCTTACTGCTAGGTAAACCTCTGTGTGGAATAAGGATAACTTGCCTAACGTTTCACGCTGCCCGGGAATCAAACCCAGGTCCTCTCGCTCGCGAGACGAGTCCTCTAACCACTACACTACACGACTCCACTATTAGAAAAGAGAAGGGAATTTCTCCAGGTCCATGTCCTGACTAACAATCCTCCAAGTAAGTAGATCATTTGTTTCAGGGCTGTTTGTAAGCCATTGTTGGTGAAAAAGACATGCGCACATTTCACTGTAAAACGATCACCGTCTCTTAAATAACGGCGAGTAACTGGGTAGAGAATCTGTTACACGAGGAGAGTTTATTCCAAAGCAAACAGGCCCATGGGATTTAACGAGAAGGAACGTGGCGCAATCCTAGAATTTTTATTTAATTAGTTTAAACTGATTAAACTTTCAGGTTGTGAATCTGGGATAAAAGAATCGCACATCAGGCAAATAGAATTATGTGTGAGCGGATGATTGATTTTTCTTTCCCCCACCCCCCCTCGCTTCCCCCCATCTATCCCCATCCCCACCACCACGCACACACACACACACTTATCTTTATCTTAATACCCGAATCACAAGGCATGAATGGAGAACCTTTGCATTATGTTAACAGTATAATTCTAGCATCTGTGAGCCAGTTGACACTGGTATTAAGAGCTTATCAATGGGCAAGCTATGCGTTTTTTAGCAGGTTAGACTCCTATTAGTTTTAGCTGGTTAGACTCCAACGCACACTCTGCAGTCACCAGCCTCGGGTCTTGCCAACCTGTGCCTAAATAGTTTCCGGGATTAGGTAAACAGAATACATTCCTCCAGAGAGAGAGAGAGCGCATTCCATTCCCACAATCTATCTCTGGGATTTCCATGTGTAGTTGGGATGCATGGAATTTTCAGCTTGGTTTGGAGACTCTTCAACACGGTGACGGGTTTCCGCATGTGTGCCACCTTCCCCCCCCACCCAAAAAAAATATTAAGTGTTGCGCGGCTATGAGCGATGCATGGTGTTTGTCCCGTTTGGAAGGCCATGGGGTTACGTTCCCACATCGGGGCGATTGAGCTTGCAGTCCAGGCTGACACTCCAGTGCTGTGCTGGGGTAGCAACTGCTGGAGATGCCATTTTTTGGGGGAACGTTAAACTTAGCTCCCATCAGGTCGGACGTTAAAAGGTCCCGCGACCCCGTTGGGAAAGAGAAGGGAGTTTCTCCCGGTGTCCTGGCTGACACATTTCGCCCACAAAATACACAGTCAATTCACTTTACAGTATATCCTGTGAAGCACTTTGAGACGTCTTGAAGACGTGATACGGTGCTATTATGCAATGATTATTATTATTATATGAATTGTTCATTGATTTTATGGCTGAGTGCAGATGGCTGTCCTGTTTGCCTATAAATGTGGTCAGCACCCTTGGCAGTAACTACAAAAGTACAAAACACTTTGAGACGTGCCATCACATAATGTTCTATGTTTTAAAAAAAAACGAGCTCTTATTTTGTTCTCGAGTTCACACCACACCACATGTGTGGGAGGTCAGCTGTGCCTGTACACAAGCCCTTCCGTTCAGGTTAAACCTTGTGGTGGTGTGTGAGAGGGGGAGAGAGGGAGGGAGCTGGGAGAAATGTAGGATTTTTAAGCAAAGCCAAAGTACGAGAGAGAGAGAGAACCATGTTTTGTGCTGACTAGCGGGGCTGGGATTACACTGCTTGAGTGGCTGGGCAGTGGCCTTGAGGGCGGTTTATCCTGAATAGACCTTTGTGTTTGTAGTTCTCTCCAGAATGCTTCGTATCAGCAGACAGTCAGACGCACTCGGGTCACGTTGCTGACTCTGAGCCTTTCCCTCGCTGTTTTGATGACTGACTGAAGAAGTGGAGTCCTGTAGCTTAGTGGTTAGAAAGGAAACTAGCCCAAGGTTTCGCCCTGCCCGGGAATCGAACCCAGGTCCTCTCTCTTACGAGGCAAATGCGCTAACCAATACCTACAAATGTAGTGAATTCTTTTTTTATGGGGTGGGTGGCAAACTCAGTCCTCATAAACTCCTGATAGCTGGACCCTGGTTTAACTCATCGCCCCGTCAATATCCCGGCTACATTTATTCATCTATTTATACTTATACCTAACTCACCACTCCTGGGGGTGTGGCCATAACCACCGTCGAAAAGGAAGGTTTTCAGACGGGACTCGGAAAAAGGGGAGAGAGCACGGAAACAAGCCCCTGACAACCGGGTTCCTATTTACTGCCAGGCAAACAGAGGCATGTTGGTGTAGGGAAACGTGCCTAAAGTTTCGCCCCGGCCCGGGAATCGAACCCGGGTCTTCTCGCTTGTAAGGCGAGTGCGCTAACCAGTACGCTACAGGACTCCACTACAGTGTTAGGTTGACCATATTCAAACAGGTGTGGGTTCCCTTAATTAATTAATGGATTAATTAAGGATTAATTAATGGATTAATTAAGGGATTAATTAATTAATGGATTAATTAAGGGATTAATTAATTAAGACAATAAAAAAATCCAGTGGTCCTTTTCATTGGCGGTGAATTTAATTATTCCGGGTGTTTTGGTTATGGTTAGCGCGTGGGCCTTTTCGAGCTCGTGGTATTTTCTTAAACAANTTTTTTTTCCTGTTTGGCTCAGACACCTCATTGGGATCGTAGCGAGCAATGGCCGACTGAGCCACAACGCTGCCCTGAAAGGCAGCCATTTTGTGCAGCTTTGTGACCAGCGAGACATCCCCATCATATTCCTCCAGAACACGGATCCAAGCGTGACCGAGACGGCCACACTGAGCCAGGTAACAGCCAGGCTTGACGCCGTTTGACAAAGATTTACACCGACTACAGCATGGAAACAGGCCACTCGGCCCAACCAGTCTATGCCGGTGTTTATACTCCACGCTTTTCCTTACCCATTGCTCCCTTCCTCCCCCTTATCTTCCCCTCTCCCTCATGTGAAGGTCTAGTTTCCTTTCGAATGTATCTACGCTATCTGATTCAACCACAGCTTCAGGTAAGCGAGTTCCACAATCTCACTACCCTCTGCAAGGAGTTCCTCCTGAACTCTCTGTTAGATCCCCCCACTAGTCGCTATCTTATACTGGTGCCCCCTGGTTATGGACTCCTCAAGGGTATCAAGGCATATGAGGCAAGGGCGGGTAATTGGAGTTGAGGTAAGATCAGCCATGATCTAATAGAATGGTGGAACAAGCTTGAGGGGCTGAATTGTCTCATCCTGTTCTTATGTTTCCAACCAGTGGAAACAGATTTAATTGTTGCAGTGTGTAACATGGGGGAAAGTGATTGTTATAACAAGGGGGGTGGGTGGGGGTTATAAAATGGGAGTGGGTTATAAACGGATGTCCCTTGTTCGTATATTTTGCACTGTTTGTCCTCTCCTCACCTTTCATGTGTTTCTCTCCCCAGGCTGAGGCAGTCACTAACCAGCTTAAAGCTCAGGCTGCTATGATGTCGGCTGTGGCCTGCTCCACTGTGCCCAAGGTAACCATCGTCATCGGAGGTTGTTACGGTGCTGAGAGCTTCGCAATGGTACGTCCCCGTCTGCCCGCTGCCCATCCGCCCAATTACCTGTTGGATTAACAATTGTGGGAGAAACGCGGCAGCCAATTGCACACAGCAGTGACCCACAAACAGTTGTGGATTGAGGGAGAGATTATTACCCCCGTTAAGCGATCCGCCAATCGACTAACAACCTGGTTCCTACTTACTGCTGGAAAACAGAGGCGTGTGGAGTAAGGTTTTGCCCTGTCTGGGAATCAAACCCAGGTCCTCTCACTGCATATGCAAGGATTATTATTAATATGTCTTTTCAGTGCGGACGATCCTTTGATCCCAATTTCCTCTTCCTGTGGCCTAATGCCCGAGTGGCCATAGTTGGCCCCAGTCACTGCGCTGACTACCCGGGAGCTGAGGCAGAAAGTCGTGATGAGACTGAATTGCAGAGACTGAAGGAGAGGTCAGTAACCTGGGCTGGGAAATGGTGGGCTGGGAATGGGCTTGGGTGGGAATGGGAATGGGCTGGGGTGGGAATGGGGCTGGGGTGGGAATGGGGCTGGGGGTGGGAATGGGCAGTGGTGGGAATAGGCTGGAGTTTTAGAATTCTGACCCACCTCGAATGGAAGGACAACGGGTTCACCGAGTGGAGTTTCACTGCCTTGTCTCCCTGTAGGCTGGAGGAAGAAAGCTCTGCGTTTCATTCATCCTCCAGGGTTTGGGACGATGGTGTCATCTTGCCTCAAGACACTCGGACGGTAATGTTTCTCTTCAATCTGCTCAATCTGATCTGATCGTCATGGTGAACGAGAGCGGGAAAAATTGTATTACGGTCGCTTCACAGGATATACTGTAAAGTGTAGTGACTGTACTTTGTGGGCAAAACGCGGCAGCCAATTGGGCACAGCAGTGCCCCACAAACAGTCGTGGATTGAGCCGTTTTTTTTGAGGGATTATTACTCCCGGAAAAGCAATCCGCCAATCGACTAACAACCAGGTTCCTACTAACTGCCAGGCAAACAGAGGCGCGTGGAGTAAGAAAACTTGCCTAAGGTTTATCCTCGCCCGGAAATCAAAACTGGGTCCTCTCACTTGTGACCGAGTGCTCTAACCACTGAGCTACAGGACTCCACTAACTTATGTCCCTATGTTGCAGGTGATTGGACAGTGTTTGACCATCATCAAACAGCACAGACATCAGCTACGCTGTGTGGGGCGGGGACACCCACTGCTGAGAATGTAACCTGGGAGCCCGAAGAGAGAGAGAGAGAGAGACGGAAATTTTGCTTCTGACAATCAGACGTGTAATCAAAAAATGAATGAACGAATGGTCTTTGCTACTGAAGAGGTCGGGTGGCTGGAGGCCTCGTAATCTGAGGCTGAGTCGTTGGAGCCACGGGGTTTGCTTTCTGAACCAGGTGAGGCACGTCGTCAACAACAACGACAACGACAACAACTTACATTTATATGGCGCCTCTCGCGCAGGGTAGCGTCCCAGAGCGCTTGTGAATGGAATCCACGTCAGGCTGAGATCAGGTGGGCCAAAGCGCCTTTATTCCTGGCTTGTGATTTGCTTCACAATACAATGAAACAAACTGACATTGATACAGCGCCTTTCGCATCGGGAGGACATCTTTAAAGCATTTTTAACACGCTGGCTCGCTGCGTGAGTGGGGTTTGGAGGTGAGGGGTTTGCTGGCAATGGGGTTTATTTATCTGCCTTTATCCACTGAATGACGGAGACCCAAGTCTAAGCTAACGGCTCCAAAGAGGATTAAAGCCACCCTATAAGTGTATCACACAAACACTGTATATTTTCCAGTGCCTTATTACTTTGGATCTTTTCAAAGCACTTTACAGCAAGTACAGTGAAGTGACTTTGCAGGCAAAACGAGGCAGCAATGTTAGCACTGAACAAACTGTGAGGCAAATAAGCAATTTTATCTGGGGGGAGTTTTCGGCCAGGACAGTGGAGAAATTCCTCCCTCTTTTCCAATACTATTGTGGGATCTTTAACGTCGGTCTACCTGAACAGACACAGATGCTGACCTCTGTTTTAACGTTTGTCTGAAGCACTTTCCCTCTGACTACATGGTACTGCCCCCCACCCCAACAACAACAAATTACATTTACACAGCACCTTTCACATCGCGAGGATGTCCGAAGGCGCTGGACAGTCCTTGCCTGAGCCAGGCCCCCATACCTGTGCGGGATCTTTATATAAAGATTGAAATGTGAAGCTGAACAGAAACAGAAAGTGTTGGAAATGCACATTAATAGCTCGGGGAAAGTGAGAGTCTAACACCTTGGGTGTGAAACCTCTGTCACAAGTAAATATTGGGTTAGACCTGAGCCGGCGTTTCTCTTCCAGTTGACGCCTGTCTCTATCTGTTTCCAGCCTTGTCTGTGGGAGTTTTATAATTTCAGATATCCAGGGCTCACTGGCGTTGTCCCTGGCGCCTAAAATTACTTCCATCCTCAGGCTTTAGCTCATTGTATATAGTGTGTTTTTGTTGAGTTTGGGGAAAATCTGGAAGCCAATTTTTGCACCGTTCTTTATGATGGCTGTGGAAACCCGACTCTGAAATGCAGACTGAAATTTCAGACCGCTTGCGAAAACTCAGCACATTTTAAGACCTTTTAAGTCTTAAGCCTAAGAATGTGTCACAGTCCCAGGCCACGTTAGTTCAGCTGTGTAACTCTGATTGTTGTGACTGATTTTGACGGTTTGCTCAATGGCTGACCGGTAATTTTTGTGCGCTGCGGAACGCAATGTTTTGCTGAAGGAAAATAAAGAGATTTGTTGTCTGGAATTATACTTACGTTTTTTTTTAGCAAGCATGACCTACTCTACTCCCATCCCCCATTGTGTCTGTGATGGTGCTCGCGCCTCCACCGGAGCTCTCCACTCTAACCCCATTCCCTGTCCTCTCCACAATGTGGAGTTTGTGTGTATTTCTCTAGATCTTTAATCCAAATCCTCTGCTAAGTGTTAGTCTTTACTTCAAAAGTCCCTCGTGACACAGCATTCCCTGATCTCATAACGACTTGCATTGACACAGCGCCCCTCACACAGGGAAGCGTCCTAGAACACTTGACGGTGGCAGTGCATGACACCGAGCCGGGGGGAACGTGACCGTAAGTACGGGTCGAAGAGGAAGAAAACATTCTGCCCCCCCGCCACCATCCCCCAACATAATCTCTAAGTGGCCTTTGCAGAGAGGCTTTGGAAACTCCCATCTTATTTTGCATTTTGTTTGGAAGAACTTAAGAGAGAAAAGTGGGTCAGCGGAAGCTATCGGGACATCGTCTGCATAAGAAGAGGGCCTGACGGGCTGATTTATTTGATCACAAGACGTTTCGTAAAACCCACAGGCTTTTCAGTTCGAGCGAGATCTTACACAGCCTTCCTACTGCTTGGCTTCCAGCCACATGCTCGGCTTTGTGTTGTGTGTGTGTGTGTGTTGTTTTCAGTGGTGTTCACCTTACACTTCTGCTGGCGTTGTGCGTTCATGATTACTGTGAGGGGAGGGAGTGATTTGCCCCTCCCCGCTTTGTCCTTATTAACAATTGTGTGTTTGCTCGCTTTGCGTTTCGCACGTCTCTAAGGCAAAGCCCTCACGGGTAGCTTGGCCAGAAAGTGATATCAATGGTATGCTGTGTGGTATTAACTGGTTAGACTCCAGCAGTTACCCCAACCCAAGCCTTGGCTCTTGCCAACCCGCGCCTAATTCTCTAGAATTAGGTAAGCAGGAACCGTCCCTCCAGGAAGAGAGAGAGAGAGCACATTCCATTCCATTCCAACAATCTCTGGGATTTCCATGTGTGAATGGGATGCATGGAGTTCTCAGTTTGGTTTCGATGCTCTTAAATATGGCGATGCGTTTCCGCATGTGTCAGAACCCGGCTGACCAAAAAACAAATGTGCGATGCTCAGAAGTTCTGCAATGTTTACGGCTGCCACCTGGCAGAAGCAAAGAGCTTCCTTTATTATAATAATAATATTAATAATCCTTGCATTTGATATAGCGCCTCATCACGTCGTTGAGACAAGCGCTTCATAGGATATACTGTAAATTCCAGTGACTGTTTATTTTGTGGTGAAACGTGGCAGCTAGTTTGCGGACAGCAGGGTCCCACAAACAGCCGTGGGAGTGAGTGACCAATTTTTTATTTGGGGGATAGTCGGCCAGGAGAAACTCCCTTCTCTTCAAATAGCGCCTCGGGATCTTTAACATCCATCTGAACAGGCAGGCGGGACCCTTGGTTCAAGGACGGCACCTCCGATAATGCAACACCTCCCCAGCACCTCATTCAAATAGGGCCACGGAATCTTTAACATCAACCTAAGCAAGAGCATTTGATGACCAGACTATCTGGCTGGACACTGAGACTTGGGTGGATATGTGGAACGCTGTGAACCAAAGCCCAAATGGGAATAATGATCGACTTGCTGTGAAAGTAGACTCTCAAAAACTTTTTTGTGCTAAGATCTTACAGAACGACAGAGGGAACGTGTTGAACGTCCTCCTGTTCCTGACATCACAGCCAGACCCATCTCATGTCAAAGTGACCTTCGATAATCACACCTTGGTGACTTTGAGCCTCACGGAGTCTGTTACGTTTCTCAGATATTGATGTCCATTCCCACATGTCACGAGGATAACAACACACTGAGGACGTACTATGCCTAAAATCCCGAGCAAGTTAGCATCAGCTCTAAAAACAGCACCGATCAATTCGAACCAGTCAATACAATTTAAGTTGCTTTTAATAATAGTATCTGTGTAATGAGCTCAGACCCAAAGGTCTGAAATTCCACCCAGTCTTGGCCGAGATTGTCTTTAACCCGACTCTGAAGTTGTGATGCTAGTTCTCCACAGCTCTTCAAAAGAAACCGGCTTCCAAATTAAGACTAATTAACGCAGTGATAGGGAAACAATCTCTGAGCAACGATAACACATTACGCTCATTATTCTTCAAGAGAAACAGCTCCAATGAGACCTTATAGAGACGCATCCGGGATATTAAATAGGATTGAAAAATTAAACCGACAACAATACTTGCGGATGCACCGACACAACAGAACAAGAGGACACGTATTCAGGGCTGCAAAGGGTAAATTCGGGTCAGACATCAGAACATAAGAATTTGCCAGACAAAAGAAGACCAAGGTCCATCCAGTTCACTTTCCACCATCCTGGCAGTCACATGCGCGTGTTTTGTCCCAAGCTATATACTCTATCCCGAGATATTAATTTCTAACAGGAATCTATCTAATTGGCTTTAGGAAGTATTTCACTACCTGCGTGTAATTAATAATAATCCTTGCATTTGATACAGCCCCCTATCACATCTTTGAGACGTCTCAAAGCGCTTCACAGAATATACTGTGGAAGTGAATTGACTGTATATATTAGTCAGTGAAACGCGGCAGCCAATTGTGCGCAGCAGCGTCCCACAAACAGTCGTGGATTGAGTGATCATATTATTANTTTTTTTGAAGGGATTATTACTCCCGGGAAAGCGATCCGCCAATCAACTAAAAATCGGATTCCTACTTACTGCTGGGTAAACCGAGGCGTGTGGGGTAAGGAAACATGCCTGAGGTTTCTCCCTGGCTGGGAATTGAACCCAGGTCCTCTCGCTTGCGAGGCGAGGGCTCAAACCACTGAGCTACAGGACCCCAGGGTACAGGGTATTCAGGAAGGAGGTGATCGGATGGGCCAAGAAGCCTGTTTTACCCCCCGGGGCCAGTCTTAAACTTCAAGACACAAGGTTCACTCACAGGTTGCGACTAGGTGGAGCTGTGAACTCCAGGTAGGGAGGGCTGGCAGTGTTAGTTTGATTGCTTTTGTGTTGCTGCGAATATATTACTTTGCTATTCAGGATGAGCCCGTCTGTGTTTCCCGGTGCTGTGGCTGAGGCTGGCGGGACCTGCTCAGGGCTTGTACATGCCGTGGAAGGTGACTGGGACTTGGACGTCGACCTCGGCCCGGGCGATCTCACTCAGGTCCTTGGCATCAAGTATCAGGAGGAAGGCTGGTTTCTGGCCCACACCGGGGCTAACCACTGACGTCAGCAAGACTCCTGTGGATGGTAAAAAATCTTTTTTTTTTGTGTACAGTCAATTCACTTTACAGTGTGTTCTGTGAAGCACTTTGGGACGTCCTCCCAACTTAAAAAGCGCTATATCAAGTGCAAGGATTATAAGGGGAGGGAGGGGAACAACAACAACAACTTGCATTTACACAGCGCCATTCACATAGGGTAGAGGGGATGTTAATCTACTCCTTCCCTTGCCTCCTTCAAGGCAATGCCTCAACACCTTCCTCTTGGACCCCGCCTTTTGCCACCCTCCTACATCCACCCTCCTACACCCTCCCTCCCCGGTGACCGTAAGTACAGTCGAAGAGGAAGGTCTACAGATGGGAGGAGGGGTGAAGGATGGGGCAAGGCAGAGGGATCGAGGGAGAGAATGCCAAAGCTTCGAGGTATAATGACTGAAAGCACAGCCACCGAGGATGGACCGGAGAGGACGAGGAACATGCAGGAGGTCAGAGGCCAGCCGAGCGGAGGCAGCGGGTAGTGGAGTGTGAAGTAAGCAAATCGGAGAGGTAGGGAGGTAACAGGGCGTGAAGGGATTCGTAGATGAGTGTGAGGATGTTGAAATCGATCTGTTCAGTGATAGGCAGCCTGACAATTGTATCTGGCATCTTGACGAAAGGCGATTTCAACAGCGTTTAATCAAAAGAAAGTTTTACAACGATTTTCTCCTCGTGAAAAGTTTTGAGGAGTTAAAATGGGGAGAAACTGTCTTCTGTTTCCACTCGTCAGTGGACTCATTAACTACAACAACAAAATGACATTTACAGAGCGCCCTTCACGTCGGGAGGACGTCCCAAAGCGCTGAACAGTCCGGTGTCGGGGCCCGAGTATGGGGGTGAGGGAAGGCAGAGAGGTGGGAGGGAGACCAAAGGTACAGTCGAAGAGGAGGGTCTTGAGACCGGCCTTGAGGGAGGCAAGGGAGGAAGCGAGGTGAAGGGACCATGGGATGCGAGTTCCAGAGTGTGGGGGCAGAGAGGCTGAAAGCCCGGCCACCGATGGTAGGGCAGGTCGGACGGGACACATGGAGCAGACCGGAGCCTACTGAATGGAGGGAGCGGGCAGGTTGGTAGGGAGTCAGCAGGTCAGAGAGGTAGGAGGGGGAAAGGCCTTAAAAGGTGAGGACGAGGATCTTGAACTAGATCCTCTGGGGATAGGGAGCCAGTGGAGTCGGGCGAGGGTGGGAGTGATGGGGTCGCGGAGCCTGGTGCGCGAGAGTACACAAGCTGCATTAAAATCATTAATTACATTAAGATCATCCACAAAAATACCCCAAAGTGAGAAGTTAGGAGAATACAACATACACACTTACACACACACACATGCACACATAAGCATACACTTAAAAACACACACCTATATACAGACACGTGCAAACATATAAACAAATATACACACTTGTACACACACAGACATAGAAACATACACAAACACAAATATACACTTATACACACACAAAGATACAAACTTAAATACACACGCATACAAACACACTCCCTCCGCTACCACGCATCCTCACCATCGTCTTCATCTATGGCGTCCGGGTGAGCCACAAAAATGGGCTCTGAAGGGTATGTGTCCGGCTCCTGCCATATCCAGTGTTCCTTGGTCTTCACGTTCAGCTTGTAGATCTGAACAGAGACAGCGGTGAGCGAGGGGGAGGCACACAGACAACTGGTTACAATCTCTGTATCACAGCGCCGGTAAATCTCTTTTGGAATAATCCAGCATTATTGGTGAAGCGTTCCATTTCCTCTGTGTATGTATGTGTGTGTGTGTGCATAAGTGTGTATGTTTTGTGAGAGTGTGTGTGCATAAGTGTGTATGTTTTGTGTGTGTGCGCATAAATGTGTATATTTTGCGCCTGTGTGTATGTTTTGTGTGTGTGCATAAGTGTGTATGTTTTGTGTGTGTGTGCATAAATGTGTATATTTTGCGCCTGTGTGTATGTTTTGTGTGTGTGTGCGCATAAGTGTGCATGTTTTTTGTGTGTGCATAAGTGTGTATGTTTTGTGTGTGTGTGTGCATAAATGTGCATGTTTTTTGCCTGTGTGTATAAATGTGTATGTTTTGTGTGTGTGTGTGTGCATAAGTGTGTATGTTTTGTGTATAAGTGTGCATTTTGTTTACCCGATCTGGCACAAAGTGGTTGAGCCCCAGTCCATAGGCGTAATTGTAATCCTTCCCACTGTACTTTTGGTAGTTAATCTGTGGAAATTCGAATGCTGTAAGAGAGAGAGAGATTTAGTGCATATTGGTGGGACGTCGCTGTGTGCAAATCGCCCGCAAAATACACAGTTATTCCACTTTACAGTATATCCTGTGAAGCGCTTTGGGACATCCTCTTGCCATGAAAGGAGCGATACCAAATGCAACCATTATTTTTGTGGTGTTCTGTGCCCTCGCTGAACTAATAATAATAATCCTTGCGTATGATATAGCGCCTTATCATGTCATTGAGACCTCTCAAAACGCTTCACAGAATATACCATCAAGTGGAGCGACTGTGTATTTTTGTGAGCGACAGAAAATGCATACAGCAGTGTCTCCCGCAAACAGTCAAAGGCCAATTTTATTTGGGGGGGGGGGATTGTCGGCCGGGACACCTGGAGAGAGAAACTTCCTTCTCCTTAACGTCCACCTGGACAGGCAGACGGGGAGCTCGGTTTAATGTCTCATCCGAAGGACGGCACCTCCGATGAAACAACAGTCCCGCCCAGGGCTGCACTGGAGCGTCAGCTTAGACTGTATGGTTCCACATCACCGCTGTCTGTCTTCGCAGTGGGACCTTGGCGCTTCACCTTGCCGGGGCCCGGAGTACAGGATCTCAGGCTCCAGCCAAACAGTGCCGTCCGACCGGACTGTGGCCGTGGCTGTGGTGGTGTTCAGAGATATAAGATTCTTGCCGTGTTCAACCTGCAGGAGATACAGTAATTACCCACTTCTAACAGTCCTCGGTTTGATACAGCGCCTGTTATAGACTCCCCTCAAGACCTTCCTCCTTGACCTCCCTTCTCCTCCCCTCCCTTCTCCCCCCCTGACCGCAGCTCAGGTCTGAAATGCTGTCACTGTTCAGAGCCTTGGGACATCCTCCCGATGTGAAAGGCGCTATACAAATGTAATCTTGTTGTTAATGTTGTTATAATAATAATCCTTGCATTTGATATAGCGCATTTCAGTCGTCTCAAAGTGGTTCACAGAAGTGTAGTGTAAAGTGTAGTGACTGTGTATTTTGTGAACGAAATGCTGCAGTCAATTGTACACAGCAGTGTCCCACAAACAGTCGTGGACTGAGTGACCAATATTTTTTTGAAGCATTATTATTACCCCCAGAAAGCCAATCGACTAACAACCGGGTTCCTACTTACTGTTGGGTAAATAGAGACACGTGGAGGAAGGAAACTTGCCTAAGGTTTTGCCCTGCTCAGGGTTCGAACTCGGTTCCTCTCGCTTGCGTTGCGAGCGTTCGAACCACTGCACCACGGGAACTACCTGAACATTCTTGAACACACGGCACAAAGAAGGACTCACGGTGTTGATGTCCAGAGGTAGGACGTATCTGCGAACCTCCGGCTGAGGAGCTTTGATGGCATTTGCTTTGAGTTCATCCCAGTTGCTGCGTAGATTGGCGAGCCACAGGTAGTTATATATGAATTCAAACCTGTGGGGTCCAATGTGGCACAGAAATTCACGACATCGAATTACAGTACAGTAACAATTTACAGTTACACAGCGCCTTTCACGTTAGGAGGACGTCTCAAAGCGTTTAAACCAATGGCTGGGGTTTGGGGGTTGGGGTTGGGGGTTTGAGGGTTGAGGGTGGAGGGTTAGAAAGATGACCAAAAGTCCAGTCAAAGAGGTAGAGGTTTCTCTCTACGAAACACTTCTCCTCCACTTCATGTGGACACTTATTATTATAATAATCCTTGCGTTTGATATCACATCGTCAAAACGTCCCCAAATGACTAACAGGATGTCAGGTAAAGTGATGTGACTGAGTATATTTTATGGGTTGAACGCAGCAGCCAGTTTGCACCCAGCGACGTCCCACAAACAGCCGCGAAGCGAGGGAACAATTTTACCTGGAGGATTGTCCGCCAGGACACCGGGAGAGAGAAACTTACAATGCAGTAACAATTTACATTTACGCGGGAGGATGTCTCAAAGCGTTTAAACCACCGGGTTTACGCTGAGAAAGATGTTTAAAGATGGAGTTAATTAGGATCGAATAGCGCCGCGGAATCTTTAACATCCGCCACAGACAGGAGCTCGGTTTAACGTCTCACCGAAGGACAATTGCGGTTATCTGAGGATATGTTAGAGCTGGGAAGTGTGGAGACGTAGGGTGTTTGTTTGTGTGTGTGTGTGTGCGCGTGTGTGTGTTGTAACACTGAGACCAGAGAGAAGAGACGAGTTATAGTTCTAATGGCCTTCACTGACTGTCAGTAATGAGTCTCACATAGCGGGAGGGTTTGGCGGGTTGGCAGTCAGGACCTATGACATTGTAATAGTGTGTGGAATGGGTGGGTGGGGGGAAAAGAGGGCAGGGGGGTTGTTAGCGGAACATTGTAAAGAGAGACCCATTGCCGTGCGATTCTGTGGAGCCAGTGAACACGCGTGTCTCGTGGCTGCCGGTACCTACCCCTTCCAGCTGCACACATCAGCAACGATGAAGCCGTTGTCCTCGTACGTGTTAATGTGGTGGAAGATGTTGAACGCTGAGGTTCTGTACTTGACTCTGTTATATTCACCCGTTTTCTTGTTCGCAACGTGGAACCACGTCTGTGAAAGAGACAGGGATAACAATAATCCTCGCATTTGATAAGACGCCTTATCACGTCTTCGAGACGTCTCAAAGCGCTTCACAAGATACACCGTAAATGAATTGACTGTCTGTTTTGTGGGCGAACGTCGGCAGCCCATCGCGCACAGTAGCGTCCCACAAACAGTCGTGGATTGAGTGACCAAATTCAAGGCTATTCAGTGTGAGTTGCAAAGTCCTCCTCAGATACTTCTGCCTCTAAATGTTTTCTGCACATCAGGTACAGTACTGTATAGGGAAAGAATGGGCTATCATAGCTTGAGTATGTATTGGTTAGACATGGTGCAGAAACCTTGCTTTCACATCAATAGTACATGTGTATTTAATAATAATATTATGTGTATTTGTGTATTTGTTATGTGTTAGTCATTTAAAATCAGACTTATACATAACTTTGCATAAGTCATGTATGCTATGACTTATGCAAGTTTCACATAACTCATGTTCTGCATATACAACTTATGTGAGGTTTACTGTTTGTCGGACCACATTATTAATAACAACAAGAACAATAATATAATGATGATAATCCTTGCATTCGGTACAGCGCCTTTCAAGTTGGGAGGATGTCTCATAGCTCTTCGCAAGATTTACTGTGAAGTGCAGTGACTGTGTATTTTGCAGGTGCAGCCAATTTGCGCACAACAAGGTCCCCGCAAACAGCTGTGAAGTGAATGGAAACCCGAGGGGGAGACGAAAGAGAAACTCTGCTTTCAAAATAGCGCCGTGGGATCTTTAACGTCCACCTGGAAGGAGGGAGTGAGGGTTTAACGTCTCATTCAGAGGACGGCGGCTCGGACAGTGCAGCAAACCGGAAGCAAGCGTCCGTGTCCTGATCAGTGCGGAACGCCGGGAATACTCACTCCCATGGAATCGTTGGATTCGAAGCAATCCATGTAGGTGGTGCTGCGCAGACTCCATGATGTGAGGAACTTGAACAGGTTGATTTTCACGGGCTGCTCCACAAACAGGATATAGTTCTCACAGAGACCGAAGCTGTGTGTGAGCAAATGGTGGACTCAACAACCACAGCAACAATAACAAACATTTACACAGCCGCCTTGCACGTCGGGAGGGCCATTCCAAGTGGCTGGACAGTCAGGGATTTGGACCCGAGCTGGGGGTTGGGATTCAGGAGGGGTGGAGGGGCAGCGAGGGTGGGGGTGGGGGTGTGGCTGAAGGTGCGGTCGAGGAAGAGAGTCGAGGGAGGGAGGGAGAGAGAGGCCAGGGACTGTGGGATGGAGTTCCAAAGAGTGTGGGCAGAGAAGCTGAAGGCCTGACTGCCGATTCAGATCCCCCTCTTACCCCCCACCCTCCATCACACTCAAACCCCCACCACCCCCACCTCCCAAACACCAGAAATCGTCAATAATTATCACCTGAAGACAGACCGATCGACTAACTGTGCGAAACTGACCTGTGGACGTAGGAAGGCTTGAATCTGTCGCTGCACGGAAACTGTACAACCACCTCAATTTTATTCAGAGGATTCTGTTTATCTGCAATCAACAACTTGCATTTATACAGCGCCCTTCACGTGGGGGAGCGTCCTGAACCGCTCGACAGTGGCGGAGTCTGACCCCGAGCCAGAGGGAAAAGGAGTGGGGGAGGTGACCGTAAGCACGATCAAAAAAGGAAGGTCTTTAGGCGGGATTTAAAAGTGGGGAGGGAGGGGGAAAGGCGGAGGGACTTAGGGAGGGAGTTCCAGAAAATCACGAGAGACAGAGAGATTTCTACAGCAGCTTATCACGTCTCAAAATGCTTTACACTCGTACAGTAACTGAATATTTTGTGGGCGAAATGTGGCGGCCAATTGTGCCCAGCAGCGTCCCACAAACAGTCGTGGATTGAGTGACCAAATTTTTTTTTAAGGGATTATTACCTTCGGAAAGCGATCCACCAATCGATTAACAACCGGGTTCCTATTTACTGCTGGGTAAACGGAGGCTAAGGTTTTGCCCTGACCCGGGGAATCGAACCCAGGTCCTCTCGCTTGCGAGGCGAGTTCTCTAACCACTAAGCTACAGGATTCAACAAATAGGTACCTGGCAGTGCTGGGGGGATTTTGATGATGTTGTAGGCAAAAGCAAATCTCTTGCCAAAACAGTTGCCAATATTGTAGACGGTGCCATCGGTCTCGATGTGCGGGTGTGCTGTGGCTCCGTTAATGACGCAGTATTTACACAGATCCACCTGTCCCCGCGGGAATAATAATTAGATAATATTAATAATAATGATAATAATCATGATACTTCCATTTGGTACAGCGTCTTAATAATAATAATCCCCACACCAATACACACACATACGCCGAGACACATGCCTTTCACATCGGAGGATGTCCCAAAGAGCTTCACAGGCTTTACTATAAGTGCAGTGACTGTGTATTTTGTGGACAGCCAATTTGCACGCAGCAATGTCCCCTCAAACACCTGTGAAGTGAACGACGACAAATTTGAGCACCTGCATCTGTGTAAGAGTGAGTTGCTGTGGTGTTTGGTGTGCCGGCCACTTCGATGATATCATGTGTTCTGCAATCAGTAAACTGATGCTTCCCACCTCCCACCCACCTTCACACCAACACACAACCTGCATACCATCACACAAATACACACGCACACACACACCAACACATACCCTGACCTTCACACCAACTCACACTTACATACCATCACACACCTGCACACGCACACATACACCTATACCAACACCCACTTCATCACGCACATGCACACACCCACACACTCACACCCCAACACACACTCACACACCTACCCACTCAAACTAACACACACACCCCATTCATACACCCACTCCCCCAAAGTACTAGACATAGAAATGAGGAACCTTTTCTACAGTCTCCAGGGTCTCTGGGTTGACCTTGGTAATGAAGTTGGTTTCAGTACAGGCGTAGTAATCTTCCCCAACGGGGTACACATTTACCAGGGCATTGTCAGTGATCTCCACACCCTGGAAATAGGAGAAAAACCTGGAGCGGGTAAAAAAAAAAGAAAGAATATTCGTTACATTTGTTCCAACGCCTTGTAAGGTTCAAAATGCCTTCTCTGGCAATGCAAAGGTTCTCCTCAGTGCTGGATGGTGATCCAGGTAGTGTGTCGGCCTGGACTGGGAGCTGAGAGGCGTGACGTGGGGTTAGACCCCAGAACTAACCTTCTGACCCAGAGACTGTAAACATTCGGGAGGTTCACAGTTAATGTGAACACAGGTAATGTCCCCTTACCCCACCCCCCACCCCAAAATTATGCTGCCCTCACTCACTGACTGACCTGACCACTTACCTGGTGTGTCGTTGTGTGTGTTGGAGTATAGGTGTGTGTGCATGTGTAGGTGTGTGTTGGTGTGTAAGTGTGTGTGTGTATATGGGTGCAACCATTCACTCCAGGTTAAGTCACCCCAGTCGGGTAAGGAGGAGGAGGATGGGGAAGGGGGAGAGAAATAATCTGACATAAAAGAATAATATTTAAGTGCAGTGACTGTGCGTTTTGTAGGCAAATGAACTGTTTACCTGGAAAAGATGTTCTTGCAGGGATCAGGGTAGCCAAAGGTTCCAAATTCGGTGATGACCACTCGCTTTTCAGTGATCGCCCTGACATAGGCATCTGTTTTGATAAATCTGATACGAAAGATGAAGAATATTATTTTGTTTTACCGTCTCACACGACCAGTATGGGGGGGGGGGGGGGAGGACTGAATCGGGATCAACAGCGATCCAGTCACACAACTTCCCCCCCACCCCCACCCCACACCCATCGCTGCAGTCGAATCTGTCAAGACTCACACAGAAATATTGCCAGAAATATTGGGTGAGGTACTATACGGGTTTGGTAGAGAGAGGGGAACAAAGGAGAGAATTGGCAGAGAGAAGCTTAAACATGGTGTTGAGAGCCCAGTGCAATGTTAACCACCACTACAACAACAAATGCCATTTACACAGCGCCTTTCATGTCGGGGGGGATGTTCCAAAGTGCTGGACAGTCAGGGATTTGGGAACCGAGCTGGGGTTTGGGATCAGGAGGGGTGGAGGAGGGCAGGGAGGGTGGGGGTAGGAGGGGTGATATAGGAACGGCCGAAGAGCCGGGCCTTGAGGGACGCAAGGGAGGTGGGCAAGGCGGAGGGACTGTGGGATGGAGTTCCAGCAAATTTTTGATAGTAAATTACCGTCTGTAGTAGGTAACCTCTCCGTTCTTGAAGTCGAACTTGTGGAGGAGAGCCTGGCCGTCAAACAGGTGGTAGAAGGGTTCGGAGGCCACCTCGAAGAGCCCGGGGCCACATCGCAATAGGCTGCCCTTCAGCCACGTGGGCAGCGCACCTACACACCAACACAACCTCCACCGTCAACAATCGCGGTAACACGGCAACTTCGCAGGTCTGCTTTAATAATAATAATCCGTGCATTTGATACAGCGCCTTATCACGTCTTCGAGATGTCTCAAACCACTTCACAGAATATACTGTAAAGTGAATCGAATGTATATTTTGTGGGCGAAATGCGGCAGCCAACTGCGCACAGATTTTGCACATCTAACATTCACACGTACAACGTATAATAATTCCATGTTTTTCCCACAAAGTGCAGTTCACTCCACTTTATGGTACATCCTGTGAAAGCGCTTTGAGATGTCTCAATGACGTGATAAGTAGCTCTATCAAACTCAAGGATTAATACTACTATTTGAAAGCCTGACACGTCTTGATCTGCAGTGTCAGACGCTTAAAGAAGTGGCATGCAAGGCTGGCCAACCAAGAGAAATTGGGGGAGGAAAGGTAGTCGCCGGTAAAGATTTTTCTCGCAGTTAAAAGGAAGAAGGTAAATAAATTAAAGGTTCTTGGAGAGGAACTGTTTTTGGTTCCGTTTATAGAGTTCGTTATAAAGTTTATAGAGGTTCGGCGGCTTTGCTATCAGCTACTAAGCCCAAAGCTTTCGAACTCCTCCAATCTCTCCGCCTTGCCCCCTCCTTCCCCTCTTTTTAGATCACAACTGAAGACCTTCCTTATCGACCGTGATTACAATCACCGCCTCTCTCCCTCCCTCCCTCTCCCTGGCTCGGCATCGGGCTCCACCACTGTTAAGCGCTCCGAGACGCTGCCCCACTGGAAGGCGGCCGAGTTGTCGTTGCAACGGACCTGTGATCCTCGTAGGCAAAGGCTCTGCCGTCTCCTCCACTGTCTCAAACAGCTTCCTGTAACCAGCGCTCGGGTGTTCGACCCTGGAATGTTTAGAGAGAAGTGTTTATTCCCCAAGAGAGAAAAAAAAGTTTTACATATTTTTCCACCGCAAATACACTTCGGGTTCAAGAAAAAATAAACAAAATGTCTTATTTCCCCTCTTGTTTAAACATTGACTTGAGAAAGTAAACCTTCACTTACTGGCGTGCCATGTTTTAAGTGCTTTAAAGTGGTCCCAAGTACCCCAACCAGCAGCGAAGAAAAGCCAAAGGTTTTCACTGGCGACAAGATCATACAGAGCAATTTTTAAATTAAGAGGTTTGGACAACTATTTAAGCCAAGCGACGGGTCTTAGGAGAACAATAGGTGCTTTCAGTCTTGCAAATCCGTATGTTGGATCTCACAATGTACAAGCCAGCTCTGTGCGAGTTGCTGAGATTCCTTGTTCATTCATGAACGGATTAGAGGAACGCACTCTGCCCCCACTGCCGTCTTACGGGGCTTACTTACCGGGGGCGCAACACAATTGCCTCTTGAGACGGGGTGTCCTCAGCTCCGCAGAGGCAGCAACGACACCTCGCCCTTGCTCCGTTGGACTTTCTGCGCAGTCTTATTGCGTCCCCCCCCAAAAAAAAAACACTGTGGGTAAACCGTTTGGCAAGAAATGTTGGCGCCTTTGGGAATTTTCTTGGAACTTTTACGGGTCAACCACAGCCCAGAGAGCCTCAGATGTATTTAATTAATAATAATCCTTGCATTTGCTCTAGCGCCTTATCCGGTCATCAAGACATCTCCAAGTGCTCACAGAATATACTGTAAAGTGATTTTACTATATGTTATGGGCAAAACGCAGGGTCCCACAAACAGGACTTTAATATTAAACAGTGATGATCCTTCTATTTGATCTAGCGCATTATCATGCCAAGGCTTCTCAAAGCGGTTTAGAAGATATACAGCAGCCAGTTTGCGCTCAGCAATGCCCCCACAAACAGCCATGGGTTGAGTGACCAATTTTATTTGGGGACTCAGTGACAAGTTATCAGGAGTGGTGAGTTAGGCATACATAAATAAATGTGCGTGGGATATTGACTGCATGATGACTCAAGTGGCAGTGACAAGTTAAGCCAGTGGTCAAGTTATCAGGGATTTCGTTGTATCACATGAGCCTGTTACAACAACAAAATTACATTTGTATAGCGGCTTTCATGTCGGGAGGACATTCCAAGGCTGAACAGACAGAGTTACAGACCCGAGCTGAGGGAGGATGGTGGGCAGTGGGGGGGAAGCAGGGAGATTGAAAGTACGGTTGAAGAGGAAGGTCTTGAGGTGGGTCTTGAAGGTGGCGAGGGAGAGGGCGAGGCGGAGGGTCTGCGGGATGGAGTTCTCGAGGGTGGGTGCATGCTGAAGTGGGAGTCGTCGTAATCCCGGATGCTCTCTCTCTCTCTCTCTCCCCCCTATCAGCGAAGCACTGTGAAACAGTTGGTGGGGGAAGAATCAAATGTCACAGAGGAAATCACACTTCCCAATTCTTTGCTCTCTTTCCTTTTCTGAAGCATTTCAAGTCCCAATTTACGGAGATTTCCCTTTGATCAGCTGGGCGTCTGACTCAAATGGGAACCTATCACCATGCTTAAGAGTCCTGTGGTTTAGTGGTTAGAACACTCGCCTCGCCAGTGAGCGGACCTGGGTTCAATTCCCACACAGGGCAAAACATTGGGCAAGTTTCCTTGCTCCACACACTCTGTTTACCTAACAGTAAGTAGGAACCCAGTCGTTAGTCGATTGACCGTTCGCTTTTCCGGGGGTAATCATCCTTTCTAAATAAATAATTAATTGGGCACTCAATCCACGACCGTGTGTGGGACGCTGCTGTGCGCAATTGGCGATCACGTTTCACCCACAAAATATAGTCAATTCACATTACAGTACATACTGTGAAGCGCTTTGAGACGTCTCGAAGACGTAATATCAAATGCAAGGATTATTATTGAGTATTATTAAAAGTATATCCAAAATCAGAATTCCATATTGCAATGCCGCAAACCTACAGTATTTTGGACAGTTTGGCAAGAGCCAAGGCTTGGGTATGTCCGAGTGCGGATTGATGTAACTGCTGGAGTTTATCCAGCTAAAACTGCATAGACTGGCATTGCGATCACTGTCTGGCAAGCTTCCCATTACTTGTGTAGCTAGGAATTACTTTACCCATTAAAGCTTTAGCTTGCACGGTTAACAGGAGTCAAGTGGAGCCAGATGGATGTGTGGAGGTCCCGAAACAAATGGCGCCACAGTAATAATAATTGGCCTGCGACTGAAGGGGGGGAAATTCAGAACAAATCTGTGGAGACACGACTTCAGTGAGCGAGCAGTAAACGTATGAAACAGGCTCCCTAGGCAGACAGTGGAAGCAGAAACATGTCGTTTGTTTCAAGAATGATTAGACAGATTTCTGCTAGAAAATAATATCTCAGGATACAGACATGTCAAAGCGAATGCCACGATGGTGAACGTTGAACTAGATAAACATTGGTCTTCTTTCTCCTAACAAATTCTTATGTTCTTTACGTAGCGTCTTATCACATCGTTGAGACGTCTCAAAGTGCTTCACAGAATATACGTGACGTGGATCGACTGTATTTTGTGAGCTAAATGCGGTAACCAGTTGGGCACAGCAGTGTACCATAAACAGCCATGGAGTGAATGATCAATTTTATTTGGTGGGATTGTTCGCCAGGACAACAGGAAAGAATAGTTCTATGGGATCTTTAACATCCAACTGAATAGACAGACTGTTAATCTAAGGATAATAATCTGATAACAGCACCTTTTACATCAGGTCATCTCAAAGCTGTAATAATAATAATCCTTGCATTTGATATAGCGCTTGTAATGGGTTATGATTGCATTTTGCAGGCAATGTGAAATAGATGAGATAAGGGATGGTCTTTGCTCTGCGCACTCTCCCAAGGCAGACTATTCTCGTCAGTTTGTGCATTGTGAGTCGCTTCCTTTAATAATAATAATCCTTGCATTTGATATAGCGCTTTTCACCTCAGGAGGACGTCCCAAAGCACTTCACAGAACACACTGTAAAGTGAATTGACTGTACATTTGTGGGCGAACGCGGCAGCCAATTGCGCACAGCAATGTCCCACAAACAGTCGTAGATTGAAAATGACCAATTTATTATTGTTTTGGTTTTGGAGGGATTATTATTAGGCTCTGTGTGGAGTAAGGAAACTTGCCCAAGGTTTCGCCCTCTGCCTGGAATTGAACTCAGGTCTCTCGCTTGCAAAGCGACTGCTCTAACCACTGAGCTACAGGACTCCACAGGACTTTAGATAGTTCAGTGATCAAAATGGGCCTCTGCACTGCAAGTTTATATGGTTCTACATCTATGGGAGCTTGGCCAAAGAGAACGGTGTATTAGATTCCTCTTATGGTATATTCTTATCTTTCACAATATATTCTGTGAAGTACTTTGAGACTTCTCAACAATAGCTATATAAAATATAAGGTTTATTATTATTACTCTTAATAGCTCCCAGCTTTTAGTGAAATAATTAGCATCTTTCGACCATTTCCTTTGCTGAAGCACTTCAGAACTTCTCCTCCCGATAAAGAGGACAGAACTAAAATGAACTGCTTTGGCTCAAAGACACGTTTGGTGCATGTTAGCAGCGTGTACAGTGCTGCAGGTCAACGCTCAGTTCTTAATGTAGGCTCTGCCTTAAAGCAACAGCTAAGACCAAGTAGAGACACAAGTCATGGAGAACCAGGATACAGATACATCAAGGCTAGTTGGTGTAGTCCCAATTATAAAATAACCTTTTCATTAAAACCTGTAAAAAGACCTCTGCTGTTTTGTGTCTGCTCCCATTAACAGTCCTGGCATTTAACATCCCTCAATTAGATGGATGTTTTGTAGCAAAGGTGGACACGGACCACGTGAATGTTGACTCAGCAGGCGTGGATGTAATCGATAGCCAGATGTGCACAATTAATGCCTCATTGAGAGGATGGATAATAAGATGACAAAAATACATCATGAGGCGACTGAACCATCAAACCCACATTTTCAGGCGAGATCGACAATACTGAAACTGCTGGCTCTGAACCCTGCCCAGTTAAGCGCAGTGATTAACATGGACGGACACAAATTGGAAGGACTGCTGCATAATAACTTGCATTTATATAGTGCCCTTCACATGGGATAGCATCCGGAGCCCTTGACAGTGACAGAGACTGACAACGAGCCAGGGCCAGAGGAAGGGGGGAAGGCGACCGTAAACATGATCGAAAAAGGTCTTTAGGCAGGACTTGAAAGCGAGGAGGGAGGGGGCAAGGCAGACGGATTGAGGGAGACAATTCCGAAGTTTCAGGGAGTAGTGGCTGAAGGAATGGCCATTGATTGTGGAGCGGAGGGGCTGAGGGACAAACAGGAAGCCGGAGCCAGCCGAGGGGAGGCAGCGGGTAGTAGAGTGGGGGCGGGGTGCAAGCAAATCGGAGGTACAACAACTTGGATTTATATAGCGCCCTCCACCCCGGACAGCGCCTCAGAGCACTTATGTATCAAATGCAAGGATTATTATTTTAAAAGGAAAAAAAGGTAGGGAGGTGTGAGGACACAAAGGAATTTGAAAGCAAGTGAGAGGATCTTGAAATTGATCCGTTGGATGATTGGGAGCCAGTGGAGCCTAGCAAGGACTGGTGTAATGGAGAGTTTTCTTCTTATAATACTTACATTTAATTGCAAGATGTCTTCAAGACATCTCAAAGCACATCACAGCAAATTTTGTGCACGAAACACGAGAGCCAATTGCAAACAGCATTGTCCCACAGTGGTGGATTGAGTGACCAAAATAGTTTTTTTATTTTGTTTTTTTGAAGGAATTATTATCCTTGGAAAGCAATCCGCCAATCGACGAAGAACCGGGTTCCTACTTACGGTTAGGTAAACAGAGGCGCGTGAAGTAAGGAAACGTGCCAATGTTTCACCCTGCCCAGGAATCAAACCTGGATCCTCTCGCTCGCGAAGCGAGTGCCATAACCAATGAGCTACAGGACTTCTTTCCTTGAAGGACAGAGTGTTTCTCTGACCAAAAAATGAGTTTCGACATGGAACACTGTGAACAGTTTGCAAAGCAGCTGCTCGTGGCAAATAACTGCAGTTATTTATAAGTCCACCCACTCCAGGCAATGCTGAATCATTGTGCCACCTCAATTATAAAGAGGCGAAACAAAACATATTTATTTTATACACGGTATGGAGTTCACACAGGTGAATACAGTTGGTTTGAGTACTTAATTGAAAGCCAGCAGAATGGAGGCAACAACAATTATTTCTCCTCTGAAAAGCGTGGAGGCACGACACTCTTACTCAAGCGGCTCTGGGTACTGGAATCCTTTGGCACGTTAACAATCTGAACTCCACAGGAAGTGAGTGCTCCCTTACTAGCTTAAAGTGNAAAAAAAGCTAATTCACCCACCCGGGAGTAAGGCACACTAATTGTATGATTTAATGTGCAAGGCAAATAGATAAGTGCAATAAGTTCTGATTTTTTAAAATACATATTAAAAGGACTTCACTACATAATACACTAATTTTACATTTTTTTAACCAATTCTGGCACAGAAACATTCCCTTCTTTGGCCCTTATGGTTGTCATAGTAATTACTATTAAATGTTGATTCTAATTTAATCTAAGAATATACAGTACTGTGTTAGTGATAAAGATATTCTGTGAGACACAGAATAACTAGAGAGTATAAATAATACAAGAATTCACACAATCGAATAACAGATTGTGTGCATTGTTGTCGAGCAAGGTCCAGCTCTGACAGAGTTAAGCACAAATGAACAAATAAAACAGTGCTATTCGCATCTAAAAGCAGACGATTTGCCTTCAGCTCCTTGCTCTGCATGTTATACAAACCGTGCATACAAAACAGCCACTTCAATCTGGACACTATAGGCACAGACACCCATGTAAAGAATATAGAAACACACACACACACACACACACACACACAGTGTGGAGGCTTCTCATGTGGAACCTTCAACTCACTTGTCACAGCTGACAAGTATTAAAGGAAATTCCTCCCACCATCCTCCAATCATAATAAGGTTAACCAAAATATAAGGAAACTAGTTTTGAGAAAAGGAATATTTAGAAGATCATAAATGGCATCTGCGTTTCCTCTGGTGGGGAAAATCCAGAACAAGGGGGCACCGACTTAAAATTAGAGCTCGGCCATTTAGGAGTAAAATCAGGAGGCAGTTTTGCATACAAAGGGTAGTGGGGAATCTGAAACTCTCTCCCCTAAAAATAGTGGATGCTGGATCCATTCAAATTTTCAAGACTGTTTTGGATTTGTTAGGTCGGACTATCAAGGGATACCCCAACTCAAGGGTGGGGAATTGAGGTACAGATCAGCTAATGATCTTATAGGATGGTGGAACAGGCTCAAGTGGCTGAATGACCTACTTGCTCCTGTTCCTATTTACACACTTCAGATATGACATATTTAGCCTTTTCTACACAAAGAGTATTAACCAGAGGCTCACACTATCCAACACGCGGAGTTTCACAAGGGTCCAGTTTCTAGGTCAGGTAATTTTATTGCAGCTTAACCGTTTTCCCCAGCATGAGAACTATTTTCTTGTGCGGGCTAAGTAAATGTACTGAGACTTTTAAGCACCATTGTATTTAGCAAGCAGTCTAATGTAAACTCAACCTCTACAGTAACAGCTGGAAAAGAAACTTGTCTGAACGCTTCACTTCATTCAGTTGGGAGAACGTGTGCAATTGGTGTGAACATTCAGAGACACTGAGCTCCCTCAGCTCCTCAGGTTCTGCAGGCTTTGGAGCGGTCGTTTCATTGTGAGCAACATGGCAGGCTTGATCTTAGGTTTGCCCTGGAAGATTGCGGCCTCGCTGTCAGTCACAGGGAAGCGCTGCTGGTAGATGTCAGGGTATTCCTTTTGGAACTGAAGTGGAGAAAATAGCAAATAAAAAACAAAATCAGTCGTACTCATTTTAAGTTTCAAACTAGCAATCACACTTTAAACATTCTTCCAGCTGGGGCGATATTTATTCAACCTCCCAGGATGTGCAAGGACCTTCAAGAAACATATTCCTGGTAACAATAATACCTACATTGGATTTAGCACCTCACTGCGTCTTTTGAGTCATCTCAGAGTGCTTCACAGAATATACTGCGAAGTATAGTAACTGTATTTTGTGGGTGAAATGAAAAAAATAAGCACATTGTGTCGAGTGGACGACACACAGGACATTCTCCTGCTTTGGCTGGAGGTGGCAGCACTGACATCAAGAAAGGAGCGCTGAACCAGTAGGGTGAATAAAGCTGCACTTGAAGCAAATGAAATGTCAAAGATGTCACTTCAATACTCTTATACCCAAGTGCAGCAGCATTTCTGTGACTGAATCGAAAATAATAATAATCCTTACATTTGATATAGCCCCTTATCACGTCTTCGAGACGTCTCAAAGCGCTTCATAGAATATGCTGTAAAGTGAATTGATTGTATATTTTGTGGACGAAAGGTGGCAGCCAATTGCGCACAGCAGCGTCCCACAAACAGTCGTGGATTGGGTGACCAAATTATTATTTTTTCCCCAATATAACCACATGTCTATTCCCAAGTGCATTTACCAGTTAAGCTGTTCACAACTCATCACTATTATAGACACAGCAGACCCCAGTGCCTTGCCTTACTTGTTTAAGCTTTTTCCTCTTGTCCTTGACTGGCAGGCGCTGGTCTTTGAGAATGTTTTCCAGCAGCTCGCTTATCGCCACCTGGGAGGCAGAAACCTTTTGCTCCTCAAACTCCTTCACGCTGATTTGTTGGCAGAATGTGTACGTTGGCCCGGAGCCAATGTCACTTGTGCAAGGATATTTAATCTGCAAAACAATAAGTTACCACATCACACCCTGGAAGTACTTTACCCGCTGTGTGAAAGAAAGTCACATCGTGGCTATTTGAGTCAATCTTTTAAAAAAAATACTTGCATTTGATATAGCGCCTCATCACCCGGTCGAGATGTCTCAAAGCGCATCACAGATTGACTGTCGAGTGAATTGACTGTATTTTGTGGGCAAAATACAGCAGCCGATTGTGTACAGCAGACACAAATAGCTGTGGGTTAACTTTTTTTGGTGGAGGGATTAACACCCCTGGAAAGCAATCTGTCAATTGACTAACAACAGGGTTCCTACTTACTCCACACACCTCCGTTTACCCACAAGAAGGAAACTTGCCTACGATTTCAACCTGCCCGGGAAGGGTCACTTGGATATTTTAAACCAACTCCAGATCATGGACTAAAGGTGAATCAGACCTGAGCTTTTTGGAGGTGGCTGATGTGGTCCCTCACAGCATTGCTGAGGTAGAGCGGGACCACGAGGATGTCCTGATGGTGGTCTAGGAGGAAGGACACTAGCCTGGTGGCCAGCAGCTCATCCAGGTCAACTTCCCTCTCACAACGCAAGATACAGCGGGAAAATGTTTGAATCATCTGGAAGGAAACAACAACAAGAACTTGCAGTTATATAGCGTCCCAGAGCGCTTGGAAACCAAGACATGGTTCACAATTTTCCACTTCCTGTCACTCCACTTTCCCTTCCTTCAAATTACTCTTCCCTGTTCTAAAGGCAGCTACTCATTGTCTAGACATTACACGGTAGGGGGGGGAGGAAATGGCACAACCAGGGAGGAAACAATCAAAGATCAGTTCAATTAACAGAAATAATTTGGTCACTCAATCTACATCAGTTGTGGTAACTGCTGTGCGCAATTGGCTGCTGGGTTTTGCCCACAAAATGTACAGTCAATTTACTTTACATTACATTCTGTGTAGGAAGTCTCTTCCTCCTGCCGCTCTGCTATAAAATGAGCAGCTTGGCCCCAAATTCCCCCTCATTACAGCACTTCAACCTCATCATGAAGCAGTTAGGCATCCTTGCCAAGCAGTGCCAGTCTAGTAAACTTGTGCACTGTAACCCTGACCTAATGTTCTGCCTTACAGGAATTAATCTACCTCACGGGAAAGTGGAAAATTCACGACCAAAGCAGTAGCAATAGAGATTGTGTCAGAGAATAGGCATTACTGCAGTGTGCTGTGCTCAAGGTGGATTGTAGGTTCCTGAAATGGGAGCACATTCCATTCCTCAGTACTAAATCATTTTTTAAAAAACCTCCACCCACAAATAATGTTAATCCTTACATTTGATGTAGTGCATTATCACATCTTCGAGAAGTCTCAAAGCGCTTCACAGAATGTACAGTAAAGTGAATTGACTATTTTGTGAGCATACGCAGCAGCCAATTGTGCACCGCAGTGTCCCACAAACAGTCGTGGATTTTATAAAAAGGGAGTATTATCCCAAGAAAAGCGATCCGCCAATCGACTAACAACCTGGTTCCTGCTTACTGCTAGAAACCTTACCCACTAAGGTTTCGCCCTGGACAGGCTACTCAGGAATCGAAGCTGGATCCTCTCACTTGCGAAGCGAATGCTCAAACCACTATACTACAGGATCACATCAAACAAGGAATAAGGCAAGCTGGTTGCTAGGAAGCAAAAAACATCTTGATGTTGGGAGTTCTGGAGTAAAGAAGCCAGATTCAGATGGAGGAACATACCAAGGTTCTGGTTCCCACGGTGCTGTGGAGTGGAGGCATGTCGACGTTCTGGCTGATGCGAGCCATCATGCGCAGGAGCAGCTGCAGTTTTCTGCGATAGTGTGGTGGCAGGAAGAGGCAGCACAACTGCAGGGCTTCGATGGCAACCTTCTCCAGGTGAGGCTGAAGCAAACCTACAGTGCAACACAAAATGCATTTACACAACGGCTTCACGTCGGGAGGACAGCCAGGATTTGGACCCGAGCTGGGGGTTTGGATCAGGAGGAGTGGGGAGCATAGGGGTAGGAGGGTGACCGAAGGTACAGTCGAAGAGGAGGGTCTTGAGATGGGCCATGAATGAGGCAAATGGAGTGGGGGGGGGGGGAGCAAGGCGAAGAGACTGTAGGTTGCAGTACCAAAGGGTGGGGGCAGACAAACTGAAGGCCTGACTCCCGATAAGTGGGGCGGGCAGGGCACTTGGAGCAGGCCAGAGGCTGCTGAGCAGAGGGAGCTGACGGGTTGATATGGCAATGGTGCAAGTATCAGTCAGTCATGGCTCGTTACTATATTCGTTCTCAACAACAAGTGGAATGAGGTACAGTTGCCAATGGTTACAGACTAACGCTGAATATTTCTGCTAAAAAGCACCACACGATATGGATTCCTAAAATAAAATAAGTGGCATTCTTCAGAGGACTTTTTTTTCAATAAAAAGTTAAGTGCATTAATGTACACCTAATCTAGCCTGTCAAGCAGTCACTGTGAACCCAGGCTCACAGACAGTTACAGTGACAGATGTGGTGGTTAGTTCATCACATCCATCTCCGTCACACAGCGCCCAAGAAACTAGGTCAGGCTGCAGGTAGGCAGCACAACCTGCTCCAGCATTCACAATGCTGTCTTGGCAGCATATCAGGGCACAGACTGATCTTCTACATTTACCTGTAATATGAACATAGATACAGCCTCCGCCCAACAACAACAAAAACAATAACTTGTATTTACACAGCGCCCCTCATGCAGGGTAGTGTCCCAAAGCGCTTAACAGTGGCGGAGCACGATGCTGAGCCGGGTAGGGTGTCCGCAGAAGCGGTCGAAGAGGAAGGTCTTTGAGCACACGGCCTGAAGATGCAGAAGGCCGGGGCAAGGTGGAGGGATAAAGGAAGTGTTCCAGAGTTTCGGGGCGTAGCGGCTGAAAGCATGGCCACCGATTGTGGAACGGAGGGGACGAGGGACATGCCAGTCGAGCGGAGGCAGCAGTTTGGGGAGTAAGCAAGTCTGGAGTAACCAGAGGGGAAAAAAAAAAGCACAAGTAAAGCACAGACAAAATAAAAAGCATGCTGTATTTAGCAGTAGCCTTACTTGTGCCATTAAAGCTTCCTACACCTGTTGAAAGGTAAGCGGTTGCATGAGCACGGTTTTCAGAACCACCCACAGCACTTTTGTTTTCCTGAGATGCATTGGTGCCTTCAGAAGCAAAGCACTTGTTGTGTGCTGAGGTAGCCAAACAGAAAGCACTCGGCCTTCTCAGACCTATTTCAGATGAACAAAACGGTTTCATGGAGTTTCTGGCAACTGGAGCATTAATACTAGAGAAGCTCCCAGTAGCGCTGGTCAGTTTGGAGTTAGCGGCTTTATTTAAACCGCTGGAGTTCACTTTGGAATAACGCTGCAGTCTTTGGGACTGCAATCCTGGGTAGCGCTGGCCATCAACGTCAGCCTTTTGGGTGTTGGCCTTGGTTAACTGACCATTGAACAAGCCGGAATCTGGACAGGCGCGGCAGGGTTCGTGGTTGTGTTCCGTCAGAATCCATGCCGAATTACATCTGGAGATGGTCATTGGTGACCCATCACCTTCTGAACGAAGATCAGTCATCGACTCTGCTCTTAGCCTGCTGGACGTGAGCAGGTGGACGTTCTGATGGTGGGGCTGGTCATCTCCAGGTCCCGACACATCCATACGCTCACAGCCTGCGGGATCTGCCACTCTCTCCCCACTGGAACAATCATGTGAGAGTCCTGCAATATGGCTAACTGAGCTGTACCTCGACTGAACCGTAGACAGTTCACTATGATAGTCCTTCAAATGAGTCAGGTTCTGACAGCTCCCTCCCAAGAGCTGCTTACTGACACGGGTTTTCCTGCAGCCTACAGCGTGCTGGTTTAAATGCCTGGCGCATCCTTTCTGGAGGTTACGATGATTTTGTGTCACCCTTTGCTTGGGCGAACACTCCATCTCCTCCTCCTCCTCTTCCTCCGCTGGTTCCAGCAGCCGTCGTGTTTCTTCAGAAAGGTCTTTACGAACTAAGCTCAAGAGCAGGCACTCTGTGGATTTGAAGAAGTTGGTGTGATTGTTCAGGTGCTGAGATTTGGCCGGCTGTGGGCAGCAGGGTTCGTCCAGGTTTTTGCGTTTTCCCTGAGGTCGCTTTGAGACCATGATGTAGCCACACAAAACTAGCACGAAAGCAAAACAAAATATTAAACACAGATGGGGGAGAACGAGAATAGATTTGGGAATGGGAAACTTGGAATATTGAAAAGCAAGCAAGCAGAAAAAGTTACACAAGTCATTGCAAAAGACAAAGAGCACACCATCAACATAGCAATATACCATACAATAGTATCCTTGCATTTGATATCAATATCCTTATGTTTCGCCCACAAAATGTAGAGTCAATTCTGTGAAGCATCTTAACGACGCTATAAGGCAGTATATCAAATGCAAGGATTATTATATAAGCTTTATGCTATTGACAGGATTTCACTAACATGCAGTGATTATTTGTAGGCAACCGTGGCATCCAATTAACACAAGGCAAAGTCCCACAAACAGCCATGATACAAATGATCATTAGGGAACGACAGTCAGAACACCAGGAGAAACTCCCTTCTCTTTAGAGTGTAGAATCACGTGCAACAGTGTGCTTTAGATATTCTACGCACCCTTCAGATTTGTAAAATCACAGGTGAGATGAACAGAATTAAGTACAGTACACAATGCTCGATATAAATAAGACAGTCGTAGCATCTCATCTGATGTTGGCTTTGATTCCGTTGTGGTAGTTTTCTTTTAAACACCTACCTAGGATATTCACAAAGAGCTCATAGTATTGCAGTGTAAGCAGAGGCTCGGGGAGCGTTAGAAAGTAGTCTGCCACTGTTTTGAAGACATCACGTTCAAACCCAGGATAGGTTGGCTGGCATGAGTCATTGTTCCTTGGCCCTGAAAGAGATTGCTTTTAAGTTTGAGAATGAAATAGAACTGGGGCCAACCCAACAGAGTTTGACTTGTCAATGAAACCCAGAAGATCAAATTCATGGCAATCATCAGTCTTAACTCAGATACACTTTGCAACAACAACATGTATTTATATAGTGCCCCTCGTGCAGGGAAGCATCGTGGCGGAGCACGACACCGAATCGGGGGAGGTAACTGTAGCCACAGTTGAAGAGGAAGGTCTTCAGGTGCGACCTGAAGATGGGAAAGGAAGGGGCAAGGAGGAGGGATAGAGGAAGAGTGTTCGGGAGTCTCAGGATGTAGTGGCTCAAAGTGTGGCCACCGATAGTGGAACGGAGGGCAGACAGAAAGCCGGAGCCAGTTGAGCGGCTGGTCAGAGAGGTAGGGATGTGCCAGGGCATGAAGGGATTTGAAAACGAGTGAGAGGATCTTGAAATCAAGGGAAGCTAGTTTCTTGTGATAACCTTGTTGGGTCAAATTACATTTTTCTGTTCCTTTAAGGAGTTTTAAAAAAAATCTTACAATGATCACGTGTAAAACCTTTATCACCAAAATGCTAATAGCATTGCTTTCAATTGAGCAACATTTTGTGTCCATTTTCAATTAGTTGCAGAAGTACCTTACAGCCAGCATGCACTCCATTATGAAAGGATTACTCAGTACGGCAATTCTGGCTCTCTGAAGAACTAGAACAAATAGTGCAGGGTCAATTTGAGATGCCTTAATCCAGCACACTGTACTGTTTCCAGTGCACTCTAACCTACTTTTCCTCATTGGGGGTAGACAATCTCACATCAGAATGAATTCTCTGCTTCTCTAATCAAAGAGTTTGAAATCTTGGCTCTGTATTTGATAGAGCTTTATCACATCTTTGAGAGGTCCAGAATCCACGAGAGAGTGGGTGAGAGAGAGAAAGACAGTTTGTCCCACAAACAATCGTGGTTTGAGTGACCCCAATTTTTTTTGAAGGGTTTATTGCCCTTGGAAAAGCGATTCGCCAATTGACTAACAACCGGGTTCCTACTTACTGCTAGGTAAACAGAGGGATGTGGAGTAAGGAAACTTGCCTACAGTTTCACCCTGTCTGGAATCAAACCCAGGTCCTCTCGCTTGCGAGGCGAGTGCTCTAATCACTAAGATACAGGACTCCAATCTCACATCAGAATGAATTCCCTGCTTCAGCAATCAAAGAGTCTGAAATCTTGGCTCTGCAATTAATATCAAACATTTATGTGCATTTCGGACACGTGGAGGGGAAGGTGGGGGGGGGGGGGGAGAGAGAAGGGAAAAAGTAGAGGCAGAATGCAGGGAACAAACACACAATACATTTTTAACTAGATGTTATTCTTGAGACATTTGACTAGAATTATTCTAGTTTTATTTTGTTGAGAGTTGTACACTTACAGCTTGCCAAGCACTTCATGGCTGACAACACCCAATGAGGCAGGTCATCTGTAGAGAAAGGAAACATGTAAAATTTCCATTTAGATAGTGCCTTTCACGACAATGTCTGTACGTACAGTGCTTCACACAGGTGACTGGGAACCCAATTTTTAGAGTTAGGAAGGGGAAAGAATGGGAAATTGAGGAGGTTATGGGTGGTTTGGGTGGGGTGGAGGGGGAATGACCAAGAGACTGGTTAAAGGTGTGTGTTAATAATAATCCTGGCATTTTATATAGCACCTCATCATGTCTTCGTGACATTCAAAGCGCTTTACGGGATATACTGTAAATTTTGTGGGCGAAATGTGGCAGTCAACTTAATGTGGGCGTGAAGGTGAAGTGGGGAGGTGGGAGACACATGGAGTTCCACAGGGTGAGGACAGATTGGATGAAAGCTCACTGCCGATGGTAGGGCAGATTGGACGGGGGAACATGAAGCAGACCGCTGTAGCTGAACAGAGAGAGCTGTGTGCTCAGCTAAAACTATTAAGGCTGGAGTCTGGTCGTCAAGGAAACTGCTAAGGCACTGCTCCTTCATTTTAACACTAACTAGCAATGGGAAGGAGAAGAAATTAACACTTATTTCAGGGGTGAAGCAGCAGGAACCGAAATCTCAATTTCAATACAAGGAATTAGAATTTGGTACTATCCTTTAAAAGAATAATGTGACAACAACAAATTACATTTACATAGCCGCTTTCACGTCGGGAGGACATCCCAAGGCGCGGGACTGGACAGTCAGGGATTTGAACCCGCGCAGGGGCTTGGGATCAGGAGGGCAGGGATGGTAGGGGTAGGAGGGTGATCAAAGAAGTCTTGAGACGGGCCTTGAAGGAGGGAACGAGGTGAAGGGAGTTCCAAAGGGTCGGGGCATAGGGGCTGAAGGCCTAACTGCGATATAAAACCTACTCAGAAGCACAAGATCGGCCATTCAAAGACAGACTTGATAATAATTTAGTAATAATTCTAGCATTTGATATAGGGCTTGTTCACATCTTCGAGACATCTCAAAGCTCTTCACAGAATATACTGTAAAGTGAATTGACTGTATATTTTGGGGCTGAAACGCAGCAGCCAATTGCGCACAACAGTGCCCCACAGTCGTGGATTGAAGTGACCGATTTATTATTTCTTTTCTTGAGGCATGTGGAATAAGGAACCTTGCCCAAGATTTTGCCCTGCCGGGAATCGAACCCAGGTTTCTCGCTTGCCTCGCAAGTGCTCTAACCAGAGCTACAGGGCTCCATGATGTCTGAATCTGTAACAATACACACACAAAGCTCTTGTATGGTGGTGATTGCATAACCAGCTATTACTCAGCTAATGTCAGTTCAATCCAGGCCAGTACCATTTACTGCCTCCTGTACAAGATTTCTCTTTGTAATATACAATCCTCATTCCTGTTAACCAGTTTTACATAATAAATAGTCACAAGGCAAGTTAGATAAGATGTTTTATACAGAACGAGGCTGGAAAGTGACGTTCTCTGGTATTATTCTTTCAAAAGGAAATTAGATTCTCTTGAAAACGAGAAATATTAAGGCTTTGGGGGAGAAGGACAACAAGATTAAACAAGTTGGCCGATGTGGAGAAAAAGGTTCTAGATTGGGGAGAACCAGATAATTTAGTGAAGCAACACATGGAGCATCAAGCAGGCAAGAGTATAAAAATATCTTCTAAATATTTTGGCAATATTTGGGTAAACTGAACTATAGGAAACCACTTGGTGAGCGCAAAAGTCTGTGTGGTGTATATTTGGAGGTTAGGCTATGATGTTGAAGACCACCTTCAGTGAGATCTTAAATGAAAGCACCCCAACACCAACCTGATAGAGATCTAGCGATGGAGTTGGTTGGGGGTAGGATACTGACCGAAGGCACAGTCGAAGAGAAGGGTCTTGAGATGTGCCTTGAGGGAGGCAAGGCGGAGGGGACTGTCGGATAGAGTTCAAAAAGGGCAGAGAGGCTGCCGATAGTGGAGCAGACTAGTGCCTGCTGAGTGGAGAGCGCGGACCTATATGTGCAGGGATAGTGTATGTCACAGGGAGTTGAAAAACAGAATCTTACCCGATTTATCTTGAAGTATGACCACCCCATGTTTGCTGACGTTTTGTACATTATACGTGATGTGTTGCGGAAGGACTTGCGAAAAATCCAAAACCTCCTCTAATGACGCCGGGCCCAAGATTTTCTGTAGGCTGAAAATAAAATTAACAGGAATACCTAGGTGGGATTACTATGGATTAACCTCATCAGAGAACAGGGGACAATCTACAAGAGCAAAAGGTAAGCAATTTCAAAGTATCTAATTCTCTCACGTGGCACATTCCTCTTTGCTCCTGATCTGACTCCCTCTTGCTTTGGTAAGCAGGAGGTTGGAGTCAAGCATCACTACCTTGTGTGAGGGGTGCTATATGAATTTAAGTTGTTGTTGCTGTATGGTTGGTATTTCAACAGATAGAACAACCACACTAACCTAGGACATTTTTCTCCACCTCAATTAGCTAATACTTGGCCTAACTCGAGTACATAATCCTTTGTAGTTGTGATATGACTTGGTGGCAGCTGCTTTGTAAAATCTAAACCACAGACACAATTCTGCAAAAAGTAGTCCTGATGATTGGACATGCATCAGGCAAAGGTAATGCTAAAAATGTGATCCCCATGCTAGCTGGCCGTGTGCCATTTCACAGAGAAAATTAGGCATTGCAGTGAGAACAAAGAACGGCACTCACTACTTCAATAAATTTCAGATGAGCAAGATGGTGAAGAAACTTCAGTGGGAACATAGGAACAGGAATAGGCCATTCAGGACCTCAAGCCTGTTCCACCATTCTGTCAAATCATGGCTGATCTATACCTCAACTCCAATTACCCACCTTTACCCCATATCCCTAGAAACCCTGACCTAACAAACATCTATCCATCTCAGTCTTGCGTATTTGGAAGCTGCAGTCAAATTTACAGTGATATTCTTCATACTGTGGAAGGACGCACAATACATAAAATTTAGGATTATTTGGCGGACTCCCTCCCTACCCTCCATCCCTCCTGATCCTAACCCCCAGCTTGGGTCCAAATCCCTGACTTGAGACGCCTTCCCGATGTGAAAGGCGCTGTGTAAATGTATAACAATGCTTTTATGCATTTTATAGCTGGCAATGGATCATCCTTTTTATACAATCTTAGAGGACAGTTAAGCCCCATGGAGGGAAATAAACCAAAGCAGAGGTGTCTCATTGCTGCAAGATTACAACATGTACATCTGGAGAAATCACCAGCAAATCAATGAGATGTTTTACATGTAGATACCTTCAGGTTAAATGTTGTTTGGGAAACGCATTGAACTCTTGATACTACAAAAGCATAATTTCTCCCCCCCACTCGTTGTACACGGTGACCAATAACTATTATTTAAAAAACATAATTTATTTGAGACTTATTAAACATTGTAATGGTATCACAGCTTTTTGGTCACCCAATATTATATACATTTATAATGTTTGCGATGACTTACTGAATGATTGCAATCTCTCTCCAAGCTTCCTCTCGGTCACTCTGTGTAACTTCTCGGATGTAAAGTAACTGTCCTTCTGGAGTTAAGTCTGACATCTCCTTACATGATTCTTCCTCACATACCTTGAATTAACACATTTAATATTAATTATAATCCTTGCATTAATATAGCCCTTTATCACATCTTCAAGACATCTCAGAGTTTCACAGAACATACTGTAAAGTGATGTTTTGTGGGCAAACCACAGCGGCCAATTGCGCACTGCAGTGTACCATAAACAGTTGTGGATTGAGTGACAATTTTTAAAATTTTAATTATTCTTATTGTTTTTTGAAGGGATATTCACCCCCGGGAAAGTGATCCACCAATCGACTAACAACAGGGTTCCGACTTACTGCTACGTAAACAGGCACATGGAGTAAGGAAACTTTCCTAAAGTTTCTCCCTGCCTGGGAACCCAATCCAGGTCCTCTGACTTGCGAGGCGAGTGCTCTAACCACAAAGTGAGAGGAATTCACAATAATAAAACCAAACACTTGTGCTTGAAGACAACTCTTTCAATAAAAACAGAGTACACTCAATATACAAAGTGTCCTAAAGGCAGGAATTGAATCATTGGGTTTCAATCCACAAATACTTTTAAATCGGAGTGGTGGAGTGAATGTTGAGAAAGTCCGACAATGCGTTATCAGGCTGAGACCTAACAAAAAGAGTTTAAGCTATAATGAAACTAGGTCAATATGGTTTATATTCCCTTGAGTGAAGGGACGATCTAGTTAAAGATCTTTAAAATAGATGCCATTAAGAAGAGGAAATAACCTGTCCTACACAAGTTGCATCCAGAACTATAAGTGAAGCGATTCCAGAAAGCACTTCACAAAGAATATGAACTGTTGGCATAGAATCCCATAAAATGCAGAACAAATCGGAAAGTAAAGACTACATTTCTCCTGCTCACAGATAACCAAATAGATCAGAAAGTGGAGTGCTATCTTCTTAGACTGTAAGTCCACAAGTTACCATGTGAGGGCGTTGCACTGCTTTTCAAATTCAGAAATGCTAAAAGCATCACAGGAACTTGCAGAACCACAACTCTAAACAAAAACGGGCAGGCCTAGAAAAAATAATGAGGGGTAATCTCTTTAAAAAAAAGGTAATTAAATCTACAACTGTATGTGGGCCACACAGCTGTGCGCAATTGGCTACCGTGTTTCACACAAAGTATACAGTCAAGTCACTTTACAGTATTTTCTGTGAAGTTGGAGATGCCTCGAAGATGTGAAAGGCACTATACAAATGTAATCTTCTTGTTGTTGATAAGATTATGTATAAATGCAAGGATTATTATATAATTGAACAGGAGACTTAACAAAGAACACATTAGTTTCAATGCCCAGGCAATGTGGTAAAGCAACAATCCAACATGCCAAGGTATAAAGAGCCTGGCAGACAATGCACAAGTACTGCCAAACAGAAATTCCATTATGGCCACATACTTTACTATATACTTATATTCCATTTTCTTAAAAGGTTAGTGGAGAGTTGAGTGCTGAGTGGAAACAGCCTTTCTCTTGATAACCATAGACACAATGCAACGCCAGTGGCAATAATGAGTACTTAAATCATTTCACCTGTGGGCTTTCATATTTCTTTGGTGTTCTCCGAGAAAATTTTAAAAAGCCATCTTTGTCCTTGGGGTAAGTTTGCGTAGCATTTTTTCTATAGAATGGAGGATGGCTGGGAATGATTTTCAGCGGCGATGTAGTGGGAAATCTGTTCAAAGAGATCAATACACTGTTGCTCAAAGGGTTGAATTCAAGATCAGATTCAAAATTTAAAAGAAAGTCTTAATACAAAGCAAATACTACAAAGGCTCACCACATGATGCGACACCTCCTATACTTATATTATTACATGCAAAAGTTTGCACACAATAATAATAATCATCCTTGGATTTGATGTAGCACCTTATCACGCCTTCGAGACATCTCAAAGCGCTTTCCAGAATATACTGTAAAGTTGAGTCCTCCCGACGTGAAAGGCATTCTATAAATGTAATTTTGTTGCTGTTGTTGTTGAGTGACTGTATATTTTGTGAGCAAAGCGCAGCAGTCATACAGTAGTTTCAAATTATAATTTTTTAGCCCGGGAAAGCAATCTAACAACCGGATTCCTAGTTACTGCTAGGTAAACAGTGGTATGTGAAGGAAGGAAACTTCCCGAACATTTTGCCCTGTTCGGGAATCAAACCCAGGTCCTCTCACTTGCGAGTGCTGTAACTATGTCAGTCAAAATGAATTCAACAGTGCAATACGTCACACATCTGCCTACCACCACATATTAAAGCATTGGACACATTTTATCAACACAATTGACATAGGTCAGCACATCTTTACAGAGCAATCTCTCATGAAAACTGCCAAGATATAGCTTGCAGCCAGCTCTCTCATATTCATGGTAAACCATGCTTTTGTGAAGTACTGTGGGCAGAAATTATACATTCAATCACATTGCTATTTTTAGAAAGAAGTGGAGACTCGGTAGCTAATCAGATATTTGAAATGTATAATGGTGCATTTCAAATATCCAGATTTAATAAAGCTTAATCGTTAACAGTCACATAATCAGGCTTTCAATTTTTTAAATAATAGATTTATCATTGTACAATGTGGTATTGTAGAAATTGAAGATATGAGTTGAGTACCGACTCAGTTCATTCTGCAAATCTGTAGAACACTTCCGATCCCACCCAATTGAAATGTAAAAGTAAATTAATCAGTTTCCTTTATGGGGCAAGGGTGGGTAATTGGAGTTGAGGTACAGATCAGCCAAGAGAAGCTGTTTTATCTTGTACTGAACAGTAGAACCAGAGAACACGGCCTGCGATTGAAGGGGGTAAACTCAGAACAAATCTGCGGAAACACTACTTCAGTGAGCGAGTAGTAAATGGATGGAACAGGCTCCCCAGGGAGACAGTGAAAGCAGAAAATGTTGTTTGTATCAAGAACAAATTAGATTTCTGATAGAAAATAAAACCTCAGGATACAGCATATAGTTTGGGACATGACAAGCGAGTGCCAGGATGCGGAAGGCAAACTAGACGGACCTTGGTCTTCTTTCGCCTAGTGAGCCTTTGTGTTCTTATGATCTAATAGAATGGTGGAACAGGCTTGAGGAGCTGAATGGCCTACTCGTGTTCCTACGTCCTATCCTGGGCTCGCAAAATCATCTCGATTCTGGGCTTCCATAAAACTGCCTCATCACTGCCCGAAAACTCTTACAACAAGCTTAGTTGAAGCAGTCTGTTAGCCTGGGGAACAGGAGTCACTCAGCTAGAAAAAAAACAGTTGACTATAGTACCTGTTGTGGTTCATTTAACACAAGCTACAGATAGGATCAGATCAACTGCTTTTCCCAAGCACAGAGCTCAATTAGCACGCTGAAAGGGAAATACAGACAAGCACAGTTGCTCTGAAGCTAAATGTAAGTCTCAGCAGGGCACTGATGCAATACTCAGATTTTGCTATGAGATAGCTGGAGAATAATTTCAGTTTCTTGCATCTGCCTGAGCCAAAAGAACAGGCGATCTGCAACTAAGCATTGCCAAGCTTATTTGCCAGGCTCCGCTCGACTGGCTCAGCCTCCTGCAAGTCCCTCGTGTCCTCCCTCCGTTCCACCATCAGTGGCCGCGCTTTCACCCACTGACCCCGAAACTCTGGAACACTCTTCTTCTATCCCTCCGCCATGCCCCTTCCTTCCCCATCTTCAGATCGCACCTGAAGATCTTCCTCTTTGGACGCGTCCACGGTCACCTCCTCCATGTTCAATGTCATGCTCCGCCACTGCCAAGCGCTCTGGAATGCTGTCCTATGTGAGGAGCGCTATATAAATGCAAGTTGTTGTTATTATCTTCCTCTCCTTGTGGGAAAATGCTTGATCTTGGCTCAGCGCTGAGTAACCCATTCAACAGTTTGTTGTACCAGTCTTTACGCTTGGCTCAATTGGTAGAACTCTCGCCCCTGGGCTAAAATGTCTAGGCTGATATTCCAGTGCAGTGTTGGTGGAAGCTGGATTGTCAGAGGTGCCGTCCTTCGAACGAGACATTTAATAGAGGTCCCATCTATTGCTGCTTATAGATACAAATATTTTCCCAGTTATATTATAATAATCCTTGCATGTGATATAGCACCTTATCGTGTCAGATGTCTCAAAAGCACTTCTCAGAATATATCGTAAAGTGACTTCACTGTACATTTTGTACGAAACATAGTAGCCAATTGCACACAGCAATATTCCACAAACAGTCATGTTTGAGGGATTATTACCACTAGAAAGCAATACGCTAATCAACTAGCAACCGGGTTCCTACTTATTGCTGGGTAAACAGAGTCATGTGGAGTACGGAAACATGCCTAAGGTTTCGCCTTGACTAGGACTCGAACCGGGGTCCTCTTGCTTGCGAGGAGATGTTCTAAAGAACACACTAGTTTACATCAACTATCTCTTATTATCCTCAATAGTCACATCTTGCCCATCATCATGCTTACTCCTCCACTCTTAAACATTTTATACCCTCTAAAGCTAAGATGTAGATTAAATGTTAAAAGCCTGATAAGCGCTTCAAGGGATTCGTGCGGTAGTAACATTTGGACAGAGCAGGAAATAGCAGCTTGTTAAATTAATTCTTTGCTTTAGTCTTCCGTTAATGAAAGCTGTGGAGAAATTCCAGGACCAGTAATTCTAGCACAGAAATCCATACCATATGTAGAGGTCAGTAGAAGTCATTTAAAAAAACCTCAAGGAATTAAATGTCTGCAAGAAACATGGATAGACGGGACACTATAAAATTCTCAAAGTGAGGGGTGAAATAATAATAATCCTTGCATTTGATATAGTGCTTTATCACATCTTCGAGATGTCTCAATGCGCTTCACAGAATATACTGTAAAGTGAATTGACTGTATGTTTTGTGGGCAAAACAAAAATAAGCAAGGTTCTGGCTAATGCTTTTAAGTATAAACAGATGTATCCACAAACGGATGTGAAAAGGCTGCTTAGTACATTTATCATTTTCTGTAAAGCGGACGGGTGGGGATAAAGGGAAGACATACAAACCTGGAAAAATTATAGACCAGATAGGCTAACATCCATCTGAAAATGTTTGTGCATTTATGGATTACTATCAAAATTCAGATTGTAGAGGCTATAAAAGGGTAGCTAGTGTGGATTCAAAAGCAATAAGTCACCTCTCATAAATCTATTGGAATTCTTTCAGTTGGTTAACTGAATCAAGGGGCTGAAAGGAGATAAATGATTTAAAGAAAGCTCTGGCTAGGCAGCACAAACCTAAGGCTTGCAGGATCCTTTTATTTTATATTCATAAATTAATTGACCCTAAACATAAACAGATGATTAGTATAAAGCAGATTAATATCGATAGATTCTGGCCAAATAAAAAGGGTGGGATTTAGTGTGGAAAAATATTCAAGGTATTATACAATGGAAAGTGAAACATGCACAAAAAACTGAGTGAATGTTCATTACTAAAAAGGTAAAGAACATTCTGATGCGTTTATTAGTAACAGTTCTTATTAATAAGACCATCTAATAATAATCCCTCCAAAACAAAAATAAATCGGTTATTTTCAATGCACGATTGTTTGTGGGATACTGCTGTGCGCAATTGGTGGCGCATTTTGCCCACAAATATACACTTTACAGTATATTCTGTGAAGCCCGTTGAGACATCTAGAAGATGTGAACAGCGCTATATAAAATGCAAGATTATTATTAATTGCCCCTCACTGAAAGTATCCAACTAAAGTAAGACGTGACAAAATAATAGGCAGCCGATAAAGCTAATTGTGGAAATTTGAAAGACCAGAATTATGAAGCTGAACTTCTAGAAGTGACCTACAGTCGTTTTCATCTGAGAAAATGCTACCTCTCCAACCAGATTATCAAACAAGAATAAAAATTCAATTCTATCTTCCCCCCCTCCTCTTCCTCCCAAGATTGGCATGTGTAAGATAAACAATTTAACACATCCATTTTGTGGTGAGTGTGCCAATTTGGGCAACGGAGTGAGGCCACATCATTATGAACAAAGTCAAAGCTCGGAGAATTCATTTCACACAGAGCATGGAGAGATTATACTGTCATCCTTCCAATCAGAGCTGGATTCGACTTCAGGTTCCACAGAATCGTGCATCCAACTGTACTACTCAGCTTCCCAGGGAACAAACAGATCAAATATCCCATGAAAAAATGGCTTGTGTACGGTAACGTGGCTGAGTCACTCGTGAAATGCAACGGTTCAGAATTACAAGGGTACATTTTAAGCTTGTTTAGGCAATCTAGGGTTTGATAGATTGATTACCTGGGTCAGGGCAGAGAGAGATATTTCAGAGCTCTTCACATATAGAAACAGAAAAACAAAAAACACACTAAAGCTCTGGCTTCCACCAGCAACTGATTCTAAACTATTGCACTCACAAGTTGCCGGACAGCGTGAAATGTTGGCCAAGTTTCTTTACTCCGCACAACGCTGTTTACCTAACGGCAAGTAGGAACCTGGTTGTTAGTCGATTGGTGGATCGTTTTTCTGGGGGTAATAATCCCTTCAAAAATATTTTTTAAAGTAGTTTGTTCACTCACTCCATGCTGTGCGCAATTCACCCAAAAAATATACAGTAAATTCACGGTATATTCTGTGAAGTATTTGAGACATCTTGATGATGTGATAAGGCGCTATATCAAATGCAAGGATTATTATTATAGGATGAAGAAAAAATGGAGAGCAACAAAGGGAGAAATATACAGGCCTGCTCTGAGGCAACTGTGCTGATGGCATAAAATGATCAAGCAACACCAACCAGCTGGCTATACTGGAAGTCTCAAAAAAAGTTACATAGATTGCAATTGCTTTCCAAATTTCTTTCAAGATATTAGTATAATTCAAAATGTTTACATCGGTGAGATTATTTTGAACCTACAAATGTTCATTTTCATATTTAAGGTCAATAATGTCACACCATTGGCAGTATTCATGTTAAACAAATATCTGGATACCAAACTAGATAACAGTTGAAGGTGAGCAAGACTGAGGCCCTCCTGATTGGCTCTCGCCAGCCCTCTGCACCTCAGACTCTGGCAGCATCAACCTCCATGGTCGCTCACTACAACTCACCAGTCAGTCAAGAAGTTAGGTGTCTTGTTCGACCCTCAACTGTTTTTTCTTCCCCACATCCAAGCCATGACCCGCTCTGCCTTCCCTCATCTCCTTAACATCACCCGACTCTGCCACTAGCTCACCCCTCAGGCGCTGAAACTCTTGTTCATGCCTTCATCACCTCCAGGCTCGACTATGCAAACCCCCTGCTTGTCGGCCTTCCCAACTCCTCCCTCCACAGACTGTACTCCAGAACTCTGCAGCTCGTGTCCTCTCCTGCACCAAACTCCTTGACCCATATCCCCCGACTCCATTGGCTCCCTATCCTTCAGAGGATCCATTCAAGATCCTGATCCTCATCTACAAAGCCCTCCATGGCCTTGCCCCACCCTACCTCTGCAAACCCCTACCAACCCGCCTGCTCCTTCCGCTCAGCCAGCTCCGGTCTGATCCACGTTCCCCAGACCCACCATCGGCGGGAGAGCCTTCAGCCAGCCTGCCCCCAACCTCAGGAATTCCATCCCCCAATCACTCTGCCTCACCCCCTCCTTAAAGTCTTACCTCAAGACCCTCCTCTTCGACCATGCCATTAGTCACCCCCCTTCCCCTCGTCTCCCTTCTCCCTCCCTGATCCCAGTAAAATGGTGTACATTGTTTAGTGCTTTGGGACATCCTATACAAATGTAATCTTCTTGTTATAGATATTTGTTTAACACTGTCTCTTGCACTTACCAAATATACTAAAACAGACTTTTGGTAAGTGCAAGAGGCAGCGATTTAACAAGTTCGCCATCTAATCAAAGCACAGCAATAAATAGATTGGTCACTGCTTTACCTAAACAGCCAGAAAAAGTTGAGCCACAAACAGTAAGTTGTATTTACCTGTATAACTGACTGTTATCCTCCACGTTCTCTGAACCCCATCTGCCTTTTATATCCTCAATTACATGGTTCTTCAGGAATTTCCTTAATAGCTGTAGAGTCTGTTGTCGTGTCACATCTGGTCCAAAATTACTGTTGCTTCTTAGGAGTTCATGGAGCCAGTCCACTGCCTCGGATGCAGTGAAGCAGCTGCCATACCTTTTAAAGTGCAGTCTATGTTTCCTCAGAGGCATTCCTGCCCTGAAAAGCTTAGTCATTTCATTCCACTGAAATAAAAATCCATAAGAAACATTTCATTGCTCATAATCAGTTATCCATTGACATGCCAAAATTAGACTCTAGAGATCAGAGTATAAGACTCTGCCCTTAAGGAACTTCTTTCATCATCCTAGACACTGTTAAGCCAACAGACAAGCAATATAAAATTGCTATTCAAGTGAATGGAAAAAGCCAATAAATGTACTCTTAAAAGATGCGGTACAAACATTTTGTGGAGTCCTGTAACACATTTGTTAAGAGCACTTGCCTCGCAAACGAGAGGATCTAGGTTTGATTCCTGATCAGGGCGAAACCTTAGGCAACTATCCTTATCCCACATACTTTGGTTTACCTAGCAGTAAGTGGGAACCTGGGTGTTAGTCAATAGCCAGATCGCTTTTCCGGGGGTAATAATCTCTTAAAACAATGGGTCACAATGTTTGTGAGACACTGCTATGCACAATTGGCTGCTTTGTTTCACCTACAAAATACAATTTGCAGCAGATTCAGTGAAGCACTTTGATACATCTCGAAGATGTAAAAAGGTGCTAAATCAAAAGCAAAGGATTATTAGGATTGCAAGTGTAAATTGCAATAACTTTTCCCATCGAATTACTGCAACAGTAGAAGACATTATTAAATACCATCACATGTGATGGTAAATCAGGGACAAACATGACAGATGTAAAGGGTAACACAAAATAAAAGGATACAACTACATCAGGTTTACTTATGCCTTGGAACTGGACAAATGTTCTACAGAATCACATATTCCTAAAGGTTCTATGAGGAGAACTGCCCACAATTGTCAGCTCTGAAGCGACTGGAATGAAAGGTAGTTTCATGTAAACTATTTGCCTCCAGGCTGAATACGTAGCAACGGGTGTACAGATAGATAAAAGTGGTCATTTACTTCAGGGATGTGCGAGAGACCTTGTGTGCGATTGGTGTGCCTATAAATACAGTCAACATTTCACAGCAATTCACTGTGAACATTTTAAGCTCTGTATCAAATGGAGATTTATTTAATAACAGTTATAACCTTCAATGAAATATATGACCCTATATAACATTACTAAATCAACTAAATCATTACCTGCATTTAGTATAATGTTTGTCAATTTGGGAGGATGTCTTCATAAAATTTTACAGTTAAGTACGGGTGATTTTGCTTGTGAATGCGGCACCCAATTTGTGTACAGTAACATAGGCAAATACTGAACCTATAAACTCATATCCACTGCAGACTTTGCTACATTTTATATTTTCAGGCTGCTAAAGGTACTATATTCCCCTCAATCCAAGTTTATCCCCAATTTCAAATGAACCAGCTATTTGTCCCACTGTTGACGGGGACATTGTTAATGCAGATTAGTTTCTGTATTTACTTATTCAACCTTTTTAAAATGGGGTTGGGGAGGTATTAATAATAATTCTTGCATTTGATGTAGCGCTTTTCATGTCTGCTAGACGTCTCAAAGCGCTTCACAGAATATACTATGAATGAATTGACTGTACATCTGTGGGCGAAACACGGCAGCCAATTGCGTTCAGCAGTGTCCCACAAACAGTCGTGGATTGAGTGACTAAATCATCATTTTTTTCTTGAGGGATTATTATCAGGCATGTGGAGTAAGGAAACTTGCCCAAGGTTTCGCCCTGCCGGGAATCGAATCCAGGTCTCTCGTTTGCTAGACGAGTGCTCAATCACTGAGTTACAGGAGGGTACCTCAGTGGTCTATCCTGGGACCTCTCGTATTACTTTGTTACGTTAATGACGTGGATTCTCAGGCTCAGTATAAGAGGAGAAACTGAAATCAAAGGAGGCAGCAAAAGTTTTAAAATAGGGTATGGACATGGGCTGATAACTGGCAATGCAATTTATTTAGATAAATACTAGGTACTACTTATAGGAAGTAAGAAGTGGAAACATGAGCTCCCATTGATGAGCTACAACTTGCCAAGATGGAAGCTGAAAGAGATCTAGAGGCGTTAGTTGACTCATTGCTCACGGTGTTGAAAACAGCGTGAGGCAGCAATGAGCATGGCAAATAGGATGCTGAGCTATATTGCAAATCAGTCGAGTTTAGATCCCCAGACGTCATACCCAAGCTTTGGTCAGGCTGCACCTAGAGCACTGCATATATCTCTGGTTTCTGAAACCAGCGTATGTTTGTGCGCACATGGTAGAGGGAGGAGAGAGGGCCAGGACAAGGGGACTCTTCAAAAAAAAACACAGCTCGATGCTGTACGGTAGTACAGTAGGGTGGGTATTCTAGAAGGATGAGATCAGACAGAACGACGAGGCTTTGTCGACCAAACAAACACGCAATCTTAGATCTTGTAAAGCTCTTCGAGCAATTATTTAAAACAAAAGGCACCGTATCGACGTGAGGCACTTGGAAACGTCCTTCCGACGCGATGAGGCGCGAACGCCAAACGCGCGGATCGTTACAAGCACCGGGACAGGCGCGAGCTGCTGCCGTTTCCTTGGTTAGGATTAAAGTGACTCGCAGAGCTACCGGCGCGCGGACGTCGCGCTCTGCTGCGGAGACCCGCCCCGAGAAGAAATAAAGTGAGCCTTTTTTTTTAAGAAGCCCCGGGTCTCGCTGTCAGAGGCAGCGTTACAATTACAGATAGTCCATTAATAATAATTCTTGTGGGGAACGCCGACCACATACACAGCACCTGCCACACTGCCAGAACACCTGGGATCACTGGACAGGATTGGCTGAGAAGTGTAGTGACCGTGTATTTAGCAAAGCTACAGCTATATATTTACATATAGCTTATACACACACAGCAGAAATGAACAAGGCTCATATAGAAATTGCACCTAAATGCCGTTCTAAATGCTGACACCCTATTGAGCACAGAAATATAAATAGACGTATACATTATTTAAAAATAATGTTAAAAAAAATACTTCCACAATCATCGCAGACATCGCCAGAGAGAGAGAGAGAGGGAGAGAGCAGCAGTTACCACCCAAAGGGGCGCACATACCGACCCCCTTCATGTTATATTAGTATAATAATAATCTTTGCATTTGACGTAGCGGCTCATCACATCGTCGAGTGTAGTGACTGTGGATTTCCGTGGGCTTCAAGCCGCGGCAGCCAACGGCGGCCCGTACCCCGCGCGCGGTCGCGACAAAAAAAGAAAAGCGAGCGACCCAAATATTTGGGCGCCGGAGTGCACCAGATGGTTATGAGGTGAAAGCTGACGCGCCTCACCAGTTTGGTGGCCCGGTACGGTCCCGGCGCCGTGACTCGGGCGTCCATGGCCGAGCGAGCGAGCGCCCAACCGTCGCCAACTGTCACGCCGCTGTTTGAATCCCGAGCTCGAGCGCTCCCGCGGGTCTCATTGGCCGAGCGCTACCGCCCCACGTGATCCGCTCCTCCTTATTTGGGCATTGAGCAGGAGCACGTGCTGCCGCCCTCAACTGAAAGCCGCCCCCATTGCCGTCGACTCATTGGCAGAGCGCGCCACGTGGTGCGTTCCTAATATGGGAAGAGCCCGCCCGCTCGCCCGCTCAGCCCAGCTCATTTTATCGGTGCGAAAAACAAATCTCCTGGAAAACTGTAGTGGTCGGGAATAATTTATAAATCTATATATACAGTATATTAGAAAAATTATTATACCATGTCAATACATTTAGCAGTTATATTGCAGCAAATGAATAAACAAGGGCAGGCACACTAGAAAGAATTACAATTGCCAAATGAGTAGTTTCAAATAATTTGTGCCCGCTCATAATAATAATAATAATAATAATCCTTGCATTTGATATAGCGCTTTTCACGTCGGGAGGACGTCCCAAAGCGCTTCACAGAACACACTGTAAAGTGAATTGACTGTATATTTGGGGGCGAACGCGGCCGCCAATTGCGCACAGCAATGTCCCACAAACAGTCGTAGATTGAAAATGACCAATTTATTATTGTTTTTGGTTTTGAAGGGATTATTATTAGGCTCTGTGTGGAGTAAGGAAACTTGCCCAAGGTTTCGCCCTCTGCCTGGAATTGAACTCAGGTCTCTCACTTGCAAAGCGAGTGCTCTAACCACTGAGCTACAGGACTCCACAAGACTCATATTCTTTATTAAATTGAAAACCGCAGGCTGCCTTGTCGATTTTTGGATGAGCTTCCTTTGAGCATTTGAGACCACGAGCATGTGAGACGAGATCGGAAATGGAAGAAAAAGTTTCGCCCACAAAATAAATACACAGCCAATTCACTTTACAGTATACTCTGCAAAGCGCTTTGAGACGTCTCAAAGACGTGATAAGGCGCTGTATCAAATGCAAGGAATATTATTAAATCCTAGATCCATAGTTTTAGATCACGACCTTCCTCTTCGACCCTGTGCTTTACCGTCACCTCCCCTCCCGTCTCGGCATCAGGCTCCGCCACTGTTAAGCCCTCCGAGATGCTGCTCTGCGTGAAGGGCACTATGGAAATGCAAACACAGACTGGAATAGGGTTGACATGAAGGGTGGTTGAGGCTTGGACGCTGGGGCTTGTTTAAAAAACAGCTCGATGCTGCGATGGGGGGAGTGATAGGACATGGGTGCTCTGGTCGGAGGAGATCGCGTGCTTTTTACCCATAAAATACACAGCTGATGTTGCTGATGAGAGGTCTCCAAACTTTTCACAGGATTTACTGTGGTGTAGTGACTCCGTATCTTGTAGGCGAACTTGGCAGCCAATTTAATAATAATAATCCTTACATTTGATACAGTACCTTAGCACTTCTTTGAGACGTCTCAAAGCACTTCACGGAATACGCGGTAAAGTGGATTGACTGTGATGTTTTGTGGGTGAAAATTTATTTCCTGGAACATCCAATAAACAACCATGAAGTGAGTGACCAATTTTATCTGGGAAATTGATGGACAGGACGTCGGGAAAAATTACCTTCTATTGTCAAACAACCACCCCCAGCATTGCATTGAGGTGCCAGCCCGGCTATGAGCTCAACATAATTCTAACGCCTATCGCGTTGTTGAAATGCCTCAAAGCTGTTCACAGAATATATTGTAAAGTGAATTGACCGTGTGTTCTGCGGTTGAAACGGGCGACCAATGGCGCACGGCAGTGTCCCACAAACAGCTGCGGATTGGATTGAGTGACCAGTTTTTGGAGGGGAGGAATTTTTACCCCCGGATAAGCGATCCGCCGATCGGCTGACAACTAACAGAGGTGTGTGGAGTAAGGAACATCTGCCCAACATTTTGCCCGGCCCTGGAATTGAACCCAGTTTCCTCTCATTTGCTAGTTGAGCGCTCTAACCACTGAGCTGCAGGACTCCACAAAAATCCCATCTCCCGCACCCCCCGCACACCCCCCACCCCGCCCGGCCCGGCCTCTCTCCCCCCTTCCCTCTCCCCTCTCCCCTCTTTGCTTTCTCTCTCTCCTTGTCTCTCTCTCTCTCTCACCCTCCACCCTCGCTCTCCCCTTTATCTCCCTCTCTCTTCCCCCTTTTCTCTCTCCCCTGTCTCTCTCTTCTTTCTCCATATCTGGAGTCCTGTAGCTCAGTGGTTGGAGCGCTCACCTCTCAAGCGAGAGACCCGGGTTCGATTCCCGGCAGGGCAAAACCTTGGGCAAGTTTCCTTACTCCACGCGCCTTGATAATAATCCCTCAAGAAAAAAAAAACAATAATAAATTTGTCACTTCAATCCACGACTGTTTGTGGGACACTGTTGTGCGCAATTGGCTGCCGCCTTCGCCCACAAATATACAGTCAATTCACTTTACAGTATATTCCGTGAAGCGCTTTGCAACGTCCCAAAGGCATGAAAAGCGCTATATCAAACGCAAGGATTATTGTTATTATTATATCTCTCGTTCCTCTCTCAATCTCTCCCCTTTCTCTCTCCCTCTCTCGCTCCCTTCTCTCCACCTTTCTGTCTCCCACTCCCCCTCTCCCACCCCCACATTGCTTCTAGCCCACAGTAGCAGTCTCTCAGCCACATCCATCTTCTCCGCTGTCTCTCTATCTCTTTCTCCCACACAAAGCCTATCATCCTCCCGACCACATCCTTTTCCCTCCAGACTATCCCTCTCCCCCTCCCTCACTACTCAGCCTCTCTTCCCCTCTTCTCCCTCTGTGCCCCCCCCCCCAGCCTTTCTCTCCATCTGTCTCTCTGTGCCCCCACCCACTCTCTCTCTGTGCCCCCACTCTCTCTCTCTCTGTGCCCCCACTCTCCCTCTGTGCCCCCACCCTCTCTCTCTGTGCCCACACCCCCCTCTCTCTCTCTGTATGCCCACCCTCTCTCTGTGCCCCCACCCTCTCTCTCTGTGCCCCCACCCTCTCTCTCTGTGCCCCCACCCTCTCTCTCTGTGCCCCCACCCTCTCTCTCTGTGCCCCCACCCTCTCTCTCTGTGCCCCCACCCTCTCTCTCTGTGCCCCCACCCTCTCTCTCTCTGTATGCCCACCCTCTCTCTCTGTGCCCCCACCCCCTCTCTCTCTCTCTCTGTATGCCCACCATCTCTCTCTGTGCCCCCACCCTCTCTCTCTCTGTATGCCCACCCTCTCTCTCTGTGCCCTCACCCTCTCTCTCTCTGTATACCCACCCTCTCTCTCTGTGCCCCCACCCTCTCTCTCTCTGTGCCCCCACCCCCTCTCTCTCTGTATGCCCACCCTCTCTCTCTGTGCCCTCACCCTCTCTCTCTGTGCCCCCACCCTCTCTCTCTGTGCCCCCACCCTCTCTCTCCTGTGCCCTCCCACCCTCTCTCTCTCTCTCTGTATGCCCCACCCTCTCTCTCTGTGCCCCACCCTCTCTCTGTGCCCCCACCCTCTCTCTCTGTGCCCCCACTCTCTCTGTGCCCCCCTCTCTCTCTGTGCCCCCCCCTCTCTCTCTCTGTATGCCCACCCTCTCTCTCTGTGCCCCCACCCTCTCTCTCTGTGCCCCCACCCTCTCTCTCTGTGCCCCACCCTCTCTCTCTGTGCCCCCACCCTCTCTCTCTGTGCCCCCACCCTCTCTCTCTGTGCCCCCACCCTCTCTCTCTGTGCCCCCACCCTCTCTCTCTGTGCCCCCACCCTCTCTCTCTGTATGCCCACCCTCTCTCTCTCTGTATGCCCACCCTCTCTCTCTGTGCCCCCACCCTCTCTCTCTCTGTATGCCCACCCTCTCTCTGTATGCCCACCCTCTCTATCTCTGTATGCCCATCCTCTCTCTCTGCATGCCCACCCTCTCCTCTCTGTGCTCTCTGTCCCCCCTCTCTCTGTATGCCCACCCTCTCTCTCTCTGTATGCCCACCCTCTCTCTCTGTGCCCCCACCCTCTCTCTCTGTATGCCCACCCTCTCTCTCTCTGTATGCCCACCCTCTCTCTCTGTGCCCCCACCCTCTCTATCTCTGTATGCCCACACTCTCTGTGTATGCCCACCCTCTCTCTCACTGTATGCCCACCCTCTCTGTGTATGCCCACCCTCTCTCTCTGTATGCCCCCACCCTCTCTCTCTGTGCCCCCACCCCTCTATCTCTGTATGCCCCCACCCTCTCTCTCTGTGCCCCCCTGGCATGGTATAACCAGCCTCACCACTCAGCACCTGATGGCACACTGATGCTCAGCTGATTGCCAATGGCTGGGCGAGAGCCATGGGCACACACACACTCACACACACACACTCACACACACACACACACAAGCTGACAGGCAGCTCAACCCTTCCCCTTCCAATATAACACCATCCTTTCTTTTCCAGGGGGCTGCAGAGATTTTTTTAATATATATATATATACCCATTGGCCAACACACCTTGTGATTTGATGTAGGAGGCATTGAGAGAAGGAAGGAAGAAGAGAAGAGAAGAGAGAGAGAGAGAGAGAGAGAAAGAGAAAAAGGAGCAAGAGACCAAACACAGGATTTCAGATGGATCAGAAACGGTTTGATTGAGAGGACTGAGTCCCTTTAAATCCCTTTAAACCCCATTCTCTCTCTCTCTCTCTCTCTCTCTGTCTCTGTCTTGCAAACACCCCCAATATATATATAATATATATATATGTACATATACATATATAGATACATATATAACAGCTATAGTGTGTTACAGTCTGTCTTTATTTTATTTCTTAATTAATCAATTAAGTAAGTAAGTACAAAAATATCATTATCATTTGAAAAGCAGGTGCTTTTTTCTCATGCTTTTTTTTCTGCTTTAAAAAAAAGAAAGCCCCCCCCCACCACCCCCCTGCAAACCCCCCCCCCCCACACACACACCCACCCACCACACCACACACCACACACACACACACAATGTTTCCTGACTGGGTTTGAAACGAGGGAAAGGAGGTTGTGGTGGATGTTGGAGGAGG